GCATCTCTTACTTCTGATTTTATGCAGGAAAGAACTGGTTTGGTGTGTTTTCAGAATAGCTGAAGGAAGAGGTTTATTTGGCAGATTCCATCAAATGCTCACAACCTCTCCATACCTGAATCCACCACTTACTGGACAGATACTGTGGTTTTTTTCATTTTCCTTGTGATTTGCTTGCGGTTTTCTGCTAAGAGAGAGTAGTATTTGTTTGTTTTCATCAAGCAATTAGTGCAGCTGTATTTATGGTAAAAATAACGCGTTATGTGTACAAAGATGAGCAATTATTTCAATACGCACTTTACCCAAATTTGATGTTTTGATCTGACCAAACTTTAATGTTTAATGTCCATGCATACTTTCTGTGCAGAGAATAACTTTGAGGAATAGACAGCTGGGAGATGGAACTCCTTCAAAGGAAGTAGGTCTTAAAATAAGAAATACATTGATTGAATTCCTGCTAGGTTTCTTGACCTTAAATGTGTGTGCTCTTCCTTTACCTAAAGAAGGAATTGAAGCTGAAGGCGATGGGTCTTCAGATGAGTTGGAAACAGAGTGATTATTCCTGGTTTCTTTCTATATAGAAATAAATTTGCAGCAGTAAAACGGGGACTAACGGGAAAAACAGGTCAACAATGTCATGTTGTGAAAGGTTTGCCAGGATGTACTCACGTCGTTATCAGCAGTAGGGAGACTTTGTGGGATATTTTAATTGGTTTCCAAAAGCTGTTCCTAAACAGGAGTATCAAAGATGAGAGAAATCCTGGAGCTGAAAAACAAAAATGCAGGTTAGGAGAAATGGCTCTTGAACTAGATTAGGTTTTTAAGATTGCTTGTTAGCACTGCTGTCTTTCTGCTTGTCTTGTCTTGTCTTGCAGTGGGATCTCCTCCTAGTATGATACATCCTCGTGTTCCACAGAGTTCAAGTGCTGTTTGCCTCAAAGTCCCCTTAATCATTCAGTGATGAGAGATCAGAAGGGCTCTGGGGAGTACTGGGAATTAAAAGAAGGAATTTAAAGGTTGTTACTGGGTAGTGCTGGAATGAGGGGATGATAGATGATTGGGTGGAAAGAATGGCAGTCAGCTTCATTTGCTGAAAAGCACTAGCATATGGGGACAGCAACCCAACTATTCTCTGTGGCTGTAAGAAGAAAAAGGGAAATCTGAAACATTTCCATTTGTTAGAAGAGAAAAACTTTGCAATAGATTATCAAATGAGCCTCCAGAGTATACCTTTCAATGTTTTGAAAGCAGGCCAAGCAATACAACTTCTGGTAATGAATCAGGCATAAATAGATGATGATTCTGTGAAAACCAGACCATCTCAGCTCCCAGACGTGGGAGTCCCTCAGTCCCTCACTCTGCCTTGTCAGAGGGGCAGCACGCACAGGGTTCTGAGCTTACAATGTTGTGTTCAACTTCAGGTAGGAAAATGAAATGGTTGCTATTGCTGAATTATTTTTTTCAAAGAAAACCTTTGTTGAAAGTTCAAAAATATGAACTGGCTGGAGATGTAAAATATGAGCATTTTCATTATTGAGATCAGTGAAACTAAAAGAGCATTTACATTGTTATTTCTCAAATTATTTCAGTTTAATGAGTTCTTAAGTGATGGTATAGAATGCACGCATGTGCATTTTTTGATGTGTAGGTAAAAATTGACCTTCATTGTCTGGATAGTAACTCTTTAAATGGTTTCTCGGATCTTTTAAGCATAACAACCTGAACACTTTCCTGGGCTCACTTTATCCAGAGCTGTTAGAGATGCTGCTGTGATTCTCAAACTTACTTGTTTACCTTATTCTTCTGTTCTTTCCCTAGCTGTCCGCTACTGAACATCACTGAGTGCTAGGATAAGGTGGACCTTTGATATGGAGAGTTACTGTTACAATTTGTCTGGTTTTGACTTAGGCTCATATTAACTTTATTTGGGAATCAGCTTTTTTTGGTATGTAATGTGGAACAGTAGTATGAATTTTCAGTGTTTTCATCCTAGAATTTGAAGGTACTCTTAGTCATGGCTACTTCATCAAATTTCCATTTTCCCTTTCCATTATTAATTCTTTGTCTCACAGAAGAGCTCGGTGCTCTGCTAGTGCTTTGGTTTCCCTTCCAAACTTCAGCCACACTTTCAAATAAGAAAAGAGTGCTGCTGTGACCACCACAGTGAAGTGACTGCATTCCAGGCGTGGCCTCCCCAAGGCACACGTAGGGGATAATAACTTCCAGGGCTTTGCAGTCAAATCTGAGTGAGCCAGCCTTGATTGATACTACTGTTGGACAAACATCTCCACCTGTGAGCACGTTTTCCCTGCAGATGTGATTCCTGTTGCTCCATTCACTGGTAGGCTGATTGTTGTCTGCCTTCTTCCTGCTGCCTGCATAGGCTTTGCATTCTGCTGCGCCCCAGGCTGAGGGCTGGATTACATTCCTAACAGCAGCAGTGACAGAGCAGTTTGCCAGAGATCTTATTTGTTTAACACTGATGCGTTTTGTGCTCTAATCCTTAAAAGTGGGACACGGTTAACATGCATGGGGCATAGTAATTGCTCACTGAACTAGTAGAATGTGGCAGATTTGGATTTAATATGTAAACTGCAGTCAGGTGCTGTTTCAAGTTCAGGTTTAAAGAAGAGCGATGTTTATTTTATCACAGTAACTTTTGTAGCTCTGAAAATCGTGATTGTTGTTTTGTAAGGAATTGCACTTTTCTTTATGAAGGGTATATGCTGTACTAATTGCAGTTATGGCAGAAAAGAAACATAATGCTGCCTCCCAAAATTTCTAGGTGAAAGGAAGTACAATTAAACCTACTCAAAGATGAAAACTAAGTGAATTAGTTGAAATTAAAGTCTCCTTGAGCATTGGTTTTCAGACCGTTGGAAATACTAACACTTGTTGCAGCAGATTGGAAAGAGAAAGGCTATGATTTAACGTCTCTTAAACTGACTTCATATTTTAGTGACATAAAGCCTGGTTCCCGTTTAGAAATTGTCAGCATTAAGTGTGCCCTCCTGTTGTATTTCCCCCGTCTGTCAGTGGGCGTGACTATTCTGTCCTCTGCTTTCTTGAAATCCATCGCATCAAGCAGAGCTGGATGCCAGGAACTGCAGGTGCTGCAAAGACAACACCCATATTGGTGTGTGTTATTATAATTAATGTGTTTTTTTTGGAAACAGGTCTCACTTTGAAAATTCTGATTTCATTCTTTGTGATTATGTGCTCAGTAGCTAGAGGTAAATATGAAGGCATAATATTGTTACTGTAATGCAGCTGTTACCGTAATGTACCAAAGATGTAAAAATGTAATAGTGTACTGCACTTAATACATCACAAAATTTATTAAAATATTTGATTTACTCTGTCACTAAAGCATTTGTTAAAACATTAACTTACTAAATGATGTCTCAGAAGGTCATTGGTGGTGAGGAATCATCAAATATTTGTATCTTATGGGTTTCTTCAGGGTATTTTAGCAACCTCAGAGTTTATAAGCATCTACAGCAAATGAATTGAAATTCTTGTTGGAAGAAGTTGTGGAATTCATAGAGATTAGGGGAGCAGACAGAGCATGGTCTGGATTTCTTAGCAAGGGAAGTACATAAACAAGCAAAGATGGCAAGCAAGATATGTGAGCCATGCCTAAAGCATTAGGCACCGTTTCTGCAGAAGCAGCAACTTGAAAATATGTCAGCATTTATTCACTTTATTCCAAATGAACTCACAGTATAATGCTGTGGTAAAAAAAAGACTAATATGTGAGGCTTGAATTGCAGAGCTGGGATTGGTTTGGAATTCAGATGCATCAGGCTCATGACGTAGGTGGTACCAGTATGAGTGTGTTGCACACTGCTAGAAATGTTTGTGAATCTGTGCTGAAAAATAATACCCTGGATAAGTTCTGTGAAATTATCCCACCGCTTTCAGATGAGTTTCTTAACAGTGATAAGTTGTTTATTTGCTTCTAGAGAGATGTTTGATCACACAGTGTAACCAGTGATTGATATCAGTGCCCTGTGAGAAGATGCCTTTTACAGAGGGATCTTTACAAAAGAAAAGTTAACACAAATCAGTAGCTGAACACTGAAACCAGATGTTTCCATGTTGGTGATAACCCAGGCATTTTGACAGTTGGGAAAAATAACTTTGGAGCAAGCTGCCAAAGGACGTCGTTTGTGCTCCGTGCTTCTTCAGGCCAGCTATGCTGGAAAATGTGTTTAGTCAAATAAAGGCTGCTAGAGCATAGAGCCTATGGCCAAATGGATCTGTGTTATGATGAAAAAGTAATTAGAAGTCTTTGTGATGTGCTGTGCTCATGCTTTATTTCTATGAACCTGTAGAAAAAAAATACCTAGTTGATACTTTGTTGTACATTAGTGAATAACTGCTCATCTGATTTATTTGTATATGTAAATTCTCTGTTCTGCTAAAAAACAGTATCTTTGTCCATGTCCTACCATCAGTAGCAAGGAGTATGTATTTTGCAGTCTTCATTTCCACTTTTTTACTGGTAGAAGTCATGTAATTTGATGAACAGTTGCAGTCAATTGCATCACTATGTGTTTGATTTAACGTATTTCTTATAAAAATACTGTGTGGGTGGAGATTGTCCAATAGATATTGCTTCTACTACTGATTGGATTTTAATGAGCTTTTCTTTACCAAAAGCAGTACATGCTTCAGCAAGTGTGTCCTACCCTCGCCTGAAGTACTTGTAACGTGTACAAATCCCATGCTTCATATATATTCACATTGTTTTAATGTCATCGTATCATTGACATGCATTGTGTTTCCATATCACGGTATTGACTTGTAAGTTCTCTGTGGTATTTCATGTAATTTTATCTTTATTAATGACTGTTGTTTCATATGCTTTAGGAGTTAAAAACAAAAAAAACAAAAAAAACAAAGCCTCCTGCATCCTTTATTAAAAATATATCTGGCTGTATTTTTATGCTAAAGTGAGACTCATTTATTTTTTTTTAATACTGTTTGCTTTGTAGTGAGAGATTTATGGTGAGGTTAAATAAGAACGGAGGCCCCAGGAATCCAGAGAAGATAGATCGAATGTGTGCGCTTTTCACAGTATGTATCTGTTCCTTTTCTTCTTTCCTTACAGTAGTGTGATTATAGACGTGCTGAGAGGGAGAGCACGGCTCTTTCTTTCCCATATATTAAGCAGAAGCGGATGCTGTTTCTAAGTTTTGTTACCGTTACAATTAAATGTTAACAGAAAAAAAAAAAGAGAAATGCTTCTAAATTATTTTTACAGCTAACCAAATATTCTGAAATGCTGCCTTTTAACTGTGTTCGAATTGCAGTCAGGAATTTCACATCTTAGGGGTGATAAACGCTTTCCATCGTGATTCACCTTGAGTTCACACACATGCTAGAAGCAATTTGGGAAAAGCATTTTTGTTTCCGGTGAAAAAAAAAAAGATGGAAGACAACTTTGGTATGAACTGTTGTCCTGGCAACTTAATCCTCTAGGGTCAGGCAGTGTGGAACACTGAAATAGATGTGGTTTTCAGTACCATCCCTCTTTATCCTTCACAAAGATACCCAAATTTGTGCTCTTACTAAATGGTCTAGATCTAGCCAGGAAGAGAAGGGTGTTCAATTCTGCCTCCATCTGGACAGAAAAGATGTGAACCTTTAAAAAATAGCACTAGCAGTGATGCTAACGTTAGTATTAGTATGGGTTTGGGCATGATAAGTGAACTGCTGTTGGCTGATTCAATGTTAACAAAGGTAACAGTGTCTTAATTTTGGCACCATTGTCCTTAACTTGAAAACTAACGTGTTTCTGTTCTAAGAGAAAGACAGGGAAAGCAAGCTTTAGTACTCCTCCCTGGATAACTCAGAAAGCTTGAGTTCAGGATTAGTAATTGCTCTAATGGTCATTCCCAAAAGGCAACATTGACTGGTTTGTATCAGTTTTGGCACCTAATGGCATTTCAGCATTGTTAAAGCTTTTCACCATCAAACTTTACCATCTACACTGAGGCCACTCTACTTAGTCATGCTACAGCTTTCTTGTTTCAAACTGTGAAAGTGTTGCTCTGCTGTCCTGCAGAACAGTCTTTGCATGGTTTCAAAAGCACAGAGAGAATACCGGTAATACAACGTGGCCCAGGGGCATAACAGTTCCAGAAGAGACTTGTTGCATGTCACAAATGAGGCCAACCTATTAAGGAGGCCAGCTGCAATTATTGCCACTCTGTACTCAAGTACAGGTACTCAGAGATCACTCCCAAGCAACCTTGTTACTTAAACTATATGAAAATACTGAGGTTCTTTCAGTGTCCATTCTCAGAGGTGCTTAGACGTGTTGCCTGTCACTGTTGTCTGGTCACAGGAACTAGGATAATTGGGAAAATTACCTGTGCAAAAAAATGCCCAATGCTATTTCATCAGTCCATTCAAAGCATTGGCTGAGGTATGTAGTAGCAACAGAGAATAATTTTCAGACTAACTTTTTATTTGATGCGCTTCGATCTCGATGTGCTGAAATTCTCTTTCCGTCTCCTGTAAACAGACAGTTACCATTCTGTAGAAATCCAGGCACAGCATTCTAGTCTACTCGTGCAGACTCTGGCTGCATAGCTGCAGTTCATAACAGTAAGGAAGTTCTGCATGCATCACTTCCTCTACATAGGAGCCAGAATAAAATTATGGACAATGCATCAGTGGTATGGGGTAGCTTTCATAGCTCTGTGCCTTCTAGGAGCAAGCACTGGCACTAAATAGGTGCAGTCTAGAATTGCCTCTGAAGATTTCTGTCCTACAACAGAGTTTTATTTCCCAATTCTGACAGTTACCAAAACAGATACGGGGTGGCCAGCACAGTACCATTTTGAGTTTGTTGTGAGGCACCTTTCTCCTATAAGCTTTGTTTACATATTTTCAATAAGAACACTGATTCATGTTGTGAAGTGCAGGGTCAGGCAGGATGTGCTCTGTGCTCGTAATGCTGGCTCTGTGTTGGCTGAGACCTGCTGAGCACATCCGTGACTCAGGGCTGTTGAGTCAGAGACTTTGAAGAAGCATCCCCGAATGCCTTTCTGCTCAAAAGCCAAGTTTTCTTTGATCATAACTAAAAGCCCAGTCTTCTCTTGTACAGGAAGTTTCAAAATGCCTGAGCATTAATCAGAGGGAATTCAGAACGTTCACCTGTCCATCATATTCTGATGTCATGCTTCTCTCCCAGCTCTGGCTTCAGCTTTTTCCAGAGCCTCTTGGGCTGTCTCAGCCTACGGTCCTCCTCCAGGAAATGTCTCTCTCAATAACCCAGGAGCCCCAGTGTCCCAGCTCCCTGCTGCTGTGAACATTTCTCAGCCTCTTCTGTGCTCAGTGCATTCTCACTACCTGCCTTGGTCAACCATTGTTCTGATTACTGATTTTAGAATGAATACAGTTTGGGAAAAGGCAAGACAGACTGTCTGTCACTGTGGCTGTGTATTGGCTTATCAGAGGGAAAATCTTCCAGTATAGGACATTGCTGCTGTGTTCTGTAAACCTCATTGAGATTTCCTGGAGCATTGCTTTCTATGCTTCTTTTACCATTTGACACCCAAGGTAATCTTGCAGTCAGTGTTCATTACTTAAAAGGAACTTGGGGTCTTCTGGATGCTTCCAAAGTAAGGTAGTGCTATGATTTGAGTGCAGTTTTGTTCCCAGTGTTATCGTAGTCTTGTATTTAAATCAATTCATTGATTTCCTAATCAAATTCCTTGGCTCCCAATGTCTTTCTAACACTCTCATCCCTTCCAGAGAGAAGAATCCCCAGTACCTTAGGTAATTCAAGGTATTTCTGTCTTTTCCTGTTGTTGTATTGAGTTGTTCATCCATCTCCCTGGGTAACATTTCACCTTATGTCCTTGATCTGTTGTCACATCGCATCAAGGGTGAGAAACTGCTTCCTCGAAGGAACAAGCTTGCTCAACTAAACTTCAGGCTTGTCACACTTCAGAAGCTTTTTGGGATCAGAATTAGGGTGTAACTATGCGGCATGAGTTTTCTCTTTTAGTTAAATACCTTACTCTCTGTAGCAGCTCAGTTTGGTGGAGCTATTTAAATCTCTATTTAATTAATTAGTCAGATATCCTTGATAGCACTGCGTTGGGCTTACTGTTGTTGTTTTGGCTTTTTTTGTTTGCTCGTTGGTTGTTGTTTGAGCACACAGACAGATCTTCTTAGTAAATGACACTGCGAAGAACCGTTGTTAGAAGGTGACTCTTCTCCAACCCTGATGTGGAAAACTTTCCTTGTAGTGATTTTCTAAAAAAGCCTTGCAGTTAGAGTTATTATGAGATTACTTTGATTATCAACCAGAGTCATTTTAAATGGTCAGGAGGATGTGGGAAATAAACTCCTTGTGAAGGCTGTGCTCAGAGCACAGTGCTAGAATTAGATTTAATTATACTGCCTTTAACAAAAAATAAATGTAGCTGCTCCTCTTCTGAGTCCTGAGCTGTGTACGTGGATTCTTTCCTAAGAAATTATGTGAGGATTCTCAGAGGGATGGAGGGGTTTGGATTGTGGGCTCTGTGTCACAGTAACAATTTCTCCCTTCGTAAAAAGGCCTCTGCTGCACTGAAATGGAAGGCAGGGCCATCTGTGCCCACAGTTTCTATCTCTGACTGTGATACAGTGTAGTTTTTCCAATGTGTGAACCCACCAATATGCGCATGCCCTACTGTTTTCTGGTATTTTGACAGCTACTTTTTGAAAAAACAGTTATCTAGGTTCTGTTAATTAGATCTGATAGTCTTATATTGTAACAGAAATCTTTGTGTTGAATCAAAGATATTTTCACAGGAAAGTCTACTGTTATCTAGCATTAACCATCACCTCCCTTTTTAATTTTATTTCTTTATTTTGAAGTATATTGCTGCTCAGGAACTGCTGAGATTAAAGCTATGTCAAATTCCTTCTTATCAAATAGCTTCAGTTTTTCCAAGACACACAAGATAAAGCCTGCCATATGCTGTGTTGGTGTGGTAGGTGGCAAAGAAAGCCTCGAAAGTGTGTTCTCTACTTGCAGCAGCAAAATGGACTTGAAGAGAAAACATTATGGGAGATTTATTAGCTTGATTCTTTGGCTGCAGAGAAACACGAGTTGGTAGCTGAGGAGCACCAAGCAGTGTATTTGCAACTCAGTGCATGTGCTGACCACTGGAGTCAGATGGAGTCAGAAGACACAGCCATGAATTCATTACATGCCCTCTGTAATCCAGCTGATATAGTGCTATTTGAAGGGAGCTGCAATTTCACTTTAAAGTACATTCTTCTCATGCCTGGTCCCTGTGCTTAGATTTTACTGTGCTGTATATAGGAATGTCACTAAAACCTAACATTCAGAGTTAATGTGCATTGCCATCATAATCTCAGTTGCTGAGGTTCAATTTCTTATGTCAGAGAGGAAGGAAAAGAAGGAAAAAAAAGGAAAGAAATGTAGTGTGTGAATTAAAGTTGATATGCTAGGGTCCTGCAAAGCATGATTTTTAATTCACCAAATTGGATCGGACTAAGAATGGTGTCCACAATTTCAAAAACTGTGTGATTTCCTTTTATAGTGATCTTAATACTGCTTAGGTGTTTTTAAATTTTGTTTTGTTTTAAGAAAAAGGTTTTATTTGAATGCCATTGAGATTTTTCCCACTGATTCTTGCATTGTGCTTTCCAAAAAAATATACTATTAGAAGGGTGGGCTGTGTTTGAGCATAGCCAAATCTACCAGCCCTGTTCTGCCCACCAACCGAACAGCTTAGCAGGAGCCGTTAATGGCTGCGGTGGGTATCATTTGTCAGTGGAAAAGAAGGGAAAGGGAAAAGAAGAGAAACATGAGTATGTAGACATTAAAGTCATATCAGAAGCCCTAGAAGTGTCTTAAAAGCATTACATTGAAATAATCACATAAAAGCTGTGTTTTGCCTTAAAACGATGTGAGGCGATGAGCGTTGCTCCAGCACAAGGAGAAGAATGAGCTGTGGCCACCAAGCTTTGAAATTTCGAATTTTTCCTTCAGCATGCTCTGCTCCCTCTGCCACCTTCTTAGAGTGCTTTTGTGAGTCTGAAGTTCCTGCTGACAGTTCCTCTGTCCTCAGAAGTGTCTGGAGTGGTGCCATTACTTTTGGGGAGATCTGGATGATCCAGTGCAGAACAATGAGATGACAGCACGTAGTAGAGCGGAGAGGCGGCAGCTGTTGCTGTAGAGCATGAGGAGCCTCTTTGCATCAGAATGTAAAACATCCATGAAGATTCTCACAGCTCACAGGATTTGTTTGAAATCTTCTTCTCCTGGGATTTAGTCATATAAAAAAACGTTGAGTAGTGGTAATGCCTTTAGGAAGAGATGTTTGTTGTCTCCTTAGTGCAAAAAAAAAAAAAAAAACAACAATAAAACAAAACAGCACAGGCGAAAGCAGTGTGGTTGATCACTGTCTGTAAAATTATCAGGAACAAATATAAAGCATTGAGGGCAGTTTCTAACTGCATTAATGCTGCATTAATGAATTATTAATTCATTAGACAAGTGCTCTATGCCTGTCTTCTTCATTTATTTTCTCTATCTGTAAGTATTTGTCAGGATCAGTAATGCTCTTTTTTCTTCTTTCTTGTCAGCTTCAGCTCTCATTTTGCTCTTCCATAGGTTCTTCTGTTACCATTCACTGGATTTTCTTGAAGTTCATTATGAAAAGTTGAATGGAATTATCAGATTTCGTATGTCTGTACAGTCACTTGCCTTAAAATTACATTGGGAACATTTGAAGGTGTCTTGTATTTCACTAAACAACTATATCATCTTAAAACTGAGTTCCCTTCTTAGTTATTCCAGTACCCTGCTGCTGTTCATAACACACTCAGTTTCAGACTGGCCCTTGCCAACTACCGCATCCCCCAATAATCTCAGGGCACAGTTGGGGAATTGGAAGGGGCACAAAGCCTTTCCAGCTGACAGTCTGTGTGCGACTCACACTGCTTTTGAATTTTGAAGATTGTTATCTATGAACCTTGGCACCCATCAGCTTGTGTGGACAGAGCCTGTAGGTCCTAAGCACGACTGAGATGATTTTAATACAGCATCAAAATACTAGATGCCAAGATTTTGATACAGCGTTTCTGGCCAGTGGAGTCAGAATATTTCATTTCTTTTCTTTTGTTGTAGAGAACATGCCAACCAAATATGATCTTCCTATGCTTTGTTATTTTTAAATTGGTATGTTAGAAATAATAATACTTCCAGATTTCTAAATACGAAGGGGCTAAATGAATGCAGGGTCCTTATGTGTAATCCTTAGTATTGTCTGTGGGAGTTGTTCAGGCTTTGGAAGTGCAGTGTGTTCTGTATTTTATCATCTCTGTTTTTTCAATCTTCTAGGATCTCAGCAGCAAGGACATGAAGAGAGATTTGTACATAGTTGCCCATGTAATTCGAATAGGTACAGTATGATGTATAATTCATTGAAATATATACAAAAGTAACAACGTTTTTAAAAGTATTTAAAATATTTTTTTTACTGAGCTGATGTAATGATTTAATGAGTTAACAAACTCAGCTATAGGCCATGTGTGTCTGCCCAGACTAATGCTGATGTCACCTGTTGCTACATGTGAAAAAATTCCTGATGGCTCTGTAACAATGGTGCTGTTTTCTCTGTGTGAGACTAAACGTTTGGTCCAGCATCATGCTTAGGAGGGGGGGGAACTGAAAATGCTTTTCGTTTAATATTCTGAAATTTCATATGAGGTCTTTTTACTTATCATGTATAGGTAGTTTAAGGGCACATCATACCTGGACATTCATAACTAATGAAACAGGAACTGTTAGATAAATAGATACAAAGACCTGTTTTCTGCTGTAGGAGTCTGTGGTGCTTCCAAGAACCCACACTTGTATTTAAGGAGATGCCTAACAAAAATATCAGGAAGTCTCACACCTGTCAGTTGTTCTTTCTGCCAGCTAGCACCAAAAAGGAACATTTGCAGTAATATCTGCCTGCTTGCAGCCCAACATCCAATAGCATACACTGCTTCTTTCTAATTTCCCCTGCCTGCTCATGTAGAACTTCCACAAAAAGAGATGTGGATGCTTAGCAATATGAGCTGACCCTTCCCCAGGAAGAAAGTCCTTCCTCGCTAAATCTTTTTGAGCAGTCACCACTTTTAGAGGTTCGTTTGCTTTGTCCTTGAGTGTTTTGTTAGCTAATAAGCTGGCATTCCTGAATTGAAGTAACCCAGTGAGTCAGCTAGTTCAAGTGAACCTCTGAAATAAAAATGGTATAAGGAGAAAAGGAAGCTACAAATGTAGGGAATATCACAATTTAGTTGACATTTACTGTGGGAATACATTCTGAGGGGGATTACAGAGCACAATTGATGGAATTGCTGCATTTGAGGATCTAATATCCTGAATTTCTGTTGGTTTTAGGTCGCATGTTGCTAAATGACTCAAAAAAGGGGCCCCCACATTTACACTATCGCCGCCCCTATGGCTGTGCAGTGTTGAGCATCATGGATGTACTTCAGTCGATCTCTGAAATAAAAGAGGAGAAGGATTTTGTTCTCAAAGTTTACACGTGAGTAACTCTTAGAAGTAAAAGAATTGAGAAAAAAAAAATTCAATATATTGATGCATAAGAGATGCTAAATATTAAGGTGCCATAAGCTGCATTTACTGATTTATGTTGACAAGTTATACTAGTTCTATTGGCAGTTACTGTTTCAGAAGCTCATAGAAAGCAATGAATATTATTACAGATGCTTTGGGTATGTTAAATGCTTCAGAAATTATTGAATATTGCTCATATCTCAAATGATATACAAAGCTGTGCTTTTGTTAATGGGCCTTATTTAAAATCTGCTAAGCTCAAGATCATAGAAATATTCTCTGTTACTCTTGATGAAGGGAAGCAGCATCTCCAATTCTTTTTCAGTCATGATGACCAAGAAAACAATTAGGGAACAACTGAAATCAACAGCATGTGACCAGAAAAATCAAAACAAGTCAACATTTTCTGAGCAATAATCTATCTTCTGTTTATTTGTGATTTTGAACTTTGAATTACCAATTCTTACTGTGCACTGTGGTCTTGTAATCATAATAAAGAGAGCACAGACAAATTGTTGGGACACTGCGGAGAGTATTTAGATACCGTGTCATTGAGAAGGAATACTGACAATATTTGCAGATGGGCTCAGATACAGATAATAATATTTTGTCTGTGGCCACCATCTGAGTAATAAGATAATTTGAGGGGTAATAGAACTCTTGTGAGAAGTGCATTCAGCAGCAGAAAATGTGCCATTCATGGGAAGCTGTAAATGAAAAAAAATGACTTTCGTTGTTCAGGAAAAGATTCTTGAATAATTCTTCCTACGTTAGAAATCAGTTCGTCCAAAGCAAGTCTCTCAGAGTCAGCTCTTCCATTCTTGTTTTGCCAGCAGTTACGAAAATTGTAGCAAAAATGTCAAGTTGCAGGGAAGAGAATGGACTTCTTTCATCTTTTTGTCAATAGGATCTGGGCAGTTCGGCATTTTATCACCATTCAGTTTCAGCTTATCTCAAGCTGATGGTTTCTGGTTATGTAATTTGTTGATGTTGGTCTTGCAGAAATATGTTAATGCATTGGAACTGCGACATTTTGAATGTTTACAGTAATGAAGCATTCTGAATCTGATTTCTGTTTTGATGCCCTTTTAGTGCATCTTTAGCTTCTTCTTTGCTGACAAATGGGAGAGTAAAAATCTGTTAAATACTGCACTTGACCATTTGTCAGTGATAAATTAATTTCTTAATACTGCCATGAAAAAAAATCACTGGGTAGAGAAGTGTTCCTTTTCTTCTACTCATCCTGAACTGTCCTGTTAGTATGGATTCCCTTCAGACCACCCAAAATACCAACTGTATCGGCCAAAAGGCTGAAGTAGGTTTATACCAGCTGTTCTTCTCTTCTGTTTCCCCAAACTCTTTGTTTTTAACATCCATAGTCAGCCATTACTGCCTCCTCAGAGAAGATGCAGAGCACATAACAAAATTCAACACCGTAATCAGATGCTTCTAATCTTTTATTTCCATTATCATGCACTGGAGTATTGTACATTGTTCTTTTATGCCGCTGCTCTTTGGCATCTTCTTTGTAAACCTCCAACAGAAATCTTCAGAAGAGAGAATAAATTGATCTAGCAAAAAAGTGCCAGCTTATCCCTTTTGCAGCTTTAATAGCTGTTAGTCTTCACGACAGAATGTTTTCACAGCTTTGTCTGCTTACATCTTCTCTTTGCACATTCATTTGGCTAAGCTAACTTTTCTTGCTTTGTAGATAAGAATTGAAATAACAAATTTTTGTCTTCTATGATCTGGAAATTGTGCATGAATACTTAAAACAGCGCTGAGCTACTTTTCTTACCTGCTGCACTCACTTTTATTGCTGTTAACATGCCTCAAGCCAGCCCAAAAACATCATGCGATGAAATAAGGAGGGAAGTCTATTTGTATTTTTGAAAGAGAACTAAGAAGCATTATTTTTGCGCACTATTAGTGTAAAACTTAGAGACAGAAAAGCCTTTCATAGAGAGCAGCTGGAAAGAAGTTGAAAGCCTAACATTGGCTGAAAGGAATACACGGCATTTAAATTGAGACTGTTGCTGGATCCACAAGAGAGAACATGCACAGAAAGAAAAAATCAATTTACTTCACCAGTCTGCCTTATTATTGCTAAAGATTTATGTCTGAAAAGGTCTTTTTGCTCACAATCTGCTGTTGGTTAATCCTGCAGTCATGTTATAATCTTACTAAGAGGATAGAGTACCACAGCTCTAGCTGTAAGCTCATTATGTAAAAGCATGAAGGTTTACTTCTGTAATTCTTTTTAATAATGTACATTTAAAAGTGAGATAAAAACTGAAATCTCAATTCGTATATTTTTAAGATATTTTGATTTCATGCTTTTATGTGAATATTTATCTTCAATTCTTTGGTTTTGATCGCTGCACCTTATTCTTTGTGTTGTTGCTTCCACTGCCCTAACACCTTCATGTATTTCTCTTTCATTTTATCTTTGTATGGATTTGGGGTCTTTCTGTCCTATTTTCCCTCAGTCCTTTGTGCGTTTCCCTCTTTCGCCAGCACTAGATTTTAAGTTTCTTTCATCTTAATGCTACGTTGTCTTTTCCATGTTGAAATTCAGTTGTTGCTATTTGCCCAGCTGGACAGACGTTCATTGCATTTCTGTCCCTGTCTGTTTGACATCAGGGTCTGTGTAGTATGGCAAACATTCCACTCAATAGATTTACTGCAGAACTAGCCAACCTGCAGAGATGATGGATGGCTCAGGACAAAATTCTTGTTGAAACTAGAAATACGTCTGATAATACATGTGGTATTTAGACAAAACGCAATAAATTGCATTACTGGTAAGTGTTCTCAGGCCAACATTTCAGACTTGAGGGGGTATCCTTCTTTGTGTTCAAGAAATGTGAAGTACAGCTTACTTTGGTATTTGGTACAAAACTAGCTTTAAGCTAACTTGACCCTCCATTGATTTTTGGGACAACTTTGTTCCCGCTTAATTTACAGGCATAAGTCTTTGGAGACTGAAATCTATTTTAAATTCAACTCCAGAGGCTGATACAACAACTAAAAAGTTAAAAGTTAGACATTTTCTGTAATGTCAGCTCTGAGGGTGAAGAATGGTACAGACTTTGTTCTGTGGGTTCCCTTTTTAAGGAAAACATTATTTGCAGTGGAATAAATGATTTCAATTGTCTTGCCAAGGGAAGTGCAGTAAGGAATGTGGGTAGAATTTTTTTTCCCTGATGAATAAGCTGAATAGAAGATAAGTTTACAAACAGGTCTATAGACGGAGGAATAGGAATAGACAGGGACATGTATCCTTACATCCCTGATCCCAAAGGGTGAGGGGAGTGCACTGCAGGAAGCAGGCAGGCTCATGCACCCTGCTCCTGTGTCACTATGGGAAGGTTTTGTATCTTCCTGTGGTCAGCTGAGATGTCCACTGCCCAAACCCAGCAGTGAAGGAGGGATGAGGAGATGGTTGGAGAGCTAAGATTTCATGTGGGATAGCCCCAGCCTAACCTCACCTGCCAGGCCAAAAATGCAGCCTTAACAGTGTTTTGGATAGCAGGTAGAGAGGACACAACTTTTCTCCATTTCTCCTGCATTAGTGTTTGTACATCATGCTTAATTTGTTCCAAATTGTCTTTTGTTTGTGTGATAATCAATGTTTGTTGAGTATTGGTAAGTGTACTGTAACAGGCTGCAGCTTATCTCACTGTTCTTGACAGTATGTGGTGTGCTAATACTGACACAACCAAAAATTATTAGCTACCCCTTTTTCTAGATGGCTTTAATTCCTCTTACCAGGACACTATTCTTCAGTTCCATTATGGTGCAGCCAAAAAATCTGTTGTCTTCACAGTAGCAGCTTCATATCATGCCCCAATTTTGCCAACATTATGGAGGAAATCAATGAACGTTTTAAAATTTTGTAACACGTGGAACAAGTTTTAGAAAGATGTACTTCTTTCTCAATACTGTTTTTAGGAGTGAAAAGCTTATAAACAGTTTTCTGAAGGGCTTTTTGTTCATTTTTTGTTGTTGTTGTTTAGGGTTTCCTTTAGGTAAAAGTCAGTAGGAATGAAGTTTAATTCAGCTGTTTAATTCAGTTGCACTTCACGAAGAATAAGATTCAGTATTACTGCTGAGTTACATATTGCTGACTTTCATTTGTGCTTTAAATATTCTGAATAACAATCGAATTTAAAACGCAGTTAGATGTGATCAAAACACTTGTTTTTCTTCTTCTTCTTCTTTAACCAATAGGACTGTTTGTGACAAAGGTCCCATTTTGGGTCTTCATTTAGATTATTACACCTGTAAAATTGTCATTTCATCTGTGCTTACACTAGTGTGAAGTACATTACAGCATTCTTAGTGCATCTCTTCATTATGTGATAACAAGCTGTTTGTGCTGATAGCACTTTTTTTCCTGGAAGCTTAGCATCTTTAACAGATTGGTTATACAGCTTTACTCGTTATTAGTGCAAACAAAGCTATTCAGCTTTAATGTTCAGCTAAATAAGAGTCATCATTCCAATTGAAAGGATCTGTGGTTTCTTACTCGAGTTCAAGCCTGTTGCTTTACACCATCTCACAAAGCCCCACTGAAGAACCTGGCTGTTGTCTTAATGAGGGCTTGTAGTTATGAAAAAGAATCATAGAATCATGAAGGTTGGAAAAGACCTCCAGGATCATCACCGTTCACCTGTCACCAATATTTCCCCACTAAACCATGTCCCTCAGCACAGCAACTAAATGTTTCTTGGACACAAAGCTGCCAATCGTGTTCTCCCCTTCCCTTGTCTTCTCCGGGCCAAAAAATCCCAATTTCCTCAGCCTTTGCTCATCCACTGGGCTCTCACAGGAGAGAGATGTTTTGCTTTTGTATTAGGGAGCCCAAAACTGGGCACAGTATTGTGGATCCAGACTGCCAGTGACGATTGAAACACAGACAGACCACTAATTTAGTATGTTTTGTAAACATTCAGTAACAAAATAGAGTTGTGAATGTATCTTCAACGTCCTGACAGCAGCACAATTATGTATGACCGAGCCCTTTTATACCCTCGGCCCTGTATTTCTCTACAGTTCATATCTTGAAGAATCCCCAAAAACTCTTTCCCAGTATACCTTAACAAGACCTATATCCCCAAAGGCAGAAACCCACTGAAGACAGGAACCCTTTTCAGTCCACAAAGCAATCCAAAGAGCCTTTCCTACTGACTCCTCGGAGCAGTTTTTTCCCCGGGACTGAGTGCTCAATGTTTCCTTCCTAATGCAGCAGCAGGAGGAGTGGGGTCAGCAGCTGTGTTCTCTGCTGAGGACAGCAGGGTTCCTCACTTCCTTTCTACTCCATTCTGGTCAGGAAGAAGAGCCTTTCATTGCATAACCTAGCAGGAAAGACAGAATTATCTGGAAATATTTACAAGGATTTTGTTTATAGACACTGCTTTTAGGTGGTGGACTTGGTAGGTGTACATCTAGCTGTTTTGTATTTGATTGTCTAGTGAAGGACCATGCAGCCAGCTACACTGCGTGGATATTGTTTGAAAAGAGAATAATTTGCACGCCAGATTTCAGTGCTTTATTGGAGCACTGATGTTAACATTGATTTTTTAATAGTGAAATAATATTGAGTGGAAATATGACAAATGAGTTGACATATAGTTATATTGTAATTTCTATCCTGGAAGTGTATCAAGGGCTTAGGTACATAAAGTAAATGAAAATGGGAAATAATAAGCATTTACTGTTAATGCTTATTGAAATTGCATATAGATGAGTGGACCATTAAAAAAACTCCTGCAGAGAGTGGAATTTGTACAGAAGCATGTATATCTTTTTCCTGCAGTTTGGGAGGTAGGGCTACGTCATGTTTCAGGCACCCTGTAAAGTGTGCACGTGAGCAGAAGACTTGCTGTTGATACTGAGACACTCAAAAATCAGATCTTTATTTTATCTTCCAAATTCTACTATTTATTTCTTGAATCTAGCTTTATTGTTGTTGTTTGTGGTACACAGAACAGTAATATATGGCAGCAGTTACTTCCAACTCAAAACCAATTTTCTATGTGCAGAGAATTCAGCTAAAGATAAATAAATCTTCATTCCATCGTGATACAAAGAATGAAGCAATTGTTTTAATGATAGAAGAGTCACTGAAGGTTCAAAAATGTCCATAAAAAGGAGATAACTATTGGGGAAAATGTTTTTTCTCCTTTCACTTTTAAAAACAAGACTTTTGCTCATGCATCAAAACCCCACAGTGTTATTTCTGCAACAAAGTTGACTTTCTTATCAAGCTTTTAGCTTGAACTGGTGTGGGATAGACGAGTGGACAGTGAGGTGGGTTGAGAACTGGCTGACTGGCAGAGCACAGAGGGTTGTTGTTGGTGGTGCAGAGTCCGGTTGGAGGCCTGTAACCAGCGGTGTTCCTCAGGGGTCGGTGCTGGGTCCAGTCTTGTTCAATATCTTCATCAATGACCTTGATGAGGGGATAATGGCCACCCTCAGCAAGTTTGTGATGATACGAAGTTGGGAGGATTGGCTGACACGCCTGAAGGCTGTGCTGCCATTCAGCAAGATCTGGACAGGCTGGAGAGCTGGGCAGAAAAAAACCAGATGAGGTTTAACAAAAGCAAGTGTAGAGTCTTGCATCTGGGGAGGAATAATTGCATGCACCGGTACAGGTTGGGGGATGAGCTGCTGGAGGGGAGCCCTGCGGAAAGGGACCTGGGTGTCCTGGTGGATGACAGGTCGGCCATGAGCCAGCAGTGTGCCCTTGTGGCCAAAAAGGCCAATGGCATCCTGGGGTGCATTAAAAAGAGCGTGTCCAGCAGGTCGAAGGAGGTGATCCTCCCCCTCTACTCTGCCCTGGTAAGACCTCATCTGGAGTACTGTGTCCAGTTCTGGGCACCCCAGTACAAAAAAGGCAAGGATCTCTTGGAAAGAGTCCAGCGGAGGGCCACCAAGATGGTGAAGGGCCTGGAGCATCTCTGCTATGAGGAAAGGCTGAGTGAACTGGGTCTGTTCAGCCTTGAGAAAAGGAGACTGAGAGGGGACCTGATCCAGGTCTATAAATATCTAAGGTGTGGGGGGCAGAATGGCGAGGCCAGACTGTTTTCAGTGGTGAGTGGAGACAGGACAAGGGGAAACGGCTGGAAACTGCAGCATAGGAAGTTCCGCACAAATGTGCGCAAGAACTTCTTTACAGTGAGGTGACGGAGCACTGGAACAGGCTGCCCAGGGAGGTGGTGGAGTCTCCTTCTCTGGAGATGTTCAAGACCTGCCTGGATGCCTACCTGTGCGATCTGCTATAGGGAACCTGCTTTGGCAGGGGGGTTGGACTCGATGATCTCTGGAGGTCCCTTCCAACCCCTACGATTCTGTGATTCTGTGATTTTGCTTTAGGTGTAACAATGAAAATGAATGGTGTCAGATCCATGAAAACATCATTCGCAAGTCCAGCACCAAATACACAGCACCCAGCTCCAACTATGGTAAGTGTTTACTTGTATACTTCTCTGGTAGAAGAACTGAAGATTTCCTTTTGAAACTGCTGATTATTTAGAGTGCAGTATTTCAGTGACGTGCGAGATTACACAGAGCTGGATTTCTGTACCTACTGTGATGATTTAAATGTTAACTAAAACTTGTGTTCTGTTTACAGATGTAAGCTGCCTTACCTTTGCCAATTTAACCAGGAATTATAATACATACTTGTTATCTTTCCTTTTCAGATACAGTTGAAAATAATACGTTGTGATTTCAGTGTGCTTAATTTTCTTCACCTTTTTATCTATTTTGTTTAATTATTCCAGAAGATCTCACCTGTGGAGAGAGCTAATGGCCTGCTATAGAATTAGCTTATGGTCTGTTGTATTTACAGTATATCTGTGGTTGTGAAAACTGCGAGCCCATGCTTGGATACGACGTTAGCAGCTATCAGCACTGGCAGAACTCCGCTGTGTCTTTGTGACACTGGCTGAGGTTGAGCAGACTTCACTGCACAGGAAGAGAAGGATTAAAATTTATTCATTGGAATTTCCCTGAGTAAAACAATTTTCCTGTTCAATTCCCTTGAAACTTCCAGGTATCACATGTATCTGTGGGCTGCTCTCCTGAGGATACGGTGCATCTGTGTGAATGAGGGTAAAACCAGATATTAAGTTTGTCTGTGTTGTGTAGAAAATTCTGTCTGACCCAAGATAAGCGGCATTTTCATACCTATAAATTCATTGTCACAAAGACCCTGTGGTAGTTTCAGTACTGAGTGTTCCGTTACGTAGTTGAAGAGAATTAGCTGCCTTAGGAGGGTGTTTACCACCTTTCACATCTATTTTTATTTTCCTGGTTAATGGCAGATAAACATGGAAAGAATACGTACATCTTTCACTTGTAACTTCATTAATACTTTACTGATTTAAAGAAAGTTGCTATTCCATTCCAAAAGAAACTAGTGAATTAGATAGTGTTCTGCTTAGTTGCAGGTAGTTTTGCATTGCTAGGTGAGGGTATGGTTATGACAGGCACACTGATACCCAAGTACTATTATTGCCTTAGTGCCACTTATTTGCTTATTCAGATGTTGTAGCAGAATATGCATTTCACAACCACGTAAAAGATGTTAAACACAACCAAAAAGCAAATAAAAGAGGTTTGAGTTTGGGGATTTGTGACATTCAAAGCTGATCTCCTTCCACGTTGTTCCTATTACAGTGAAGTTTGTCTACCACTTATCCTGAATTGTGAACAACTTGGAAAACTTGGTCTGTTTGCATTAATTGCAACTGCCAGGTGCCTGCTGAAAAGTTCTTTTTTCGGTTATGAGCATTTTTGAAGAGCAGAAGAAAAGGAAATAGATTTTTACTTGTCTTCATCTCTTTAAGATAATCACTTGAAACATACTAAGATCTAATGTATCTCTGGATCAAGAGTTTGAGGCTTGGCAGAAGTGCTGTCACAGTGTGAGGGACAGTATTGCAGACTGAAGTGATTTTAGCATAAGTAGTGCAATTTGGGCTTCTCATAACCTATTCTTAGAGTATAGAAATTTTCAAATCACACTTGCAGTTTGTGTCCTGAAAGCAAGCTGTGGTTGGTTCTCTCCCTGTCTCAGCAGCTCTTACGTAAGAGTAGTCCTTCATATCTACTGCAGGGAACGGAAAAACCTGGGAGGTTAGGCTGGAAAAGAAAAGACTGGAGAGCAGACTACCAACCTCTTGGGAGAAGCAGTAGGTAGGCAGAAGGTTGTTGGAGTGTAGCATGTGGGAGGGTGTCAGAGAAGTGCTATCTGTAATACTGTGCTGTAATATTATGTTCTCTATTATTTCTGGTGACTAACTTATACAGGTAATCTATCAACTCTGGTTCGATTTGCTAACTACTGGAGGTATTGCACGTGGACTGGATATTAGTGCTCTCAGTTTCCTAAAAGCATGTCTAACGAAATGATTACATATTGTATGCAAAGCCAATATATTGAGCTTAGAAAATAGCAGAATTAAAGATAGTTCGTGCAAGAATATGTATAAAAGGTAGTTTTTGCATGTGTTGTTCCACACAGTGAGCAGAGAGGAAGAAAGAGCTGGCTGTCATTTACTGAATGAAATAAGGAAAAATTACTATATGAATGTGATTCTCGTTGCTTTTTGTGCATGCTTGGCGGAGGATGAGACTAAGTCTCCATGGTTGGTCTTAATGCTGGCGTTTTCTGGCATCTTAGTGCTTAATTTTCTAACTTTACCAGTACATAATCCTCATTCTATGGATGTGGTATATCCTTTAAATTAAAAGCTAATAGAGAAGTTAGACTAACTGCAGTTATTCCTAGTGATTGATATTCCTATTTGGTTGATATACTGAACAAAGGGTCACGGAAAGAGCTGGCTGCTGAGCATTTCTGGTGCTTGTTTTCCAGGTTAACTTTGACGTGTTGGTTCTCATGAAATATGTTGAGATACAGAATTTCTCTAAAGTCAACATTATTACATGAAGTAGGTCAAGAATAAAGTGAAACATTGCTATTAAAGACACTTCTGGGATGTCCTGCAGGATTGTGTAATACAGTAGTTCACATAGAAGTGATGTTGCTCGTATATATGTAGTAATTCACTGTATATGACGTATAGAAATAACGCTAAATACTTCAACTTGTGATGTGCCATTGGAATAGAGTATTCTGACTTGGAAAGCATTGTAGTTTATATAATATTATGCTCCTAACTGATCACTCGAAGCAGATCTGTTTCTTCCATTCCACTTCTAAGCGATTCCAAGGCAAAAAATAACTTTATGTTTGGGTATTTGTATTAAATTTTATTAAATTAACCATAGATCAAAGCAGTTTTTTAGCCATCTAATTCTTAGGCCTAAAAAATGAATATTTCTGTGATTTTTTTCAGGACTTATAATATCTCTTCAGCTTCTTCGTGGTGACATGGAGCAGGTTCGGAGGGAAAACCCCATGATCTTTAACAGAGGTGTTTCTGTTACCAGAAAGCTGGGTTTCCCCGATGTCATAATGCCAGGTAAACATAACAGCTCTAATCTTAAGACATTGGTCATGTTTTTTTCATGTTCTCCTTAAAAAAACATCAGAAAATACTTTTCTGGAAAAAGGTTAAAAATACAAGGGTTGTATTATTTGTCACTACATGCCAATTGCAGATTCTGAGAGGCAAGCTGAACAGTTTAATCAGTGGACACTCAATATTCATATGTATCAGAGATGATCTTGGAAGTTTGCTTAATTTCCTTTTCCTCATTTAAAAATCCCCCATGTAGTCTAAGCGTGGAAATGTTTATTTTAAAATTTTCTTAAAAGTTTCTTAATAGTAACCTAAAGCCTGACTGAAGAGTTTCTTCTACTTTGCCACCTTGATTTTTTGAGTTATTGTGATCCTTTTACCTTGGTGTACAGTACATGAGGCTGCAGGTCTGGTCTGATTTTCCAGCTGATCTTACAGAGTTCCTAGTCCCTGCAACAGCTGCCTTGGCTGAGGCTGTGCTGTGCTCCTTGCTTCTGGAGCAGCAGCTTAAGACAGCTGTCTTTTTGGCACAAGTTGAGGTAGGCACAGCATAACCAAGAGCTCATTTAGGGAGGAAACTGGAACTTAGCCAGTCACACAATCATGGATACAAAACCTGGCATTAAACAGCCTTAATTTTTACAGTGTAATAAGAAATGGGCTTTCTAATTATGTTGCATGTGTAGCAATACTACCTTATTGCTTTGCAATATAACAAGACCAAGGGTGACTTGCAGACATAAGAAATTTAATAAAAGCATAATGGGAAAACTATCAGATTTTATTATTGGAAAGACTGCAGTGACACATCGGCATCAAAAGCAATTGTTGTAGCTTTACTGTGGAGGCTCTTGAGGAAGCGCAATAAAAACTGAGAATATGTGGGAAGAATTCTAGAAACCAAGGTATAAGGGTTTAGAACAGTATGTTTTTATTTGCTAATACTCTTGAAAGCAGCTGTAATATGGTCTTTCTTCCCTGTTCCTGCTGAAATGCTGCTGTAACTATTTGTAAAGCTAGAACTAGAAATGTAGTTCACAGTCCACCGTATTGAAATAACCTGAAATTGGTGTCAGTTCAGTACTGTGGGTTATAAAGCCAATTAAAAATTTTAGTTCCTAGTGACCTTAAAGCAGTTAAATAGAGAAAAGACTAAGTATTGTGTGCAGATATGTAGACACTGTGCCAGCATGATGGTCTGCTGCGATTGAGATGACATGTAGATGTCAGCTAGGAAATGTAGCTGTAGATCACAGCTAGAAAAGTCAGCGTCAGGAACAATTTAACAGAAATTTACTTACCCAATTCTCCTGCAAGATTTGCACTTCTGTGTTTGTAGAACTGCCCCTCAGTTCCTTCAGACCATTTGATTTTAGCAAACTGAAAGAATGGCTTTGCGGCCTTGGTGTTCCCCCTCACCTGTTTCTGGAGCCTGCTATAGTGGGTCTGTTTTCCCTGTGCTTTTGCTGTTGTGTCCAGGGGGTGAGTAAGCAAGTTAGTGTTATGGCAAAAGCTGTTGCTACCCTAAACTTTAGAGATCCTCTATCTAGTGAAGCTAATTACAATTTCCAAACCTAATTTCTCTTTGTAATTAAGAACACTAGAGAGAGTGCTGCTTCAGTGCAAAGGAGGTCAACCAAATTACAGATATGTTGTTATGATTTTGGTGATATTCAGCTGTGACACCTTGGACATTTTAGCTAAATGAAAACCATTTTCCAAAGTGAATGCCTGCAGTGCTTCCATCTGCATATGTATGGTAGTGACATTTCCAGCTGACCCAACAGCTTCTCAAGTTGCATCCCTCACAAAGACATTCTGTTAAGTCACTATTGCTAGCTAGCGTCCTTTTTTTCTTTTTCTTTCTTTCTTTCTTTTTTTTTTCTTTTTCTTTTTGTGGAAGTGACAGTTTCTGTTGGGGAGAACAGAGAGATTTTAAGATGATAATATGCTTGGAATTGGGTTCATAGTGGGGCAACTAGGACACACAGATTGGTCTACTGAAATTACTGACCAGTGCAACAAACATATGAAAGGACCACTGTTCTGCTACTAAATGCGTACAGCCCCTCTAAGGTGCTGAATACTCAGAAATTCTCAATTCAGAGGGGGATGCAAGACGTCCACATATACAGTCTTGATGCCAAGCTTCCAGGCATTTCTGTTCGGAGAAAAAAAAAAAAAAAAAAAGGCTCTAATTTGTAGACAAAAGGCAGTTTGTAAATGTGCTTGAGTAGCAGATAGAACAACCAAGGCAGTCGTGGTGTGTGGACAGACTGTCGCTGCAGTGACAAATGAGGATATTGCTGGATGCAGAGTGAGATAGTCGTGAGCAGTGCTCTAAACGATAAAAAAATTCATTGTCCTGGGTATTCTTCAACTGAAAAATTAGGAGAGTAAAACACAACATCGCTGTGCTGATGCCATCAATATTATTCATTCTGTTAAGTGACAACAGATATTTGCAGATTTTTATTTTTTAAAAACAATAGATGAAACTGGTTTGAGTTTACATGATGGCTACGACAGAGCACTTGGATAGAGGGAGTTATCCTTCAGATGTGTTAGCAGAGCTAGAGGAATAAGGAACGCCCATCAACTCACCGTGCTTTGTGCCCGCGTCATTACAGCCAGAATCAGACTGATTGGGTGTGCTACTGTGGTCTGGAATTAGAAAAGATATCATTTACAAAGCAACCAGATGAAATCTTTTAGCAGTTCTCAACCATGCCTGTTTCTTTAATTGTCTTTGTCAAACTTCCTTTTCCTTCCTTTGCTTCAGAACTGTTTCTCATGAAAGATGGGGTTTCCTCTCTGGGAAGAGCACAGAAAGTGCATGTAAAGATATGTATTTTGCAAGTGGATGCTGATTTTTAAAATAGTGTGATTGAAAAATTATTTTGATGAATCAATTAATGAAGGCTAATATATCACCTAATATTGTCAAAATTTGCAACGGTCATTCTGCTGACCCAAGAAATGTATTTTCTTTAAAGCAAACAGAGCTGACATTTCAAATGAATCTTCCTGGTCATGGGTTTTAACATCTTCAATTTCTTTTTTAATAGGAATTCCTTTCAAATGTAGGTGTCTTAACCATTATAATTCTGTAGCTGTGTCTCTCCACACTATTCTCCTACCCCGCTTTTTTTTTTTTTTTACAGTAGCACTCGTTTCTGTATCAAGCTCATTTTTCCCTCACTCAGATAAGAGCATCATGAGTGGATGTCATTTAAGAAATTAAGTTAAACCAGTCTTGATGTGCTTGTATCTTGCATGGTTATGAAAACATATATATATATGTTAATATATTTTGAAATAACCATGCCTGCCTTCAGTTTTAAGTATAAATTTGTGTTCTTTGTTTCCTGTTGTGTTGTGACCTGAGAAGAGCATCGTGAAGACTAATGCTCTTTTTGCCCAAATCAGAGGGGAGTCAGTCAGCACAGACTCACAAAGAGGTGGTGGGTTTTTGTTCCATTTTGGTTTTTGGTTTTTATTCTTTTCTGAATTGCTGTTGGGTTGAAGAACGTCCATCTGATCCTGAAAATTTTACCTTTCCCCAGAGATAAAAGCAGTGAGGCATGTGCTGCTTGCCTTGTGGATTGCAACTTTATTTGTATACAGAACTTGCTGATCAGAAATCTATTGCATAGGCATGGCGTTTGTCAGTTCCCTAAAGGACATCCCTTCCCTTCCCCGTGTGCTGATAAGTATTCTGTCTTTTACTTTGATCCTCTGATGAAAAGTGCATGCTTCATCTTCTACTTGTGAGTGATGTTTCTTTCTCTTTTTTTTTTTTCTCTTTCCTTCTCTTAATTTCCTGGCTTCTCTCTCTTTCCTTTCCTTTTATTGTCTCCCCTTTCTTTCTGATGCAGAGATGAAGATAGTTGGGTGTAAGTTTCTGCTTTTCTGTGTAATGTCTGCTTATTGCTTGCTTTTTCCCATTTTCATGTCTTTCATGGAATGTTGGGGATTGGTAGAGGTAACAAATCATGACATTTCAGAGAAATTTTAGTAACAGAGGCTTTGTCTTTCCCGTCTCTTCATATCACAGGCCAACTTAAAAAAGGTTAATCAGTAGGAAAGGTGAGGAAAATCTCAGCATCTGCTCTCTCAGGTGGCAGAAATACACTGAGAATTGGACGTGGCAGCACTCATCAGCCATCCTCAGAATATTCAGGGTGACAGAATTGATGAGGCTGAAAGTTACAGTTATGTAATAATTACCCCCAAAAAAGCATTTACAAGGAGATTAAAGAACGTTTTTATCATTAATCAACTGTCAGAAAATGGAAAGTAAAAAATATTAATTTGGAGGAGATAACATTAAAAATTCAGCTTACAGCTACAGGAAACCTTTCCAGGCACATCACTGAATTTAAAAAAATCCTATTATTTTCTAGGCACAGAAGTGCAACAATGGATATCAAATAGTCTACTAAACATCATTTGTTCAGTTTTTAATTACAGGAATTGAAACAATTTGGGTGTTTTGTTCACCAAAAGCTAGAGGGTCACTTGGAGTTGAACTTGCACAATGTTCCATTTATAGAGGGGGGGAAAAAGGTTTCCTTTGGTAGGTAGGCAGTCAGTAAAACCTGTGTTTCCCTTTACCAATGCAGTGTTATTCCCAGTAATGTTAATAGTTGCATGCCATCAATACTTCAAGAATTTAGAAAGTTACTAAGTTACACTTATAAGTGTTAGATTAAATACAGGCTGTTTCTGTACATGGTTATTAATTTGCTATTTAAGTCCTTAATCTTCGAGTGAAAAACCTGCAAAACCAGTATAAATCATTCTTTGATTGATTTATCCTAACACAATCATTGTCCATTGGACTATTGAATTGTTATCAAGTTATCAAGTTATGTTATCAAGTCTTGACAACTAATATTTGGAATGTGTACAATGTGTACTGTAAACACAAAACCAGTGTTATGAATCTTATATTCATTTCCACAACTTGCTTAAAATAAAATAGTTTCGGGTGATAGGAGAAAGGACTTCAGAGTAAGCAAAGCCCACACAGTTAATATTTAATGACCTGGTAATTTGAATACAAATTGTATATTCGACATAGTTAGATTTTAAAGGAACAGTAATAGCCAAAACAAAACCCTCATAAAAGTGATGGGAAAATAAATGAAGGGTAGTACGAGACATCACAAAATAATTCTTGCTATTGTGAGAAGCGCCGTATGTCAAGACATTTCATGAAGGTTTAATCTCAGGAACTGCATATATAAAAACTGCATATATTTTGTGCTAAGGAGCCGTTTACATTTGGTTTTAAATAAAAAGCGCTTGTTGAGGGATGGCCTTTAATACTATTCTGAAAACTCACTGGCTGCTTCATTTCATCCTGACATCGAGTGTCCTCAGTTCAAGTGCCGGGCACCGGTTGGAACCTACAAATGCTTTTGGCCCGCTGGCCTCCCAGCACTCTTTTTCCTGTGCTAACAATAGGAGGCCAACACTGACCCACTTTGATGAGCTGCACTGTTCTCCTGTGAGGATGGGAGAGGCTGCTGAGATGCACACTGGCACACATGCTGCTTTTCTCCCAGAGTGCAAGAGAAGTGTTGTCACTTCCAAGCCAGAACTATTTGTATGGAGGTGTGTCTGCTTTATTAACGAGTCCTTTATTCCTCTCTTTTTCTATTTTAAGACAGAATTAATCAAGGGAAGAGCTCTCTCTGCCAGGGTTTTTGACTTGCTGTGTAGCTGTTTTTTGGTGTCAGAGCTGACAAGGATCTCTTGATTCTGCTGATCACACCTCTTGTTTTGTCACATACGAGCAGCATGATGCAATCTGCTCGGGCACTTCTGAGCTGCTGTGAAGGCCTCTAGCCTTGCAATTTGCATACTCAGAACAAAATGTCTGACACACTGCTCTGTGTCCAAGCATTTACTCTGTTTCTGTGGAGCCCTTTACAGTATCTGAGCTCAGAAACATCGAGAGTGGCAGCAGCAGTCAGGAAAAAAAGGCTAGCAAGGATGCAGTAATAGCTTAGGTTAAGTAACATGCTAGGAAGAGGGAATTCTTTTAGAAAGGATATTTTTATGATTACACACTAACAAACTGAAGTCTGTGAGTTTCTGGCTTTAACTCCAGACTTTGAAGAAGCAGATGAGTGCAATGCCTGAGAGCAGTAGCCTTCAGTCTATTCTTACTTTGCATTATGGCCTTTTCTGGTTATTTTTAAGATGCTATAAACTATTTTTACAAGAGAAGATGTTCCATTACACTTCACTGAAGTACTTTTTCCCTTTTTTTCCTTCATTTTGATGCAAATCCACTGTTATCTCGATTCCTCTGCCCCCCACCCCACAGGCATTTTTTCAATTAGTGAAGTAATATCCCTTCTGGTAGGCTTAATGGGAGATTGGATGCTGTACGTTCACCAAACTCTGCATTTAATTTAAACTAGGATTTGCAATCTGACATTGGGCTTCGTGTGGCCATACCCTGTTCTGGAGAAGAGGCCATAAATAAGAATCTCCCAAATGCTAATTTATGGGTACAACTAATTTCTATTAAGAATCACAGCATATAAATTGGATTCTTTCGTCCTCATCATGCATGCTGCTTAGAAAAAAGGCTGGAGGCTGTTAAGCAGAAGGAGTTTCAAAACAAAAGCCCTGACTTAAACTATCTTCAGCTGCGACTTGTACATTTCCTTGATATTCCTGTGGTCAACGTATAGGTGGCTTGGCTGCATTTTAAACAGCAAGAAAAACACACAGATAATTTTCTCTGCACAGCGTTCCATGTGATGGCTGTTCTTTGATGAGAAAACCTGACTGAATGCTGGAGGGCTTTCGTGACCCTCTCGCTGTTATCTTCCTCACAGCAGTGAAGCACTGCAGTCTCAGAGCCCTCGCTGTGATTCATGTCCTGCTGCCCACCCTGTGAGCCTGCCCTGCCAGTAGGGCCGACAGAAGGAGGGCATTTTGGAAACAGATTCACAGGAGTGCTAGCAGAGAGCACCGAGAGGCAGCTACAGAGTGGTACTTCTGTGCCTGAAAAGTTGTACTGCTCTCCAGAATAAAAATGACCATAAAGGCAAGCTTCTGTTGTTTGTCCCTTCAGTAGAATCCGGGGTGAATTTGGTGGGGTGAGAGACTTCAAGAAAAATTTGAAGTGCATCTTTGACTAAATATCCCTCATTGCCTGAAAGCATATGCTGCTTGTTTCATAGTGCTTCTGGTTAATAAGCAGATTTAATAGCATCAGCTTCTCCAAGTACTGGGTTGGAAGAAATCAGTCACTGAAGGAGTCTCTGCTTTGCTGTATAACCATTCCACCACTTCATTATTTGGTCTCTTGAGGCTGCTTAACAAAATCCCTGACTTGAAAGTGTTTGATTTATAGTTGTTCAAAAATTGTGTATTTTTTTTATACTGCCCTTTCATACATTTCTCTTTGGGAGAAATAAATAAGAAGCGATAGGTCACAGAATGGAAGCAGCAACTAAACCTGAGGGAGAAGCAAGTGCTACCTGCCATCCTCTTGGTGAATGCTTTAGAACTTACTGCATTCCTTTTGAAAGCAGCATTTCCCAAACCAGATTCTTAGAACAAAATAAGAAGTGAACAAGACTTTGTTAAATTTGGGATAATAACAAATCTGAGAGAGGTGCCAGCATTTGTATTGCTGAGTGCAGTCATTTGCTCTGAAAGCTCTTGAAAGTGAGGTCATGATTAACTGGCAACTATCCATACTGCCTGCTCTATTACATTCTTGCATATGGACACCAGAGACTAGCCAGAAATCTAGCAGAAAAACCAATTAATAATTCCCTCTTAATCCGTCTCAACTGAATTACAGCCAAGTATCCAAAAAGGCTGCTTTTGTTTTCTTGTTACAATAAAAAGGAAATTCACAAATCTACAAAATACTCAGAGAAGATTTAACTGAAATTAATTTTCTACCAATCACCACAAGAATACGCATTTGTTTTTAAAATATATTGAAAATAGGAAGTCTGACACTATTCATGCTTTCAGTTTTCTCCTGATAGCTGCATCACATAACTAGGCAGAGTAGTGGAGGTTTTGTTTTCCCTTCTCTACTCACACACAATAAAGCAGGTGTTGATTCCGAGTTCACACTTAATGAAGGCATTACTAACAACGTTCTGATTTTATGCATTGATATCAAAATGTTCATCTTTATTAACAATTAACTTGCTGCTTGGAATGATTTGGCATCAGCCATAGTCTTGCAGAACACCGAGTGGTTTGCAGAATCAACATAGGCTTCACACAGGCGCTGTCTCCCATGGTGAGTGTAGCCATGTGCCTCCTGTCTTTCCCTGCAGGTGATATACGCAATGACTTATACCTGACACTGGAGAAGGGAGACTTTGAAAGAGGTGGGAAAAGCGTGCAGAAGAACATTGAAGTGACCATGTATGTTCTGTACGCAGATGGAGAAATCTTGAAGGTAAGTGCTTGTTTCCTCTACAAGTTTTGAGTGCCATCTGCTTGTTCCATGCACACATGCTGTTTGTTTGTTCTCTGATGCCAGGGAAACTACACTCAAACTAGTTCTTCCTATTTTTGGTTTTGGCTAAGGTTTTAACCTATTACAATGAAAGAAGTGGTCGCTTACATGTGGTCCTGTTTACGAGTGGTCCTGTTTAGCAGAGTGGATGGTGATAGGACAAGGGGAATGGTCTTAAACTGAGACGGGGGAGGTTTAGGTTGGATATTAGGAGGAAGTTTTTCAGCCAGAGGGCAGTGAGGCACTGGAGCAGGTTGCCCAAGGAGGCTGTGGATGCCCCATCCCTGCAGGCACACAAGGCCAGGCTGGATGTGGCTCTGGGCAGCCTGGTCTGCTGGTTGGTGACCTGCACACAGCAGGGGGTTGGAACTGGATGAGCACTGTGCTCCTTTGCAACCCAGGCCATTCTGTGATTCCATGATACATATTTGAAAGAATTCGGAGCACTGCCCCATGTGGGAATAGGCGCTTAGGAGAAAATTTTTATAAACTGAAAAGCTTATATAATTTGCAGTGTGATGTCAGTGACTGTAGTAAAATTTAAAGTCACTGTAATCAAAGATCAAAGAAGCATATGACAAATTTCTTAAGTCAATTAGTGTATGTGATAAAACAGGAATACAGGCGAGGCTGTAGGAAGTGTGGTTTGTTGGTGTGTTGAGCGCCGTTTTGAAGAAGTTCCTGATTTCCAAGATCTTGGCTTTCACCATGGGGGGGCTTTATTCCTGTTGGGAATGTTGTTAATGTTTGTCTTTCTTTCTCTGTTCTTACTATAGTGTTACTGAAGGGAAGAACAACAGGTAGATATGTCAGCTTTGTGTGAGGTGGGAAAGAGTGAGGAAAGAGAAGTAAAAGTATTTTGACATAAACTGCTATTGGGAATGGAGAAGAAGCTGCATTTAAAATCGTTGAATTAGAACTTCCCCTAGATTTTTTTTAACATCTGGTGCAAAAAAGTGGTCTTTGTAGCCATTCTCATAGAACAGGCTGAACCCCAAAGTCCTTGTGTGTCTAACTCGGTGCCGCAATCTGTTTTGCGAATTGGAAGAGGAACCTTTCCCTTATTAACATGATTTCTTGTGATTTGATTGAAAATTAAGTAAGGAACTCTCTTGTAAGGAACTGCTTTGTGCCCACAGCTGTTTCTGGAAGATCACAATCCTTTCCTGTTCAATTGCATTAGGCATACATTTCAAATTGAGCGTCGTACATTTTTAATCATTGCTGTGTTACAGAACAGTCTGCTGAAGACCACTGTAGATCTTGGTTGTTCCTAGCACGGGATCAGCATCTTCAAATGCCAACATAGTTTCTAGACGTTATCAACATAGTATCTAGACTTCTTTGTTTTCTGCTGGAGTTCTCACTGCAATACTTTTCCCTTTCCCTTACCCTTTGTATTGCTCCAGCAGTACTTCAGGGCTATGGGTGGAATTGGAGGTGGGACATGGCACAGAGAAAAGAGGCAGTCAATCCAAATAAAAAAAAAATCAGAGGAACATACTTTTTGTAATAGAAAGACTTTACATAGAAAGGATCCCCTGTGGATTCTCAATTTAAATAACTTATTTACAAGAAAACCTTTGTACCGATTTTTATATTGCTGCTCCTCATTGTAGTGGCAGTCAAAGCAACTTTTTATGGTTATGTCAGGGAGATCCGTGGTTCGTGAAGCCTAATGATGCCTCAGATCAGTTGCGTTTCAAACATGCAGTCATCAGAATTTTTTACATAGGAAATAATAAGCTGGCGAATGTCTACTGAAAAACCAGTGGAAGTGCTATCAAGAACAATAAAACCTGAGCTCCTCCTCTTTAATTTGAACTCCTCGCTGCATAGTTCTCTTATTGCAAAATAGACCTGGAAAGATAACATATGAAACCAAATATTGGTTGAATTGAATATGGAGACATAATTCAAAGTTCTAAATGGCAGTTTGAAGGAAAAGTCATATCTGCATGAGGCAAGGAACAGCCACTTAGAACTGAGTTTGGAAACCAATCACGTATTATCTTTTTTCTTTGCTGCCATGGTTTCTACCTGATAGAAAAATTCTGTAAATTCATCTCCCAGAGGTAAAGCAAATGAGACAGCCATCTGGAATTACTTTTGACTTAGTGGGTTATCTTACCTTAAGTGCTGATGTCCTTATGGAAGCCAACTGACCTTATTAAACGCATATGGCTTTTAATAGAATGTTCTAAATCTGTAGAAATGCCTTGAAGACCTTAAGAATTCTAGGTATCCACAGATACACAAAATGTAATATATATTTGTTAGTCTGGGTTATTTTAGTATTTCACCTTTTATGTTAAGAATTTAGTATTAAACTCTAGACAGCTTATTTTTTCATTGTGGACGCCTGGTTTGTGTTATCTGTGGTAGGGTAAGATCAATCAGTGTGTTGGAACCCGTCATTTCCATTAGAAGGAAGCTGGTTTCACTCAGAGGCAGAATATAACTATTCCTAAGTGGGGGGAAAGAAGCAGCTGCAAAGAGAGTGCTGAATGGGGAGCTTTCATTTCAGTCAGTCAGCGTAATCTAGAAGGAAATATTAAGATTGCAACAAGAGGAGTGCCATTTGAGCTTTTTAATGTAAAAGATAAGAATAAAATTTGGTTGACTTAGCTCTCAGTGCAGTACTGATGAGTTGAACAGCTTTGTTTGGGTTGTCTGACCACTGAATGATCTCCTGCATGACCCAAGATGCATTCACAGTCTTGAGAGGCTGCTTTCTGCCTTCCGTTTCATTTTTCTAATCACAGGGTTAATTGAATAACTTTCAGTTGGTAGCGTGGTTGGGGAAGTAATAAAAAATCTCCAGTTGAAGATTACAAGTGCATGAGCAGTGCACTGAAGATGTGATCGTTGACCCCAGCACACCACTTTCCTTGGCTGAATGCTGTTCCTGACCTACAACATTTTCTAAACACTGCCAAAGAAGAAAGTGTGTGCTGAGTTACACCACACTGCGGGAATCATGGCTCTGTGAAGGCTTCAGCAGAACCATACAAAGTGTTAATAAGAATATTCTGTTTCAAATCCGTATTACTCTTGAGTGTATTCAGTGTAGTTCAGAAATAGTCCTATTGAGAGCAGTGGAAATAAGTCCCAAACAAGATGAGAGTTTTCTTTACAGTGTTGTCTCACCCAATTATTAGTATCCTTTAGTATAGTCTGAAAACTAAGTCTTGACACATGTAGCACTTACTCTTCTTTCTGTTCTAGTAGAAAGAATATCTTATTCATCATAGGATGTAACTTAAATGATAACATCGTTATGCAGTCCTTTTTTTGGTTTAGCCTGTGCTCTCCAGTTCAGAAATTTCTTCAAGAATTTCAGATTTTATTGTGTCTGATTTTCTGCTTCTGCTCTTCCTCTATGTCTACAAAAAGAGATGAATTATATGAAGATTATCACCGTGTAATAAAATGACTCATCTGTAGTGATGTGCTGTCTTTTAATCTTAAATTGTGTTCTTTTGTTCCAGGATTGCATCAGCCTGGGCTCAGGAGAGCCAAGCAGGAGTGCCTACCACTCTTTTGTCCTTTACCACAATAACAGCCCTCGATGGGGGGAAATCATCAAGCTGCCCATCCCCATTGACAGGTTTCGTGGGTCTCACCTCCGCTTTGAGTTCAGACATTGCTCCAGTGAGTGCAAAACGTAACCTAAAGAAATCTAAAATGGCTGAGGTCTTCCCATTGCCAGTTCATGCTTGAATGAGGCTGTTAATCCCTGGGAAGGAGGAAGAGGGTGCCAGCTTTGACAGTGCACCTTTACTGCAGTTTGTTAGCTTGTTGCAATGTTCATTGAACAGCACAATCCCTGCAGGGCTAAACGTTCTGTAGATATTCTCCCCTGCTGTTCTGTAACTGTGTTTTCCTGTATAATGTTTTCTTTATAACATGTACATTTTTTATTTTACTGTGATCAGCATGTTTGTACTTGGCAAGGCAGTTGTGACTACACAACCTTTACAGATTTTTTCCAAGCCAAACCATTCTGTGATTCTCTGAGTGTTTGTTTTGAGGCTTGCTGATGACTTGCATAGAATTAAACTTAGTAGTTTGTTATATACTGATTCTTACATTACCTGCCTGCTTTTTGTTAGGAATGCGGTGGGTAACTTTGTAGAGTATGTGGATAGAGTATGAACAAATGTGATTTCTTACTTATATCTTGTTACAGCAAAAGACAAGGGAGAAAAGAAGCTCTTTGGGTTTGCATTCACTCCATTGATGAGAGATGATGGCACTACCTTGTCGGATGATATCCATGAGCTTTATGTTTATAAGGTACCAGGTCTTCTCAACTATTCACCACAGCTTCAATTTAAATCCAACTGTCATTGCGTTCTCATTTTTTCCCACATTAAAAAAATTAAAAAATTTGAATTTATGTGACTAGGTATGGAAACCTCCTTCTGCTGTAGGTACAACTCATTTTTCTCATCAGATACTGATGATTTATCTTTCATTAATTATGACTACTTGAAATTCAAACATACGAGTCTTCAAGCCGTCGGCAGTTTTACAGCCCATACTATTACTGTGTATTAAGAAATTGTTTCAGTGCCCAGAAGCTTCAAATGCATTGCTGCAGTGCTACATCTCAACAGTGCTGTAGCAAGAAACTTTGGAGAGTTTTTGGCATTGGGTTTCTTCTGCTGTTGTTTTTTTGTATTTTTTCTTTCCACCATATTGATTTACTTTGGTTTATTTCTTCACTATGACTTTCAGACAGCAGCACTAAGTTGGAAGGTGCAGATAGGTTCAAAACAGTCAGTAGTTAGAAGGTGACATTTTTTTTTAAAACTGAGTCTCTTCTGTGTACACACAAGCCCTGAAGGTGGTAAGCACAGCTTTTCCTTACTAGTGTTTGTGTGCACCCAAAAGGTCAATAAAAGTACTGCCAAGCAATTGCTATCAGGACTTGTGTGTGAAATGAAATAAATAGACCGGGTAACATTCCATCCCCTTTCCTGTGTTTGCAGTGTGATGAGAACAGCACGTTTAATAACCACGCGCTCTATCTGGGGCTGCCCTGCTGCAAAGAGGACTACAACGGCTGCCCCAATATTCCTTCCAGTCTCATTTTCCAGCGCAGCACCAAAGAGTCCTTTTCTGTCTCCACGCAGCTTTCTTCTACCAAACTGACCCAGAATGGTAAGTAGCTGGTACTTCAGAATTGCTTATGGGCAGATTTGTGTGCTGTATTGACATGAGCAGAAACTGTTGTTGGACTGGGGTTTTGTTTGGGTTGTTTTGGGGATTTTTTTGTTTTTTTTTTTTTTTGAAGAAATTGTTACTGAGTAAGGGCAGAGAAATGACTGGCATTTCTGTAAGTGCAAGACATGAGTAATCTGTTAAAACGAAGATAATTTTAATTAGGTAATTAAAGAACAAAAAAATGAGTTGTTGGCACTTTGACACATTCCTAGAATTTGTTTTTTCGGCTCTTGCAGAACTACTAAGGAAACCAAAACTTGTTATAGCAATGTTCCTGAGGCACAGGAAGAAAAAAAATATGTATTTTTCACAGTGTAGTGTGAGGTTGCCATAGGAAAGGTAGCAGTATTTTTATTCGTTCTAAGACTTTTCAGTTCCTCCATCCTTTCTGTTAGTAATGTTATTCTTCCTGTTTGGTTTCCTTCTTGTTTTTCTTTCTTTTTTTTATTCTAACATGTGTGAGCTGCAACAAGAGCAGAACTGTAGCATAATGAATCTCAGTTGGGTCTGCAGTTGCCCTTCTGCCCTTTGTATATGGACTCTGTCTCTTTCTCTCTTACTGTTCTGCAGTGGATTTGCTTGCCCTCCTGAAATGGAAAGCTTACCCCGATCGTGTGATGGATATTCTAGGAAGGCTGAGACATGTCAGTGGCGAGGAAATTGTTAAGGTACTACATGGAATTAAATGTATCCAGTGTCTTTGGATGTATCAGTGTTAGTAAGCTAATTGATATCTGCAGTGCACATCTGATTGTTGCTACTTACTGTACTTTGTTTCGTGCTGTCTCAAAGTGTATGATAGGGATTTTTTTAATATGAAATTGAACACTCCAAAAATGAATGGTATTCAATCCTCAGGATCAAACCTGCTGTATTCCAAAGACAAATAACCTCATCCACCTGTATGGTGAGCATCATCCTTAGCACTCACTGTTCTGCTCTGTAGACCTGCCCCCACTGAGCCATACTGTTTTCTAATGAGTGCACAGCTCTGTTAGTGGTGTTTGGTGCAGGCTTTTCTGTTCCAGTCGTATTTTCAAAAAGGCGTTCCCTGAAAACGGGGAACTGTGGTTGACCATTTCTAGAGTGATGAAAACAGAGCTGACACAGAAGTCTTAGCTTTTGAAACAGCTAATGATGGAATGGAATTGATGGAATTGATGGAAACAGTGGAATTGATGTGTATTTCTGTTTTGAGAATATATTTGAAACCTCTGTGTAGAAGACAAACAAATCTGAAACCTTGAAAGTCAAGTGCACCATCCTGCACTTCACTGTCCCAGAGCAGTGAAGTCGTGCTGCTGCACAGAACACCAATGTCAAACGAAAGTCCCATTGTTTGATTAGGAGTTTATGCCACTTTGTTGTAACTCATTTAAATGTTGCCATATCTTAATTTTAACTTTCATGATAGCACATGTAAAAATAACACGAGAAGAAGATACCCAGTGTGTACTGAAATTATTCAAGAAGGCCATATGTCATACATTTGTTTGCAAGGCAGTACAAGTATTTGCTTTTTATAGGGAAAATTAAAAAAAAAAAAAAGAAGAAAGTATTATTCCAAGAGGAAATGCAGTTGATTCCATCCCATAGTTGGCTGCCATTTGGCATTGGGATATGAAGCACAGAATGCAATAATTCAGAAAAAAGAAATTTTATCTTCTCAGAAACTTCATAAATTGTTGCGTTTTGTTTCTTGTTCTCCACCTGATAAACGTAATTAGAATAGATTGCAAAATGACGAGGACGGAAGCAGCAGCTGACTTCACCTTCAGCATTCCTCTTCACAGTCATCCCTTCTGAGAAAAGTAAAGAAAGTCACTGAATTATCAGCAGTGTTACAGATGGGAGAAACAATTGGCATTATGTAGCTTGAATCAATTAATGTTTGTTGTAAGAGCCATAGTTTCATTCCTATAACAAAAGTTTTCAATACTAAGCATAATTTGGAGCACCATTTAATGTGCTTCCGTGTCTTAAATTTGATGACAATGGCATCCAATACACTATGATGTTATGATAGTTTAATTTCTACATTGTTTTGCCACCTAGGTAGCACTTACGTCAGTTCAGCTGACAGAGAAAGGAGCACCCAGTTATATTTCTGTGTAGTACGTATTTCTTGTTTTTGTTCTCCTTTATCTGTTATTTTCATTTAGAAATATTCCTCGTGAAGGGAAAAATTCCTCGTGAAGGGAAAATCTGTCTTATGTGTGAACCTGAAATGATTTGTCCTTGGGTTTACAAAGGCATCAACATGTGTGACATAATTCAAACAGGGCAAAGAGTTCATATTTTGAATACAATTGAAACTTATTGTTCATTAATATCACTTTAGTTCCTTCAAGACATTCTGGACACACTGTTTGTAGTTTTGGATGACAACACCGAGAAGTATGGCTTGCTGGTCTTTCAGTCTTTGGTAAGCTGATGAACTGTTGCTTGTCTTTATCTCATGGTCAGTGATTTTGAATTCACGTAGTGATCCCGGATGGCTTCAACCCGCAGTTGGGAGGGGAGCGGTATTCGCTATCGCTTGGGAGAAGCATGCAGTGACATCTCATAATGAAAGTATTGACTGTTTGAAGAAAATCACGTGTTTTGTTGTTCCATTGTCTTATTGCAGAACACTGTGTGCAGTTTCCTTCAGTGAGGACTCACTGCTTCATCTGTTACAGGTGTTCATCATAAATCTGCTGCGTGACAGCAAGTATTTTCATTTTCGACCTGTGATGGACACTTACATTCAGAAGCACTTTGCAGGAGCACTGGCTTATAAGTAAGTTTTGTTTATCCATCACTTCAGGGGATGGTCTTAGAAGCCTTTGAATGATGTCACTAAGAGTCATAATGTTTGTGTTAGCAGAGGTTTTCAAAAATAGAACTATCTGGACAAAATATTTCCAGCACAGTTTCAGAGAAAAGCTGCTCATTGTATTGTTGCCAGAAACGAGCAGACGTTGATTTTTACTTTGCCTTTCTGAAGTGACAAATTCTGTTTTCATTGTTTTATAAATGTCACTCAGCAACACCTCCTTGTCAGTCTGTCAGCTAATGAGCTGCAAGAGTATATACATTTCTTGTCCAAGGACATTGGGAGATAGGATGTGTGTGAAAGCTTGCAGAACTAATTGTTATTACTTCTTCCAAAATGGACAGGTGTTTATGTAAGCTGATGGTTTTCCATTTTATTAGAGTAAGTTTGTATTTCAGTGGATCGGAATCTTAATTTTCACTGTTACTTTGAAGGTTCTGCTTTATTTTCTATTGTACTTTTTTGAGTTTTGCATCAAGCAACAAGACAGACATGATTAGGAAAGCAGTATGGCTTACCATTCAGGGTTTTAGTTTTACTTACCAAATATACTGACAGTGACAGGCACTGCAGGTAGTACACAACACTGGAAGGCGTTGTCATGTACAGAGGCTAAAATGGTGTTCTGTCTTGTGTGAATAATCACTTTTTTCACTCTGATGCCTAGTAAATATGTTTTAAACACAACTCTTTAAGGTAGTCCAAATGGTATCGTGCACTCCAGGAAGATGGTTCTTTGTGATCTTCAGTTTCTAAACACTGCTTACTTAGAGGAGGCCTGGCATTTGATGCCAAATGAGTAGAGTATGTCTTGATCTCAATTTTGATAAAGGCAAGCAATATAGTTCTATCTTTAATAGTATCGTTTGATGTTCTTATAGTTTGTCAATTACAGGGAAGAAATTATTTTCTGGTGTAGAAATTTAAATAAATGCATATGTTGTATAAAATTCAGTAGGTGATTCGAGTGGACTGAAATTAGACTTTTTTTTTAATAGATTTTTCCCTAGAACTAAAATGTTTGCTACCTGACTAATTTTTAAATGGTATTGAAACTACTGCTGCTGCCCCAGCAGCAACTTCACCTCCTTGGGCACCTTCTCACCATCCTCCCATAGGGTGATTATGTAGGGATGAGAAAGAATGCTGCTAAAAACATGTGAAATGAGTTTAAGTACAAGAGACAGGCTGTACAGTCATATTTGCAAACACCTTAATGTCTGCTGTTGCAGAAGGCTATGCAAAAAGAAGGTTTGATCAAATTCTGAGTTGAAAGATAAAAAAAGTTGAAGGGGGCAGCCTCTGAACACGGTGCACTGGTAAGATCTATCCTGAAGCAATTGTGATTGAATGTTATTTAAACTCGGCAGTGATGGCTAATCTTCATGTTACTGTTCTTTTTGCTGTTACATTCAGAGAACTGATCCGATGTTTGAAGTGGTACATGGACCGTTCAGCTGAGCTCGTACGCCAAGATCACATCCAGGAGGCAATGAGAGTATGTATGCATTAGAAATATTTATGTGCCTGTTTCATTTGTGAAGGGCTGAGGAAGCTGCAGATAAAATCAAGGGCTGTTTGTTGTTGGCATCTTAAATGTTTAACTAAAGTTATTTTTTTTATTGCAAAAAGTTAGGGGGAGATAGATTCATTCTTGTGCAGAAAACAATGAAACAACCACATCTTCTTAAGTCCTTTTGAAGCCTTAAGGAGATTTAAGTGGGACTTCAGTGGCACATATATGCATGTGTTACATATATTTATGTCTACACCTTGCACTTTAAGGAACGGTGATTTGAAGTGTATTAGGCAGAGGTGCCATGGATCAGAGGTACAATTTCCATTTGTGGCTGTGACGTAGCTTCATTGTGTCACCAGTGGAAGTTCTCTCCTGTTTTAAGAAGCTGGAAATTCTACCATTTATCATTCGTTCCCTGGCAAGAGTATGATGCTGAAAGAAGGCCCAACTTTCTAATGTTGTGTGAAGTCAAGGGAATAATTTTTATACTAATTGCAGAGAATTCAGAGAATAAATGAAGTATTTGTTTTACTGTAAGTAATTGTAAGAGAGAAAGAGAATGCACGTAAATACGATTCCAAATTTTGCAGGAAAGAGTCTTTGAGTGATTGTCTATCTGTACCTTCTTACTGTAGGCAGTACATCCAAACATTTTGAATCTGGGCGCTTTTAAAACTAGCATCAGTGGCAGAGATTTTTTCTTTTTTTTCACTTTTCTCACTTTTTCACATCACAAGTGAAGTGTGCCACGGGTGAGAAGCACACATGCACACACACATTGCTGCTTTAAGTTCTGGGTAAAGCATGGGAAAGTTAGGGGTTGTTTCTTGTGAATGTCTTTGTGCTTGTGTTTTGGTATATGTTTCAGATTTCATCACTGTTTTCCATTCCCTTTTGTGGTATTTTTATGCTTTGCTTTGTCTCCTTTGGTCTAATTTATTCAACATTTTTGAGAAAGTAGTATTTGTTTTTTGAGAATTTGAATGGTACAGCATCCCTACGTTTAACTGGCTGTCGCTCCTGATCTTGATACTTAGAAGATGGATTTAGCGGTTGGTTGTTAGAGTTTGGGTAGAATGGTGAGGTTGCAGTTGGACTTCATCTTCAAGGTTTTTTCCAACCTGAGCAATTCAATTATATGAGCACTATAGCAGTTTGTGCTTTGTCTTTGTAGATATTTATGTATTTAGAAACTATTTGTAATATTTTTGAACCACAGTTCCATAGGGAATAGTAAAAGTGGGCCAAAGATGAATTTTCTTGAAATTCTATTGAAATTCCCAGCTTTCTCATTCAATTTGTTTCCATCCTCATTGCTCATTTTTTGGAATTGCAAAGGAACCTGTTAAAATAGTGAAACAGGAAGCAGATCCCTAACTGGAATGGCTGGGAGAAGGCTTTCTTCTCCATCAAACTATTTGCTGGTATGCAGTGCAGCAGACGCAGATGTATGATATTGTTCCTAAGTGGAATTTGTTGAACCTCATGTTAGTTCTCTTCAGCAACTGTGAAAGTATGAGCGTTAAAATGTCTTTCAAAAGGTCAGTTATTCAATGTGCTGTTTGAAAATAAGTAAATAAATTCTTTCAAGGATGCTAAAGCAGCCCTTTGCTTACTTGGAATCTGAAGTGTTTGCTTAGTCAGCAGGTGTCCTGTCAGTGAGTTGGGTCGCTTTGCAGATCTGACAGCCCCTTTCCTAGCAATGAGCAGCAGAGGTTCTTCAGACCTAACAGTACATCCTCTACCACTGTGGTAGCTGTTACATTTTAAGGTGAACAGTTGGCTTCACAAGTAGATCTCGGAGGCCCAAATTAAGATCTTCATTTTCTTTCTTGATTCCCCATGGACATGATGGATATGCAGACACCCCATATGATTCTAATCCAGACCTTAGCATCAACAAGCAATGCTTTAGGCTGTTTCAGAAATGGTTTTCCTTGCTCAAGACTTTTTCTCAGAAAACTTCAGTGAAACCTGGAGTGTTCTGTGAAACATAGGGGCTTCCCTAGCTGTCTAGAACACATGGCACCATTTTCCTTGCTATTGCCCATAACAAGCTTCATGTAAGCTGCATCCAAATACACCTGCCTGTGCCTATGTGGAGAATTCTTTAGCAGGAGTCTCCATGGAGCCTCACAGGTGGTTTTACCTTTTCTGCTAGACATGCAAAACTAGTGAAATGTCTCTAGGCAGTGCAGTTCCAGCTTCAGGCATTTCCTGGAGGTGTAATCACACATGGCTTTGCCTGTATCAAGACATACACTTAAAAAGCAAGATCTCTTCTCAGGTCTCAGGAAGTCTCATCTTCATATCCGTGTTCTGGAGCTGAACCATACCATTGCCACAAGGTTTTACATGAATCAGTGAAAAGAAAAAGGTCAGTGTTTGGCAGAGGTTCAAACAATATTGTACTTCCCAGCTGATTTCACAAAAACCCATATTTTCTGAGCAATGGCAGCCAGGGAGGTGAGGCATTCAGAATTATATTCTCAAACTGCCTTTTGAGACTGCAGAATTCTCCAGACTGTTTTCTTCACTCTGAATTTCAAAAAGAAATGTCAGTCTTTCTGGACTTACTCCTAATTATCTCGTTCAGAAGTAATTACCTCATTGGTGATTTGTATTTTCTACAGTCTTGCTTTTTCTAAGAACACTAGAAAATTGTTAGGGTGATTACAGTCATTCCACCCTGGACAGTCTGTTTCTAGGACTTGCTCCTTCTTTTATTGTTAATGCCTTTCCAAACTTTGCCTCAGGTCTCTTACCTGCTTTCACAAGACTCTAATTGGTACCTCCGCTTGAATCTCTGTGCTTTTTGTCTTAGTAATGCAGAATAGATGCTTTCTGCACTTAAAGCAAATACTCTGTTCGTTGCCAGGAGCAAGAAGTAGTTTGCTGGCTGCTCTTGAACATGAAGTGGATTCCCATATAGACTGCTGTCTGTATTTTAGTGAATGTGTGATACTAAGTGTATTTTGGTGAATGAGCAGCATGCAAATATTCTTTAGTTTACTTGTAAGAAGGATGTTCATGTTTTCCACAAAAGCTTTCCACAAAATCCAATGAGTTTCCTTAAAGGCCAGCAAAACCAGAACATCCTTCAGCTAATAATCTAGTTAGTTACGAGATTTTAACTGGATGTTGGTGTCTTGTTTGGGGCTGTCCTTTGAGACTGCCTACGTATTTGTTTCCTTGTATTTTTATGAAGGTGGCTTTTTGAAGATTACTTTTGTTAATTTTGGTTAGGACAGTGAAGACATTCAGAGCTAATAATCATCCTTATATATATTGTGTGTATGATAAGGTCACCTGTTCTACATAGTCCATGTTATTTCCTGGTTTGGGTGTCTTGACTTAGGAAAGTAATCTGTGCTTTTTATTCTAGCAAGTTTGGTTAAGGTTGATTCATCTGTGCATACTCTGAACATCAGCTATGTTTTGCCTTTGGAACGGAACAGGCTTTTCATCTCTATGGCGGATGAGTCCAGATGTGCTGTTACACTGTTCGTTGGAGTATGCTATATTAAGGTCATCCAGTGGTGTTTGAGCATAGTCCTTGAAAGCACAAGTGATTCTAATGTTTCTGAAGAGTATCTTAATCTACTACACCTGCTGAAATCTATCCAACACTTTATCTGCATAAATGTAGCAGCTTCCTACCGATGTTGGATTTGTTAGTCTTCTGCTTTTAGTTCTTCTGGAACATTTTAGCTGAGCACCAGCTAATTTATGCAAGTTGAGGTGTGCTCAGTTGCATTCACAAGAGTGAACATGCATATGGACAGTCCCTCAGAGAAGAAAGGAAGGTTACTCATCAGTAAGTAGAAGTTGTTTGACATGTGTTATCTAAATGCACATTTCTTTCCCCACTTCTCTTCTCTGCTGGAGCACCACTGATAAAACTAGAGGATTATTTGGTTGAGAAGAAATGAGGTTACAATTGTATTTGTCATTTCAGTTTTTCATGGGATGGTACCATGAGATTTCAGACTGCTGATTGCAAGTAACAGATGCACACTCAGCTGCTCAAACCTCTTTTATCAGAGGAACTTCCTCTAATGTGGTACTATTCTCCTTTTGACATCTCTCTTTTTATATTATCCTGAACATATAGAAGGCTTGAATATCTTCAGTGTACTTCTACATCTTTAAGAGCCTGTGTGTGTCATATCTGGGATTTTGTAAGTAGTAAAATGCAAAGTTAGTCCAAGTGCTGATATGTGCTAAGAGGGCTTGGTTTGTGCTTTTACCTCCTCAGCTGCCTGTGTGAATGGAGTGAACTCTTTGGTTGGTTGTTTTGGATTCACTCTAAGGCAGCAGTTTAGGTGTCTCTGCCAAGGCTGAAAGCCTGCCACTGCACTTCCAACAAAGAATTACAGATTTGCAGACAGAAATCCTCTGATTTGTTGCAAAACATAGTCTTCACATTAAAGTTATGAGCATTCACATTGGAATTCTGGTTGTCTATACCAACCCATAAAGCCTGCCAGATCTTGACTTGCATTATTTTGTGTTAGCAGCAGAATTGCTAACCTTGAAGAGCAGACTGCTGTGAACCAACTCAGCTTTGTCTGGAAACAGACAGAAGTGTAAAGTGTTATTTCCTGCTGGAGTTCTTTGGAGTAAGGAAGCTACATTGGGAGGTGCTCTAGTGCAGAGGTATAAGTAGAGTCCTGCCAGGTTACTGAAAAAATGGCTGTAATTATCACCAGGATTTTGAAATCTGTGATGGATTTATGAAAGCTTTCTCGTTCTCTGTCCTTAAAGCTGTAGCATTCTAAAGCTTAGAACATGACATTGCATATAGTACACAAATATGTATTATAGTGTGATGGCTCAAGCATCTGATGGATACAAAAATATAAATGGGAGTAAAATTTGTCATTGGAATTTCTTTAAGCTCCCAAACAATGAGGCAGGCAAGAATAATTTTGAGTCAGTGTAATAGCTCTAATGTTTCTTTATAAACTATGATTAGCGAATTGCAGGAAGGTTGTTTCCTGTGCCGAGTTCTGAGGATACATCAGGCTATACATCTGTCTTCCTTAGTGCTCTCTTAATGGTCTGTCACATTAAGCACTGAGGGAAGAGTGAAGTCTAAATGTCGCTGATATTTAGTGTGTTTCAGTGTGGATAGCTGTGTGTGCCAAATGATGGAAAAGGCATTCTGTCTGTGTGGAGTATGACATTGTCGTCATAGCATCTCTGAGGGTCTTTGATAGATTGGCAAGCTTGTTGCAGGCTGTGTGGAACAACGTGTCATCCTTCCTTGACTCTGGTGCCAAATAAATGGAGTTCTGAACACCATTTACAAAGTTTTACCTAAAGGTGTTTGTGTTGCAAATCCAGACTTTCTAGACTTGTCCTTGATCAAATTACCACTTTCCTACAAAAATATCCTCTTTGTTAGTCCTCCAGACTGCAGCATCTATCACACATCATGAGGGCTGCTCTGAAAGTAATGCCTCCTATTTTATGATGTTGGCCCACATCATCAGAGGTAAATGTTGGTGGGTTGGCAGCAGAGGTTGAACCTTCCTGCCAGTACTCTATTATATTTTGTTGCTGTACAATTGATGGTGGTAGAGGGGCACTCTGACAAAATGACATCTGACATGGAAGTGTGTATGAAGTAAAGATGCATCATTGAATTCATCCATGCAGAAAAATATGGCAACTATTGACACTTTCCAATGCTTTCTGAACATCTGTGGAGACCATACAGCGGGGATGTGAGCACAGTTGTGTTTCAGCACTGACAGTGCTCACCTGCACCTGTGCAGACTTTTATGAGCTCTTGTTCATCGCTAGCAAAAATGCACAGCTAATGGTGGTGGCTGTGTTGAAAAATAGCGTTTTGTAGCTGAAAGTTTGCTCTGTCAAATAGTGTTACTGTGTTCTTTGTACCTGTTATTGTTTCCATGGAGATAAATGGAAAGCGTTACTTTTGGAGCAACCTATGCATATTGGTGTTAAATGCCACCTTCTGTGCAGGTTGTTCTTCTGCTGGGTGCTCTCCAAGTTTCATATGAGACAATAAAAGGAAGGCTTATGAAGTTCCCCCAGCTGGAAGTAAAAAGATGTGTACATAGTGTTGCACAGCTGCTGCTGCCTACTGCTGTGGGCTTCACGTTCTGTTTGTGTCTGCACTCACTTCTATCTGTACCTGTGGCTGTCAGAAATAAAGGCAGACCTGTTGTGTTCCTATTGAAAAGCAGACAGTTCTTTTTCCAGGTAACCCTTCTTCTGTTCCACTGACAGGCCACTTATCTTAACCCAGATCAGCAAACTGAAGTGATTAAAGGTAAAATATGAATGAAGACAGGAAAACAGCTTCTTCAGATACAGCCCCTGTGCCAAGTCATTAGCAAACTGTAAATCTCTTGTCTTTGCCAAAATCTTCCTCAGCCTGTGTAAACTGACTTTATCTACTTGAATTAAATGCATGCTTATTTTTTGTTGTTATTAGTGAGGCATATTGGCCACAGAGATTATTGAGAATGAATTCTTGTGTATGAGAAGTGCTTCCTTAACTGAATTATAAAACTTAACCTGTTTTTCTTTTTCTTTTCTAACGCTGAAGAATTATGCGTCTAGAATCTTTCCTGGTTCTCTTTAAAGCTCCTGTATTTTTCTTTCTCTCTATCTTAATTTCCTCCCTTTCCTGCTCCTTAAGGCCTTGGAATATCTTTTCAAGTTCATTGTCCAATCTCGGATCCTTTACTCCAGAGCTACGTGTGGAATGGAGGAGGAGCAGTTCCGCTCCAGCATCCAAGAGCTTTTCCAGTCCATCAGATTTGTGCTCAGCTTGGACAGCAGGAGTTCTGAGACTCTCATCTTCACACAGGTTTGCTGTTTCCTACACTTGAACTGACGAGCCAAAGGGCAGCTATTTTCTGCAATGATAGCATATGGGCGTGTGACAGCTGGGAGCAGATTAGTATAGTGTTCTTTCTCTAAGAATGTGATGATACTGAAAAACAGCATAGTCAGTCTTACTACAGAGTGTCTTTGCAGTTACAGGTGCTGAACTGTGGAGTCTCAAGAGGAAAACAACTCATCACACGATGATTCAGTTTCTCCTCTTCACAAAAGTAAAATATATTGCCAAGTATCCCATGTGTCTTAAGTTGTCCTAAAGGAATTCTAAATCCTTGGTTATAGGAGCTCACATCGAATATAGAGGTCACAGCAACAGTGCTGTGGAAGAGTTCAATTGATGTACTCTCAATCTGGAAAATTTAATTCCAGCATAGTCTAACATTAGTTAGAATGGCATGCACCCTGACTGCAAGCAGTCTGTGATACCTATACTCTCAATTAATACGTTATTTCAAATGTGGCCCGGATGAATTCACTGTCACTTCTGTGGGCTACAGATTCCACCCAAAGTGAGTGAGGATTTTGCAATGTCTCATTTCATATTTGAAAGAGCACTGAGATACTTCTGTGTTTAAAAGATCTGAACAATAATGTTAAATATTATGTGTATGCCTCCACTCAGGAAATCTCAGAAATGGATCACCTGGAACATCCTGGTAATATGAAGGTGATTTGTAATTACTAATTTACGATTTGAAGATGTTTTGAACACCTACTGAAACCTGTCAAAGCAGCAGTTGCTGTGAATGTCACAACAAAACAGAGTGACTCCAGTGGTTAGGGAAGCTGCCAGCAGCATGATCTCTTTCTTAAGAAGGTGTTCTGCAAGGTTTCGAGAAGAGTTGCTCTACTCTTTTATTTAATCACTCATTAGTGGGTATAATGAGATGACACAAGAGCATGAGAAATCAGTGCACAGATTCTTTCAGACGGTGAGTGGGAGCAGCATCTGGTGAACACAGGATGTTTAGGTTGGGTTGGTTTGGTTTCTAGTTGTAGTGATCACAGGTACAGAGAGAAACTAGCTTTGAGGATGGGGTTATTTTCCCTTTTTCTTTGCTTTTTTTTTTTTTTTTTCTTCTTACTGTCTTTGCTCTAGACTTTTGTAATTTGGAAAGTTTGTCCTTGTTTAATCTTTGAAAAGTTTACTGTTTTGTTTTCCCCGTGCCATTGTGTTGCCCCTTGATCCCAATTGCCCCATAGGCCTCTCAGCCTGGAAGTCAGGTGAGCGGAGCTGGGACATGTGCTCCACAAAAAAGTGGTGGCACTTCAAGGCCGACATTTAATTTTGTAAGTAATGATCCTCAAAACTGCTCAAGTATTTCATTATGGATGTTCCCAGTGAATCCCTTTTCCTATCCCAATCCGTCTTTTCCTCCATATAGACTGAAATTTAATGTTTAAGTGGCTGATGCTTTAAAACTAGGAAATGTGGAATATTTCAGTAATTAATGGAACAGCTGATAGCATTAGCACTTCAGAAATACACTGTTGAGAGCATGTGCAAGACTGCATAAATCACACTGCTCAGGCAAACCGAGGAGACAGTGTATGAGCTTCAGAAACTTGGACAACTGTTACACAGAAATGTTTGAGGCCTTATTAAATATAATTTCCTCCACATTTCTTTTATCCAGGATATTAGATCTCAGTGCAGCCTTTTTCAGCAGTGAGATAAAAATGCTCCTTACTTCCAGGCAAGTAGTTTGACAAGAACAGTGATCCAGAGCACTTTAGGTTCTTACACTGAAAAGGGCCCTTCCAGGAACTGCTGCAACAATACAGCTGTTCTCGAGACAGATCCAAAGCTTCCTGAAGAGATCCCATGCATATCCTTAGATTGCTACTAGAAATTCTTGATGGCTACAGCAATCCTTCTGCATCATAGTAATAGAAATAAATTAAGGAAAACTCCTGTAACGATTTGTTGGGCCAGTATTCTAATTCTGTTTGCATTATCCTAAAGATAAAGATGATTAATGGATTTGCAGCTGTTACAGCCTTCCAAAGTACCATGAACTATTTAAATCATTCATATTTGTTTATTTTGTTAGTACATTGTATCTATGTAGCAACAAATAGGTGACAACACCCAGGAGGCTGTATGGGTTTTTGTGTAATCTGAATTGAGTGTAACAAGACAAGATGTTGAGAAAGATAACAAGCACGAAGAAGAAAGAGGTAAACTTATATTCAGAATAATTTAATGGGCTCTTCAGTGTTTGCCAAGTTAGTTATAAACATAACTTACACTTTGCTCAGAGACTATCAAATGCATAGAGCTGTTTGAAGGAGAAGATGCTTAGAAGAAAGACATGGTAAAAAGGAAGCTGTCTGTTATATGAAATTAGAAGGGCGTTCCGAGTGTTAGAGCCTCCATGAAAGATGTACAGAAGTGTTTGTGGAATGAGGGAACATAGAAATCTGAGGAGAAGATCTTGCAGAATAGAAGAAAATAATGATAGGTGGTAAGACTCAGGTGGGGCGAAGCTGAACAAAACCTAGTAGATTCAAACACTGCAGGATGGCAGTGTGGGTTGTGTGGAGAGCTTCAAAGAAATGAGGGGAAAACAGAAGTAAGCGTGCACAGTGGTGGCAACTGGAAGTAGGACAGCAAAATCAGAATCTTCCCTTTGGGGAGAGTTCTTCACTGGAGAAGGTTAGTCAAGCATTGGGGTGGGCTGCACAGGGTGAAGTCTCCAGCACTGGAGGTGTTCAGGAGATGTGTGGATGTGGCACATGTCCCTCAGTGCCAGGGTTGGTGATGGGATCCAGTAAATAAGGCTGGTGGTTGGACTTGGTGATCTTGAAGGTCTTTTCCAACCAAGAAGATTCTGTGAAAACCGGCCTTTGCAGCAACCATCGTGGATCTGTATTAGTTTTAAGGAAGAGGATGGGATGTCTGTTCGGTGGGATGTAAAGAAAGGAAGACAAGAAGTGTAAAATTTTGGAGTTATGGCACCATGTATGTGGAATTTGAGAATAGGAGATTAATTGAAGAGATGTGAAACAACAGATGAAGAATTTGTGGTGTGTTGTGATACTGTTTCTGCACTCCCATTGATTGGATAACTCCAGCTTACTGGAAGTATCCATTGTTGCAAGAATCACATGCACTCTCACTTGCATGATGTGTTGCCTCTTTCACATGAAGTTGCACCCTATCCCTGTTACAGAGATACTGTAATATCATGTGACAGTTATTGCCATGGTTAAGGGTCTGTCAACATGTTCTTCAGAATATTTTCTGAAGAGCTTTAACTGCCTTTTGTAGTTCCTCAGTACAAAAAGTCAATATGGAGTTTAATGTAATCAGAAGCGCTTTTTATATTTATTCAAAAATGTAAACATGCAAAAAATTGACTATTTTCTGTTCTTCTGTACCTTTTTCTGTTTTATAAGCTATAATCTAAAATATGGCCTTTTGAAGTTCTACAGGAGCTGTGCTCAACTTACCGTACGACTTAGTATTGCAACAGAGCTTGATTTTTGTATACTACTAGTAATTTGGTCACTATGAACTTGAGGTACTGCAAAACTTTAACTCCAGCCGTAGTTCATTACGTAGTGGCTTTTTCCAGACCCTTAATTCAGTTTTACTGTTGTTTCTATTTCACTGCCTTTAGCTGTGCTTAAAGAGTTCAGAATTTTGAACTTTCTCGTTTGCTTTTTACAGGCTGCTTTGCTGAACTCCTTCCCCGCTATCTTTGATGAGCTGTTGCAGATGTTCACTGTGCAGGAAGTAGCAGAGTTTGTGAGGGGCACTCTGGGCAGCATGCCCAGTACTGTACACATCGGGCAGTCAATGGACGTCGTTAAGCTGCAGTCCATTGCGCGTACTGTCGACAGCCGCCTGTTCTCCTTCTCAGGTAAGATGGTGGGATGAAGCAAAGGTTGTCTCTGAACTAAGAGTAAGAAGATATTCCATAGAGTTTGCTGTCACCTCATTGCAGACAGTTCATTACTGAGAGCTAATAAACTTGGTAATTATTTATCTATCCAGCATCGTTGTTACATATCTTCACTGAGTATTGCTTTGTTTTTCTGTGGTAGGAAATATGAATAAATACATTGTAGATAAGTTGTATTACTGATAAAATTCTGTACCTTAACAAGTCTCATTTCGTACATTATGTTACTCTTTGATTGTTTGCCACTTTAGTTCCAAAGACATAGATAGGAAGACTAATCTACTTTCTAGCAAGCTAATTGCATGAGAAAGAAACAGGAAGACAGTTTCAAGAGAAGCCCACCATTCTTTTAAAGTGTATTTAATCCTTACATGGTAACTATCATACTTGTATAAATCAACATATTAGTAATTCTTTGTGATGGATTAAATGAATAAGGGCTGAAGATTGAGTTTATTTCAAATGAATGAAATTATGAATATAACAGAAGAAGATTAAAAGCACTGTAGGGCTTATCTACCCTAATCAGAAGTTAGTGCACTCAATACTCATCTCCCGAGTCAGCAATCTCCCATGTCCTTTCTATCTCTTAAAATATGATTCTATTTGCCAGACATCTTTTACGTACCAACCCTGCCTACTCTTCCAGTCTTGCAATTAAAGGAAGATCCACTCTCTTTTTCTTGACTCTTTACCTTCCATTTCTCCTATGAGTTCCTTGCCATCCTCCCACTTTTTTCCCTATTTTTTTCTGTTTTGGCTTCTGTCTTCAGCAGCTGCTGCCTGCTCTCCCTCTTTAAATACAGTTTAGGTTGGTAAGCCAGGTAAATGAGAAAAATCAGCCAGTTTCCAAGAGTCATATATTTGAGAAGCTCTCTTAGCTGTGACAACAGAGCTGAAAAGCACCTTGAAGTGAGGAAGGAGTCTGAACAGTAGGAAATCAAGGTCTGCATGTATCAGTTCACAAATACTGCTGTCAATCTGGAACTGTATTGAAGAGTTTGTGTATTCTGCATTTACAAACTTTTGAAATGAGATGTACTATTAGTTCTTTATATACAGTTCTTGCAAGTGTGTTCTGCTGCCATCTATATGATAGAATTTGCACCAATTAATTAAATATGCTATTTGTCAGCAAACAAGTTTGGATACCTAAAGGCTACTGAATGAAGATAATTGAAATTCAGGTCTCTTTTTTAAGAATTGTGATCCTATTTTCCTTCTTTCAGAGTCCCGACGCATCCTGCTTCCTGTGGTTCTTCACCACATTCACCTTCACCTACGACAGCAGAAGGAACTTCTCATCTGCTCTGGGATTCTGAGTAGTATCTTCTCCATAATCAAGACCAGCTCTTTGGTAATCTGCTCCTTGACTTTCTAATTCCATCACTCACTTGTTAAATTGAAGGCTGAGCAAGTTGTGTCAGTTAATAGAGGTTTTGCAAAGATCCTTCTGAAAATGAATTTCTGCTGATTTTCTGTCAGCAAAAGAACATTTGTAGTCTGGGTCTGCTTTTGTATGTGTGACTCAAAGCATTCTGGTTACACAGTGTTCTTGCTGTTAGGAGAGGAAAAAAAGGTATATTCATTTACCTGATTTGACGCAGTTTAATTTTCCTTATCCAAGCCCAGAACTTAGATGTCAGTGAAGTTCAAAAGCCCTATGCAGCTCTAGGATTTGTAGTTCTGCAAGGGACAGTAACTAGCAATTTATGATTCATGTTAAGTGAATACTCTAAAATTATCCAATCAACGAAATCACGCATACTTCTAGAACTTGCTGCTGAGTTTAAACACCCTGCTTCGCTGATCATATAATAATCTGATCCAAACGATAACTTGATCATTTAAAGCAGTGCTCACAAACAGAGGGTGGTGAAGCTTCCACACCTGACTCTAAAGGAGGAAGCTCATAGTGCTAAATATAAATTGTACCAGTGAGTACTTCTAATAACAAGTTACTGCTTTGTGTGAAAGGAATGAAATGAAAGGTATCAGGGTAATAAGCTAAATTAATGCTGCCATAGAATAAAGAGCACTGAACATAATCTGACCCCATTGTGTTCTAGAGTGTGTGCAGAACTTGAATTATAAATTTACATGTACATCCGTGACCCTGAATGTTTCTATGAGAGGGAGGAGGTCACGCGCTGGCATCACAACAGCATCTGGTACCCATATTGAATTTGTTTGTACTTCTTTGAACCTCCACTGTGGAGGTCTCTACCAAAGCGGATGTTTGTTGTATGGCTGGCTCAAAGAATTCTCTGCCAATCCGTCTTCTCCGGTCTCTAACTGTCTGTTTGCTTACCACTTACTGTAGGAGGGAGATGTCGTGGAGGAGGTTGAGATGATGGTGGAAAGCCTCCTGGATGTGCTTTTACAAACTCTGCTAACAATCATGAGTAAATCGCAGTCTCAGGAGGCGGTAAGAGGGCAGCGTTGCCCGCAGTGCACAGCAGAAATCACTGTTAGTAACTAACAATCAGTTTCTATTTCCTGCTTCTCTGTAACCTTTGGTTCAGTCCCTCACCACCGCAAACACCTCATTATCATTAATGCTGCATGAATGCCCAGGGCTTTGTCTCTTTCTCTTAGTAAGTCACTGATCCTTTCCTTCCTCTGCGCTAGCAATGTCTGCGAGGAGCAGTTGTGCTAAAGGAGGCTTTTGTGGATTTCCAGGTTATTTTCTTGTTTATCTTTTCAGCTGTGATTGAGAATTAGTGATTAGAAGGTAGGGTATATGCTAACTGGATTGCTGCCCAGGGCTTCCTCCCTGAATGGGCTTTGGATTCTGATTCCTAAGGCTGACAATGCCATACTTTCAAGTGGGCAAGTCCCTTAGCACTACCCTGGAGATCTTTCATTCATGTTCGCTGATTATTTCTTACAAATGAAACACAGCATATTTTGGAAAAAGAAATAGCAGAGGCTAAGACAAGCTGTTGGGAGAAGTGGGAAAAGCCAGCAGTTTGTATGGTGTGCCAGCGTACACCTAGGGAAAGAATCCTTTTCCTTGACATGTAGTGAATCAGGAGAAAAAGAACAGAAATGCTGATAAGCTTTTCTGGATTCATTGCCCTTGCTACTTTAGCCTATTCTAGTCTATTTGGTAGAGTCTCTAGCACAGCTTTTGCACAATGTGTGATGTTAAGCTGTTTTACAGAGCATCTCTTTTCTAGTCTTGCTTTTTTGTCAAATGGCTGAAACCTCAGAGGCAGGCAAACACCAAGGCACATTTTTCACACGAGTGAAAAGATGGTATCTTTCTATTTTATAGAAAGAGTGAAGAAAAACCCCGATAAAGAACAAGACATTTAATAGATTTTACAGCATCTAGTGACATCTCATCTTCCTTTGACTTCTGCTTTTTAACTTAATGTTATTTATCACACGATCCATACATGCAAGAGCATGCCTTTTTTCGTAATGAAGTTCAGCCCTGTAAAAGTTCACCCCATGTCAAAGCTTCCAGGTAGATGCTTGAGCATCTATTGATTTAAGAATCAGTAAAAATGAAGAGCAAAGTCCCAAGTTCAGAATACCCCCATATTTGTTCCTGAGTTTGTATTTGACAGCATGGCAGTAGGTGTAGTCTTTTTTAGATACCGATTAGAAAGTAGCTTGCATGTTTCACAGGGAGTGACAGTTAGAAGACACGCTCCTTACTTTCCTGTCACTGCCATACTCAGTATCTTGGACAAATTGCTTAACTTCTCTGTGCTTTACTTTCAGATATGTAAAATGGGGGAGCCCATCTTTGGAAAACTCTTTGGGATACTGTGGTAACTTGTCAGGGTGCATCTGCTTTGCAGGCCAGAAATGTAATTGTAACTCACATAGGCTTACCCAAGCTACTTTCAGAGTAGCTTAATGGAATACTGTTAATATTGTAGCTATTGACAGCAGGTAGCTTGGTGAGCACTAATAGCTAAATATTTACAGGATTCCAACACCTTTGGTAGCCTGTACTGATCCTGTGCTGTTATCACTATGCTGTTTTCAGTATCTCAGCAAATTTGTTTCAGTTCTTCCTGGTACACCCGCATGAGCAGCAGTCACACCTTTGTTAGGCACGTAACTGAGAAGGTGACTGTCAAGAACTGCATGCTTGGAGAGAAATTCTTTAATGTCTGCATTAATGATTCTAAATGATTTTTGTTTAGACTACAATGCTTGTTAAAATCCATGTAAAAACAGCACTTGTGGTAGGTCTCTAAGAGATGTATTCCTGTATACAAAGAGTCATTCAAGAACTGTTAACATGCAGTATTTTTAATCTCTGTGCATGATAGCTTTCCCTCTCATAGGCATGGGGCCATTTCAGACCCCTCCCTTTATACCTTACCCCAAGTTGAGTTTTATATGCACAAAATTTCAGATTGTCTGATCTAAAGAATTTCTCATTTGGTCAACAGGGAGAATACGTGTCCTGTCTTTTATCTTTGCTTCGTCAGATGTCAGACACTCATTTCCAGCACTTGCTGGACAACTTCCAAAGCAAGGATGAACTAAAGGTACAGCAGAAGATGATGTTGAATGAGAAAGCAGAGGGAATCCCTCAGGCTTTACTTGTTCTGCTAATCATTCCCATTCTCTGGCACTCTGGTTTTGTAAACCTTCCTTTCCCTCTTATGATAATAGATGTTGTGTCAAAAGAGTGTTTCAAACCTGTTTTGGGATACATATGTTTCTAGCAAATGGAGCCTTTCTTGGAAAAGCAGCAATCTTGCTACTTGATTTTATGCACCCTTGCCAAATTTGTGACCTTTAACTTCAGTTATGGCTTTTGATGACCTTGTGGTTGATGAGGGGCTCAGATGGCTTTTTTGTCACTGTCATTCTGAAATGCACCTCTCAAAACAACAGAGACGAACTTTTTGTTTCATCTTCTGTAGGATAGAGGTATATCTCAGACAAAGGTCTATTTAAGAGGCTGAATAACTTTATTTATAAAGATAAGATTGCTTTTGATTAACATGGCACTTAATAAAATAGAGACAATGAGAAGAGTGTGATGTGGCAGGAACTTATGTTGCCTTAACAAGTGTGAAGGAAAAGCAGTAAGAAGTCCTTCCTGAATAGTCTTTCTAGATCATATGCATATAGAGAGGCTGAATAAATCAGGAAGATAAATTTGTGATAGAGGAATTCTTGCCTCCTGGTAGCAGGGTTCAGTGTATCTCAGTTTGATAGTTACTTGAGATTATTACCTTTCAGATAATTGAATTGTTCATAGGAAAATGATTTGATAAATTAAATCATATTAATTCTCGTTAAATATTTTTTAAACTATCTACACTATCATTCTTACATTAAACCAACACAAGGATTTGTGGTTGAATTAAAATCTGTCCTTATTGCCATTAGAATGAATGCTAAGGAAATGCTCAGCAGCATGACAGGCTGAAGGTATTATCCCCAACTTTTTTTTTCCAGCTATCAGTTCATCTGATATGTGTTATCTCCTTAGCTTTTCCTTCAGACATTGCCCTTTTACCACTGCCGTGCCTATCAAAATAGGTGGCTTTACTTTCAGAGCAGCCTTCGCACATTATACTCATAAGGAAGATTTTTGTCTCACTGTGAAAGTCGAGATTTAAACAGCTACAACCCAATCAGTACATATTAGATGCAAATAAAGCAATATTTGTATTTGTTGTTACCATGTTTTCACATGGATGGCCTAGTGCTCAAATGGAGCATGCTGAGCTGAAGAAGTGCTTGTAATCAAGAACACAGATCTTCAGCTGCTAATGACTTTTTTTTTTTCACCTATGCAATAGGAGTTCCTCCTGAAGATTTTCTGTGTATTTCGGAACCTCATGAAAATGAGTGTCTTTCCTCGAGACTGGATGGTGATGAGGTTGCTCACCAGCAAGTAAGTAGAGAAGCAGGTATAAACTTCTGTCATTCTATATCAGATTTTTTTTCTCCTGTGCACTCAAAACCTGTGATGCAGTGTGTTTCATCAGGTTGAAATGTTGTGATCAAGACAGAATCCTGCAGTACTTATCCCAGTTCTTTCCTTCTTTTGACACATTGGACCAAACTGGGACTTACAGTTGTCGTTCTGTATGTTATAATCTACCAATATGCAAAGGTGTGAAAAATTAGAGGTTTAAACCCAAAGCTTGAAGTAGCTGCACTGGGGATAAGAGTGGCACAAACAGCCATCTTTACCCTCCCTAGAAGCACTCAGGTATGTTAGAAGAAGGGGATTAGACCTCAGCAATGATACCAGGCACATTGCACACATTTATTTTTCAGTTGAGTTGTCAGTGGCCTGCTTAATTTTTTTTATCATTCTTTCTTCAGTTAAGTGCCACACTCTGAAATGATAGCAGTGTGATAAACACTCAGTGGCTGAATTATTTGCTAGTTTCTTGTTGCATTAGACAGACTAGCTTTGGAGTTACTACCAGATGAGTACTGGAGGGCATAACAGGAATGTGTCCTGGTCAGTGTGTCGTGCTCTGTGAGTTCACAGCACAATGAAAAGTGAAAGGAGTGGATCTCAGTATTTCAGGATGTCAGATTAAATGGCGTTTGTAAGAAAAGATATTTTGTTCTAAATTCTTAGGCTAAGATAAATACATTTAGCAGTGCTTTTGGAAGTATGGTGTACATGTGGATCAGAGATTTGCTATTGTTTTTTAATGTTGCTGAAGCTGTATCTACATGCTGTGAATTCCTGCATTTATTGCACGGCTTGATTGCTTTGCATTGAAGTGTCCTTATAGCTACTTCGTGTCGTAAGTAGTGGTGGGAGGGACGGGGGCAGTGTTGAGAAATGCAGAAATACTCAAAAAACGTGTTATTGTGTGACTGATAAAGTACTATTGTATAGACAAGAATTAAAACAGCTCAAGTATCTTAAGTTGCTGTTGTGGGGGGAAAAAAACCCAACCATTTCTGTTAAAACAGAAGAAAAACAGATGTATTCTTTTGTTTCACTTCAGGTGATATGGCCCAGCCATACAATAGATACCATTTTAAAAGCTCATGTGTAAATTCCCTAATAATGAATAAGGTTCTTTACCTTTTGTCACATACTACAGGCTGCTGATGAAAACATAGAAAGATAAGTGACTTCTAGCAAGTTTTACTTACAGAAATTCCATGAAGAATGCGTGCCTGTGTGTGTAGTGGAATCAACGCATGCAGTACTGTAGTGTGATTTATACTTCACATTCAAATGTTTCCTCTTTTCTTGTCTTTTTTTGACTGCAGTATCATAGTTACAACAGTTCAGTACCTGTCTTCTGCACTGCACAAGAATTTCACAGAAACGGACTTTGACTTTAAAGTAAGGATTGATACTGAGAATATGTTGTGGTGTCTTCTTAAAGTAGTAGCACCAAAAGAACAAGAGCTGCTCTCTGTATTTGCTGGTTAAATTTGCAGCACTTATTTGATTTTGAGGAAGATGATCTGATCGATAAAAGAACTTCTCTGGATTGAGGGAAGTACAGAACAGAACGCTCAGATCAGGCAAATGAAGCCCTTTGCAAAGGAAACAAATATTTACTTAAGCAGAGCAGCTAATGAAGCTGTTGTCTCACAAATCTGAGGATCGTAAAATATGGACTCAGGCAGTGCTTTCCCTGAAGTTGGGCTCTGCATAATCTTCTTCTCCCAGGGGTCTCCCTCTTTGGCTGTAGACTTAAACCTTGGAGGAATGCACTATCTTAAGAGTGTTTACCATATTGCCTGATAACAGATTCGCAGATTGCAGATAACAAGTTTGGTGTTACTAAGGAAGAGCAGCCAGATGTGTGCCTTCACACATGTACACACAGCATGATTGCATAGCCTCATTTCTTTGGGAAAAGACACTAAATTATAGGACTTTCATTCACATTATTATGTAATCTCCGTTTCTTGATGGATAAAATCTGTTTAGCCTTGAGACAGTGAACAACATAAACTTTGTTGTAGTAATCAGGTTTAGTCATTTTTGAACATTAGTGCTAAGAGTTAGCCTCTTTATTTCCTATCCATTGGAATCCTAATGTGTTTTGTATCCCATAGTTTAAGCTATATATTGGATTACATTACATCTTGCTTTGAAAAAGGATCCTATCTACAAAGAAACATTGTATGGCGACAGTGATAAGAGAAGGGAGAACAGTGTGGAACTGAAGGAGGGGAGATATGAGTAGAAGTTAGGAGGAAAATCTTTAGGCAGGGGGCACTGGGGCACTGGAACAGATTGCCCAGAGAAGCTTTGGGTGCCCATCCCTGGAGATTTTCAAGGCCAGGCTGGACAGAGCTTTCAGTAACCTGATGCAGTGGGTAGATGATTTCCAGGGTCCCTACCAGCCTAAATTATCCTACGGTGTCTTCCTATGCTTGTTAAAACTTATTCCTTTGGAGTGTAAGACTATAAAACTTCCTTCCTGTTTTACAGGTGTGGAACTCTTATTTCAGCCTGGCGGTGCTGTTCATAAACCAGCCAAGCCTCCAACTAGAAAATGCCACACCAGCTAAGAGAAAGAAGATAATAGATAAGTAAGAAAATCTCTTGTTGGCTTCCCAGTCTTTTCTGCCACCTGAATAACTGAGACTTCTTTTTCTACCACAGGTCTCTTTGATTTATTCTGGAAGGTGGGATGTGGAAGTGCTCCACATAAGTAGATCTCCTAATATAGTGATCTGTGATAAGTCAGATGTTTGGTATTTTTATGTTGGCTTGAATCTGAATTTAATGTGAATGAAGTTGATGCCTCCAAGCGTCAGTATGTTGAAAGCGTTTGAATAATGCCATTAATATAGTGCTCTAAGTTTCAGTTAGCCACAAAGTTGGACTTTATGATCTTTGTAAGTTCTTTCCAGTTAAACTACTGTAGTCTTTTTGAACATCACTGACTTTTGAGGTTTATTTTTTTCCTGTTAGGCAGTTGTCTATCTCTTCTCTTTCAGATATGGTGATATGAGAGTGATGATGGCATATGAGCTCTTCAGCATGTGGCAGAACTTAGGTATGACTCTTCATTCTCTGTCCTAATAATTGAAGCTGAGGTAACTCCTGATTTCTGTTAGAATTTTGATGGTATTTTTAGCATCGCACAATACTTTCTTTTAGCATCTGTAAAACCAGGAAGCATTTCTCTTCTACCAAAAGTCCTTTTCTGCACCATCTTCATTTGAAGTAATGCATTCCTACCAATTTAAATACTTTCTACTCAAATACAACCGTGGAAGGCATTAGTTTGACATAATCAGTGACAGTTTTTATGTATCTGCAAATATAAAATCAGCTTTCTCTGATCCCTTGAATTGTGCTGCAATTTGCATCTTCATATGGAGATATTCTTTGACATCTCTCTCCCATTCTAGACTGTAGAGCAGATACTTACATTTTCATGGGTGTAATTAATTTTATACATGTGGAGATGATTCAAAGCTGAAGTTGTGGTAGGAGATTATAGCTGCAGATGTTTGGTTCTAATGCCTGGAAATGACATACAATAAAGGTTCTTTCTTTGAGTCTTCTTCTGCTATCTAATGCGCATATAATAACGAATTATACATTACTGCTTAAAAATAACCCAAAACTAAAAAGCCTTATCCACAATAATGCGAGATTGTGATAAAATTTCAACTTCTACAGTTCACCTTTTCGTTATGTATTTTGATAAAGAAGTTAAGTATGTTACACAGAAAATATGTGTCTCCACAAGTCTCAAAAGCTAAATGGAGAATTTCATCTAGGACTTCTGCTTTGAGAAGCGCCCTGTGGCAGTCTTGGGTTTAACTAGTTCAGGATTTTATTAATACAACATCCAAATAAAATCTTGACTAAGTGAGAGCAAGTCTGGCTAGGCCAGCATCCTGTCTGTATTGGGATGAAAATGAATACCTGTGGAAACATTGGAGGACAAAGGAAGCATATGGGATTCTACAGGAGAATGAGAAAAAGGTGCTGATAGAGGTGACAGATTATGCAAATGTTCATTATGTGATTATGTTCAAATAGCCAAATATTATCATTTTATATGTAGACCACAAATGTGATAATGAGCTGGATGGGAGCTACCTGTAAAATGCCATAAATAAAACCAGCAAAAAGCTTTTTGAGGAAATACAAAAGAATCTTCAGTAAGGGAAGGGGGTTTATATTAGGCTGCAAGTTTTCCGTACTTGTCCTTGGTTCTGGAGCAGTTGTTCTGGCCCCACTTTCTGCAGAACAACACAACAATATGATGATCAGGAAAATAACTGTAGAAGTGAAAAGAAAAAAAACTTAATGTGAAAAACTGAATAAACCTGACCATCTCTCACAGCTAAGGTGATACTGCCAGTTTTGAAACATCTGTGTAGGAATAAGGAGACTTTACAATGTATTGGAGATTGAGAAACTGAAAAATTGTGGGAGAAAAATTCAAGTAGGAAGAAAGAACCCTCTTACAGATGTAGAGATATTTATCACTGGGAGTTGTTCAAAATATGGCTGTTTGATTTGTTCTCTGCAACTGCACAGTAAGCAGACACAGAGTACATTGTGAGCAAAATGCCTTTTGTTCCTGTTGCTGAGAAGCAGTGCTGTTTCTGTCTTAGTCAAGGTCAGTTACGGAACTGTGACTCCTATAGAACCAAAATGAAGAGCTCTGTGGTTCTTTGAAATCTAAATATGTTCTGTGAAATAGAGTAGTTCTCACCAACCTTTTCAAAATATTTTCCTTCATAAGTTGGAAATGCCTGTGGTCTCTTTTCCCCTGGCTAGTATGTTTTAATTTAGTTGATTTTAACAATTTGAATTCCCCTGCAAGTGAGATGCACCGACAGTTTTTGCTGAAGGCTTTTGTAGTGAAATTAAAAACCCTGGGGGCTCTGCAGGGAACGGCATAAAGCAAATGCTGTTGTTTCAGTCCATTTAGGAAAAGCATTTAGCATTCTTCAAAGCTTCTTCAAAGCTTTAGCGTTCTTCATGTTTGTGCCTATGATTTTACATTGGGCCCGATATTGTCACTCTTGCAGAGGCACATCTTCATCTCAGCAACAGAGAACAAATGCTTTTATTTAATCACCATTGCTTTGTGTTGTACAGGGGAGCATAAGATTCACTTTATTCCGGGAATGATTGGCCCTTTTCTTGGTGTGACACTCGTCCCACAGCCAGAAGTCCGGAATATCATGATTCCCATCTTCCATGACATGATGGACTGGGAGCAGAGAAAGAATGGCAACTTCAAACAGGTGAGGCAGCTTCCCAGTCATGGGTAGCCATGGACAGTTCATGTGCTTGCTCTGTCTTTCTTGCAGCTCCCAGCTAGAAGCAAGGAATGCATATCTGTAGATCCACATCCAATAGGGACGAAGATGTTGTCATGCAGATACATGAAAATAATAAATTTGAAGCATGGCTCACAAAACTATTACAGGCCACTCACGATTATTTAAGCAGTGCATTTAACAGCAAGCTGCGTTTCCTCTGAATGTAGAGAAGAGCAATGAGAAAGGGATAAGAATTTCTGAAGAGCTGGGCTCACAATTCGTTGATTTCCACGCAGCTTGTCAGCTATGAAATGAGTCACACTGCAAACTAGAAAAAAAGATTTAACAGCTCAGCCAGGATTGTTGGCCTTTACTTCTCTGTATTCAGTTTCCAGACAGAAGACAGTATTGTATAACTAAATAATTACACCGTGCTTTGAAACTGATTTTGTGACTGAATATTCTTGGAGAAATTATAGCCACTCTGCTGGAATGGTTGAGCCCAACACAAGTTCCTTTGCTGGCACCTGCCATGAGCTGTGATTGCAGAGCAGCCAAGAGAGTGCTTGTTTAGTTGCCCAGTCATGATCAGAGATTGGTGTAAATTTTCCACTGTAAAACAGATCTTGGAAGTTCAAAGTGTGGATAATAAAGGATAAGCTTGGAATGGATCCTCAGATGATGGGGCTTTCTTCTTGTTGTGTTTGGGACCATGCAGGTGGCAAGGGCCTGCAGATAGGTGCTCTGACAGTTCTACCAGACAGTCACACAGCGCAAAGCATGTCCAGAAATTGTTTGACTTTGTATTTAAATTATCATAATGTGATATTAAAATGTCAGTTACAGTCTGTCATCCCAGGAGAGAAACAGACCTTTTCCTTAACCTGAACCATTAAAAACTATGTGGAAGAGTATTACCAAGGGCTTCTGTGGAGTTTTTTTTCTCTTCAGCTCCCTTGATTATTATTTCTACTGCTACTATTTTGGTGACATTTGATTGTGGTGCTCTTTTTGCTGTAGGTGCTGTATTAACATAACAATGGAACAGTTTCTGCTCTGGCATTTGCAGTTAGAAGTACCACAGTCATCTTCTAGTTACTGGATCTGATTATACTTTCTGCATCAAAGATGAACTCTTCATAACCATTTAATTTTTATACTCACTGATGTGTTCTACGCTACAGCCACAAAAATCTTTCTTAAACATAACAATCAGTACAAGATGCATTAAATCGTACTAGCAGCTCAAAGAAGTCATTTTTTGTCCATTCTAAAGCTAAACAGCTGGACACATGCACCAGAGTTTTTGGATGAGTTATTGTAGCTCATGAACAAAGAGAGTGTTTGTTTGTTTTAATTTTGAAGTTGGGTTGACTTTTCTAACAACCAATTTAGTATTCAAAAATACAAAAATCCAGGAAATCCATTTTTGTGCTTTTTCTTTCTTGCTTTTTGTTTTCCCAGTAGTTTGTTTTATCAAGGTAATTTTTTGTGCAGTGGGACATAGCAGTGCAGTCTGGTTTATGGACTAAATCGTGACTCCTTTCATTGATTTCAGTAACAGGAGCACCAGTGCCATCTGTGTGTCTCTGTGTGATTTACTCTTCCTTCTTATCTTTCCTTCCTTTGCAGTTTGTCAGCTAAAAAACAGAGGAACTCAAACTATCTTAATGGTTAACTAAAAACATGCCGCATTTCTACAAACCACTTCAACCTTTAGAAACCTCTGTCTTCATTAGTATTGAAAGCATGTTTTCTCTCAGTCTTCCAAGAACACACAAAAAAACAAAAAAAGCCTTTAATATTAGATATGTGGAATTCTGCACTTGAAGCAATTTTATTGGAATATCTGATATCAAACTTGACTATGGAGCATTAGAGTCCATGAATGTGTAAAATGAATGTGTATTCTTTACCTTTGTAAAGGAAGAGAGGCATAACAATGCTGTTCTGTCCCTGTACATGTGTGAAAAGGAAATGCATCATATGCTCATAGAGAAGTCACTGAGTTTAATGAACAAATCTTCCAATGTAATTACATCTCGGTGATTGACAGTCAGTTACCTACCCGCAGAACCATCACAGCAGACTAGTGGTGATCATGCCATAAATTAGTTTCTCTGCATGGATATTATGATTTTGACACAGGATGTACTTTGTTTGATGTATTTGCTCAGAGAAATTGTTTTCAGAGTGATTTGTTTGATAAGAGAATGAACATCAGAAACTCCTGGGAAGAAGCAGCGTTACCTCCCCCGGGATGTTCATTTAGGCTCTGATAGGCAAATAGATAATTTTATTCTAGTCCTTCTATTTCACTGCAAAATAAGAAAAGTGTTTCCATTTAACTGAGCCACAGAGAACTAAATTGCTCGCGCACAGAAGTGGGAAGGCTCCAGGGCATGAGAAATAAAATGTTCTTCCAATCCTCTTAGTGTTTGGAACTCATCATGTACATGAGCAGCTGATTTGTAACCAATTTGGAACTTCTCATCCAGGTGGAAGCTGAGTTGATCGATAAGCTGGACAGCCTGGTATCTGAAGGAAAAGGTGATGAGAACTACAGAGAACTCTTCAGCCTGCTGTAAGCCATGCCAGTTTCTGCTCACTCTGTGTTGTGTGGGGTCACTGAAGCAGTCAAAGCAGTCATCTGTGCTGCAGTAGCAGCTCTAGTGCTGATCTTCAGGGAATGTAGTAAAGGGCACCCTGGCAGGTTTTCATGACATGGCTGTCAGTGAAACAGAGCTTGTCAAGCTACTTCTGAAAAGATAAAACTGTATCTTTCTGTGCCTTTCTTCCATACAATCCAATAGCAGGCTGCACAGGTAAGTTGTTGTCATTATTCCGTAAAAATTGATTTGCTGGAGATGCCAATGCCTTTCTTTTCACTTAGCAGTATGCAAAATCGTGGCCTTAGGTCTGGTTTGAGGTCTAGCAGGTCAGCCTTGTTAGAGCAAGAGATTTTCCTCTGCATTGTCTTTTGCTGCTTCCAGTTTTTGAAGGCTGTGCTCTGAGTTGGCTCAGGAGATGTAAACTCCGCTTTTTGCAGAGTCCATCACAGCACTGTATTTCCACTGCCTTTCAAATGTGCAGTACTCGTAAGCATGAACAAAAGACTTAAAATCTGACTTTCAACTTAGTTATCTTTGATTACTCGGCTGTCTCTAAATTGTATTTCTAAAGGCCCTAGTTTATATCAGAAGGACTTTGAGAGTCCAAAGCAGTTAACACTAAGTCTTTTAATATTCCAGTGAGCCAAAGACATCATTAGCAAAATTTAGGCCATACGTTAAGGCCAATGAGGTAGATATTATGCTGGGAGTCTGTTATAGAACAGGCAAGCAGGATGAAGAGCTGGATGAAATCTTCTGCAGGAAGCTAGGAGAAATCTCACCATCACTAGCCCTTAGTGAGGGGCCAGTCAGGGCGGACTTCAGATTCCCAGGTGTTTGCTAAAGCTCAGTAAAGCGGAGTGGAAATGGGTTAGGAAATTCCTGGAGTATTACAAAAATAAATACATGAGGCTTTCTAGTGGGGACCAGAAAAGCAGAGAAGTCCTTACGCTTATGGAAGGGAGCCTGCATCAGAAATAGTATGGCCAGCAGGACTAGAAAAGGGGTTGTCCCTTGAGTGCTGTGTTCGGTTTTGGGCTTCTCACTGTGATAAGATGCTGAGTTGCTGGAAGATATTCAGAGAAGAGCTAGTGGTGGGACTGGAAGGCAAGACTTAGGAGGAGCAGCTGAGGGAACTGAGGTTGTTTAACCTGCAGAAAGGGAGGCTGAGGGGGGACCACATCATTCTGTAAACGTCTGAAAGGAGGTTGTAGCAAGGTGGGCATCAGTCTCTCTTCTCAGGTGACAAGTGGTAGAACATGAAGAAAACTGCCTCGAGTTGCACCAGGAGAAGCTTAGGTTAGATTTTAGGGATAATTCCTTCACATAAAGGTTGGAAAGCACTGCAGCGGGCTGCCTAGGGCAGTGAGGGGCCCGATGCCGGGAGGTGGTCACATCCCACTAAGGTCTGGATGTGGCGCTGAGGGGTGTGATTTGGCGGTGGGGTTCAGTAGGTCAGGTTGGTGGCAGGTCAAGGCCGAGGTCACCTTGAAGGTGGTGACATTGAAGATCTTTTTCAACCTAGGTGATTCTGTGATTCTGTATTCAGACCATCTCATGTGTCTCCCAGCAATGTGCAGGCAGTTTGAGGCATAAAGTTTTGCATTTCTTGGTTCACATTTGTTCACTCATTTACTGTCAGGACGGATAAGCCTGCCCATCTGTATGCTTTCCATAGAAAGCAAGTAAATATATTCACTTTTGGTTTGTGATATTTAGCCTTGGGAAGTCTGGCACTTCAAGTGTACAGAGAAAAAATATATGCTTTAGGAATAAAAAAGAAAATGTCTTTGTTCTTTTATTCACTTGGCAAGGGGAATGTTCTGCTTTCCATTTGCTCCTCCTGAAGGTACGTGTAACCGGAAATGTTAAGAATTGGGGACTACAGTTTAATGTATTTTTAGGTGGTAGTGGTTGTGTTGCCAAGAAATACAACCTTGAAGTTGAAGTCCAGCAGCCTCTGAGTTTGTGTATGTACTGTATTTTCTGAGTACTGTGAGCTCTGAGGGAGATTTCAGCTCTTTTCTCACAAAGTTAAAAAACGCAGTGTGAAATAAACAGTTGACACTGACTTCCATGTCTCAGCTGTTCTGCTGAAATGGGAAACAGATCCCAGGGTGGAAATCATCCTCAGAGAACACACCCAACAGTTTCTCTTTCCTCTTGCCAGTACAAGTGGCAAGTTTTTTCACAAGAGATCTGTTTCAAGCTCAGGATACCAGCATCTGTCTTTGCTTTCCTTTACCATTTTTTGCAAACGATTTTCAGTGTTTTTACTTGGGCCTTTTCTCATTCTTCAGCCACCTCACTGAGATTCTCCATGTACTGCCTAGTTTGCTGATCAGAAAAAGATTGCTTTCATTTATGTACAGTTTAAATAAATTGTGATGTGATGTTGTTTGGTTGCTCATGACAGACTAAAATTTATGTGAGAATGAGCAGGTTAATTTGCTTTAGGTTCAGACTCCCAACTTCTGTGTGCTGTTAGAGAAGCTGCAGGTAACAGCGCAGCAATCAGTTGTAGCTGCGAGCAGTGCTCTCTTTCACACATTTTATACAGCATTATGAGGGTATTTTTCCTTTTCCTGTCAATTCTGTAATTTCCTTCTCTTTGCTTCATGCTGCCTGGAGTAGAACCCAGCTCTTTGGGCCTTATCCCAGGTAAGACAGTCATTCTGTGCATTTGTTTCATGAGGAAGGAACCAAGTTGTCCATGACTGCCTGCATGCACAGCACTGGTTCTGCAGAAGCCTCATCTGCTGTCTTTTCATCTCTGCACAGTTTGCTGGAGAAGATTGAGCAGGAGACGTGGCGAGAGACTGGAATCTCTTTTGTTACATCGGTAACTCGCCTCATGGAGCGCCTGCTGGACTACAGGTAACTGACAGCAGTGTGATGTGTCCTCAGTGAGTGTATAAGAAGTTTGTGAAGAGGTAATACCAAATTTATCATGTACAGAGAGCATTTCCATTGTCTATCAAGCTGCACCCATCAGGGAAGCGTTATATAAGTATGTGTAACTCCGTGCTGCAAGGTTCCAAGTGAAAAGCAAAGAGCCCTGGCTCTTCTTCTTGGCAGATCATTCCAGGTGAACAGCAGAGGTGAAGAAAGTTGTTCATTCTCACAAGTGTATATGCATACACATATAGGTATTGATGTATGTAGTATCATACGTCATACGTAAAATATTATATACACCATGTTACATATACATACACTCAGAGTTGTTTTTATGAAACAGTTGGCAATTAGAAACTCTTAGAACCGACCCACGTGTTTCTATCTGTATCCTGCTGACAAGTTCCAATATTTATTTGGTTCTTCTGCTGCTCAGTGGAGGTGAAAACACATGACTGGATGTGGATATTGGGCAATCACAAATCCTTCACTGCACTGTTTAGTTCGTTCTTTTTGTTCTCCTGACCAGTTTGATCAGATTTGCTCTTTCTTTTCCTGACAGCAGCTGCTGTAAAACTAAGCAAGACCAGATATCTGAGACATGTTAAAAGAGAGTGCAAGGAAGCTGACTTTCTTTTTGGGGCAACTGTCAGTGCAGCTTTGTTACAGAGACACTCATTTTCATGCTTAGTACAGGAACAGATAACAGTTTTTTAGTATAGTTTCAATAAGCAGCAGAATATTTCAGTCCCAGAGCAGAACAAAATAGAGAACTGCATCAAAATTTGGAAATGCCCAGACCAAATGTGTAATAATTGTTGGAGCAATTGTGCAAGTCCCATACAGAACTGTGAAGTGGAGAGCTGTGCTGATCAGTTTTGACACCTTGTGGATCCCAGCCACCAACTACCTGATATTATGGCTCTCAGAAAAGTTTGCCGTGTCTTCTTTGAAAGTTTTGTCTCTCTTTTTTTTTTTTTTTTTTCCCGAAAGGAAATCTTTCAGATGTGTGTTGTAACATTCCTCTACCTTTTCAGGGACTGTATGAAAGGCGATGAAACAGAGAACAAGAAAATCGGTTGCACTGTTAACCTTATGGTAAAGATGTTTCCTTTATTTTGTTGTGCAGTGAAATTGACGCTGGAGTGGGGAAAATTGGGTAGGAATGTGTATCAGACAAGGCGCAGGATCCAAGGGCAGGCAGGATGTAATGACAGAGCTTAGGAGCACCTCCTGGGAGCTGTGTTCCAGCTCTGCCTGGAGCTGAGTGCTGTAAGTCTCACCTCCTCCCAGCTGCATTCTGAGGGTCTTTGTGACAGAGGTCTCACAAACTCTCTGGCCTTTTCTTTCCATGTTTGACTGCCCTCACTTTGAAAATAATTCTAACATTGGTGAGTTAGATCTGTATGAGCACAAAAAGAATGAGTCCTTTCCTTTTATGTTAATCTTTTTTCAGTACCTTTATACATACAGAGGCATCTCTGATTGTTGTGGAGGAAGGAACTTTCTCAGTGAGAGTGACTGTTCTCTTTCTGTTACAGAATTTCTATAAATCAGAAATTAACAAGGAAGAGATGTACATCCGCTACATCCACAAGCTGTGTGACATGCACTTACAGGCTGAGAACTACACAGGTTAGTCAGGCACCGAACAGGGGCTGTATGAAGTCCCACTGAAAGGTTTTGATTCTCATAATCTTATTCTCTATTATCTGTTGAATTTATTAGGAAAAAAATGTTGTTATAATCAGTTATTTAGAAAGATGAGAAGCTGAGGTCCACCTCATTCTGTCCAGTTAGTTTGCACCCTGAATTTTGTATTAAAGTGTTGTGCAAGGAAGGTTGATTGAAAAATCACAGCAGTGGAATGAAAATCACGAGCCCACTGTTGTATTATCATTCCTCAAATTTCTTTGCATATGGAGGGAGCACTTTAAAAGTCTGCTGACTCTAATTCTGTGTTGTCCAAGCTGTGTTTACAGCTGCAGGCCCCATCTCAGTGTTACACAGCTCAGTTCAGCTGTGTGTTGCACATCTGAGTATCTGTGGATTTGAATCAAGTAGCTGAGGAGAAAGAGACTTGACAGATTTGTTCCTAAAAGTCAGGTTTATCAGAAGGAGCCACGTGCTGCTATTTTAAGCCACTGAGCAATGTAATGTTAACCTAATGCTTCTGAATTCTTTTCTCAAGTTGTACATCAGAACTTCCAGCGTGTTTTAGAAGCAGCTTGTGATCTTTTAACCTATTCGAGATTTGTCATCATTGATTCAGTGTTCAATGGTTGCATTTCCAACAGAGGCTGCATTTACTTTGCTTTTGTACTGTGAGTTACTTCAGTGGGAGGACAGACCTCTGAGAGAGTTCCTGCATTACCCATCTCAGTCAGAGTGGCAACGTAAGGAAGGTCTGTGCCGTAAGATTATCCATTACTTCAACAAAGGGAAGGTATGCCAACTTCTTCTCTCTTCCAGCAGCTTCCTTCCCTTTTCCTGACTTAGAGCTTGCAAGGCTGTCATTTCAATTCAGTAGCCTGGAAGTAAATTTATACTAAAAGGTTTAGTAACTTGACAGATTGCTTCTTGGCTCTTTGGAGCAAAAAAAACAACCAAAACCAGATGAGAAAAATGGATGTGGGTATTTCATTATGCATAACATTTGGAACTGGTTTAGGTAGGCCACCAGGAGCCTACCTAAAGCAAAGCTCAGATCACCTGACATGGCAGAGACTGGTGAACACCAGTTCCTGAATTTATATATTAAAAAAATACAGTGTGTGCAAAGTGCTGTGTTATGGCTGCCTTTGCTGTTTAGGACTTGCTGTGTTTCTGACATCCTGTAGGTAGAAGTAACTGTAGGAGATCCTACAGTTAAAAAAGATAAAGCCTTTTCAGCATCACTGTGATTTTAAAGTTTCTTTCACTTAATGTGCAGCTTCATCCGTTGCACAAGAAAAGAGTGAATGCATTTCAGTTCCTTATATTTGGTATGCTTTTCCTGTCAGGAGTAACTGTTCGAAGCACTGCAGGCAGATGCTGCAGCCGCTTGTATCTGTGTTCTGTTTTGGAGGGGAGTAGTAGAAGTGAAATCATCTGTGAGAATGTTGTCAGAGTTATATTTTTTCCAGGAAAATAAACCATCCAGCATGTATTACTGGGAGATAACATCTGTATGTGCACCTCAGGGTTGCGTTTTCCTATGATGACAGCGAAACTGGCATTAAATAGAAATGGGATTTCATTTATATGGGGTTGACATTCCATTTTGCTTCTGGCAGAGGCATCCTGTGCAGAACATGGCAGAGAAGTCAGATTGTGCTTGTGAGGGGGAGTGGCCAATTTCTGAGGGAGTGATTCATTACCAGAGATCTTTTTTGGCTCAGAAATTGATCTTCTCTAATAATACTGTATGTGATTTTCTGTTTAGTTTCAGAAAATTTCACAGCTTTATAAGACTGCACTTTAAAAAATTAAGTTATTAACTTATATAAATATGGCAGTACTGTGCCACCTGATTTAGCCAAGCGTAATAAAGAGGCTATGTAGAAATTGAGCCTGTGTTTTTGACAAACAGGCCATCCATACAAGCGTTAAAGGTGAGTACAAACTTGATGAATCTAATTTTGCTATAAATCTCCTAACAGATTGGAGTGTTAATTAACCTCTTGGGGATTTTTTCCTGCCGGGCATTTCTGCAGTTACTTGGCTGTGCTTTAATCCTCCTTCATTTTAAATGGTAGCTGAATGACTAACTAATCCACATAAGCAGTGTGTATGTCATTTGGGCTCTGAAAAATGGAGAGAAGCCAGATCTGCTGCTGCTGTGTAACAGAGACCAGCTCAGGAGGCAGAAGTTTGTTTGCTTAGCTTGTGCCTGGCAGGTTGTATTCTGCACTCCCTGGGTCCTGAAGAATGGAATGTGTTGCTCTTTGTCATACTGTTGCATATCTAGATAGTTTCTGATTCTGCTTCTGGTATCTTCCATTAAGTAAGAGGGTCAGAGCAGCATGGAGAAGGTGTAAAAATTCTATGCTTGTTCATGGGAAGATCTCACAGCAGTGAGGGAGGAAAGCAGGGGGCACAAGGCATGCACAACAGAAGGGCGTGCAGGCTGAGCACATCAAGCACGTGGTTAGGGCAGCTGGGCAGCTCTCATTCTCAGTATTGCTGGAAGCAGCCCTGCCAGGGAAGTAATAAGATGCTCCAGGACCCTTCTTCCCTTCACTCTGCGTGCTCCTTCCTGCTGCCTTCTCGCTGTGTTTCTCATCGGTTTGTGACCATGTGGAGGTGCATAACTTTAAATGTAGGATTTTTTCTAATTCACAGATGTGAGCAGTCATTTTGTCTGTTAAGATTCAAGGTTTTCTAGTTGAAGGAAATTGAATGGGACAATTTGAACCTAACAGATCCTTTTTCTGGACAGCAGCAGCTTGAGAACTTCACAACTCTCTTCTACCCAGTTCAGAGCTAGTTTTTCTTGATAAGAATTGCGACCAGATCCCTTGCCAACACCACAGTGTGCATTCTCCTCAGTTTCAGACAGATGCTGTGAGAGACCCAATGCTGCACTTTCAAAGCATTTTTAGATCATGTGCTCTATCCCAAGCATTTGAACTAATTTATCTCGTGCACACTAATTTGAATCACACTTCCAAAAGAAATCTGCACGTTGGGAAGTGAGTAAATAAAGGCTCCCATTCATAAATGTTGATTGTCTCTGTGCCTCCTGTGTGCAGTCAGCATCACAAATGAGAGTTGCTGGTGTCATAGGAGACAGCTGCAACAAAACTCTCATGAACCTGCTTCAGAGTGAAGAATGTAATACAGAACATACCACCAGATCAGACAGCAAAAGAGAAAGCACTAATGAATGAAAGTAACAGTGGAGATTATTTGAGAGGGGAAGGATGATGATGCTGTAGAGGAAAGTGGCACTTGTGCAGCACATGGAACTGCTGCATATTCCATTTCTGCACTGTGAAGGCAGTAGTCATTAACATCACCATTTTTAAAAAGGGGAATCCCAGTGAGTCAGATGTCCATTTGTTCTGCTTTACTGTTAAATATCTCTGACTCTCTTTCTAACAAGTTATCTGTATGTTGGGTTTCTTCCACTTACGCGTTGCATCATTATCAACAGAATATTCAGCTGGCATGTTAGAATTTCTCTGCATTGAAATCTGTTTGAAAGGAAGAGAGAAAGCCTGAGCTGGGATGACAGGAATAGTATGAGAGTACATGTGAAAGAGCTGGTGTAAATAGAAACAAGATGTGGTTACATATTGTTGACTTAATTCACATCAGAAAAGGAACAAGAAAAGATTATGTCTGTAGGATCACCTGAAAGGAAGCCAGTCAGCTTTCTGCTTCTATCCAGATGACATATTAGAGAATTATGTAGGCTTTAGCAGCAGCATACCATTTGGGAGTGAAACTGCTACTATGCAGTGTATCAAAAGCCATTTTTTCCTGGCCAGGTGACATTGGAGAGATTTGTCTTTTCTATTCTTTTGGGTAAATTTGGATCACCTGAAGACGGAAAGTCTGTGTGCTGATACTGTAACTATTCTGAAACCCATTGGCATGCAGAGTGCTTGGGTAGTTGTGTTTGCACATAATGCACTTAGCTGGATAATGCTGCTGGTCACAGTTTGGAGTATCTGTTTGTATGTCATGGACTGACAGCCACAGTGAAAATGCTGTTAATTTGAGATCACACAATCCCAAGTTAATTCTAAGCAGTCAGTGAGCTGCTCTTTCAGGTTGTTTCCTTGTTCCAGTTTCCTTGTTTCTAAGTGAAAGATACTCTGAAGGAATCTTTTACTTAGCAAGTTCTTATGTAAGCTTTTGTGATCCACAGAGGATAAAGAGTTGGGAACTTTTTTCTCCTTTTTGCTTTTTCCATTTATCTTTTCTTTTGAGATAGGAGTTCTTAGACTCGCTGTGTTTGTGCTCTTCAGAGGACAACAAACCCATCTCTGCTATTAGGACAGGCTCTGTGTGTGTGTGCATAAAGGGAAGCGCTGCAAGGCGCCCGTTGCACTTAATCAAATGGTGCAGAGATTCTCTTTTTGAAGTGAAGAAAGGGTATGGAGCACTATTATTTTACATCATTACTGTTAATTACCATTAACAATAATTTACAGTATTACTCTTTGTAAAACTGATGTTAATAATCTCCCAGGTTAAGTTTGTTTTCTCTGCAACACAGTTGTAGTTGAAAAGAAAAGAGGCAAGTTAACCCAGTAATGCATAAAAATAATCTAATAAAGGTTCAGCTGAGACCAGGGGCTTCCAGGTCCTTTACATAAATGTGGTGAGAAACAGCCCCCAAGGCATTTCCAGTCTGTGCAGGAAGAGGAGATTTCAGTTGAAGGGCATAAAATGAGCTCTCTGAAAAGCTAACAGGTGACAAGGGAGTTCCTCTCCCTGTATGTGTTTGCATGCCCAAACTCAGCCTCTTTCTTCCTTACTTCTGATGGCAATGGCTGTGGCGTGCCAGAAAAGACTCACTGTATGCAGAATGTAAGATAAGTGAGTTTTACTTTCAGTTCTGGATACAAATACTCAGTGCAACAATGCAGGTCAGTTCTGAGAATGCTGTATCTCTGTGTTTGAGAGTTTCCCATTGCTTGAGGGTTTCATGTTCTCAGTAGGAAGGAGCAGCCTCAGGAGGGAACCCCAGTACAAGAAAGACAGGAAGCTGCTGGAGAAGGTGCAGAGGAGGGGCAACAAAGATGCTCAGAGGGCTGCAGCACCTTCCCTACAAAGACAGGCTGAGGGAGCTGGGCTTGGTCAGCCTGGAGAAGAGAAGACTGTGGGGTGACCTCATTGCAGCCTTTCAGTACCTAAAGGCAGCCTACAAACAGGAGGGGAATCAACTCTTGGAAAGGGGAGATAACTGCAGGACTAGAGGAAATGGTTTGAAGTTGAAGGAGGGAAGATTTAGGTTGAATGGCAGGGGGAAGTTCTTCACAGAGAATAGTGAGGTGCTGGAACAGCTGCCCAGAGAGGCTGTGGATGCCCCCATCCATCCCTAGAGGTGTTCAAGGCTGGATGGGGCCCTGGGCAGCCTGGGCTGCTATGAAATGGGGAGGTTGGCAGCCATGCCTGTGGCAGGGGGATGGATCTTCATGATCCTTGAAGTCCCTTCCAACCAAAGCCATTCTGTGATTCTATGAGGGGCCTCAGCTGTGAGGAATCTGTACTTCAGGGAGTGAAGAAAACCGAGATGTTGGGTGGGAGGGGAATTTAACAGTAAGAAAACGTTAGCTGTATTTCTCCAGAGAAGTTCCCAGTCTGCTGAGTGAACTTTTAGCAAGAGCATGTGTGTAATTTTAGTGGGATATGTGCCTTCATTACCATCTCAAAGAGAATCAATCTGATATTCATGGAAACTGTTTCATCACATTGCATTTTTGTACTTAAATCCTGGCATTTCATACCTAATGAATTGCCTAAAATGAGTTCCTGTATTCCTCTCAGCTGGCTCTTAGTTGATTCCAAGACACTGGTCGCTGTGAGTGTGATTTGCTTTGGTTTTGCAGAGCTGGGAGTTTGGAATCCCGCTGTGCAGAGAGCTGGCCATGCAGTACGAAAGTCTCTACGACTACCAGAGCCTCAGCTGGATTCGGGTATGTGGCAGCAGTTCCTCTCCTAGCACACTCTCATCCAATAGGGAATTCTGCCAAAATCTCAGAAAACCCTCAGTTTAAGAAACAAACCAACCAACCAACCCAGCACCACAAATAACTCCCTTGCCATGGGTTCATTTCAGTGGTGTTGTGGGCCCATTGGGGTAATTCTTAGGTCTGTCAGCAGTGAACATGGACAACAGATGAGGAAATCTTGACTTGCTGCTGCAATTACCTGTTTTACATATATTTTTTGCAAAAAACATCCTTTTTTTCTTCCTTTTCTTTTTAATGTATTGATATTTCATTTTAACTCCAAAAATATCCAGGACCCCATCTGCCTCAGCTGACTTAAGAGGAGGGAAAGGGAAAAACAGAATGGAAAAGGCAAACATTTATGGCATTCTTGTGAGTTTTCAAAGATGTGATGCCCTGGTAAAACCAAGCTGGGGGAGATTTGTGGCACTGTTGCTGTAATCAGAAAAGTTTTGCTGTGTATAACCTAAAGGTTATGTATGTATGAATTTGCAAAGACATCTAAAATAGGACAGCTTGAGCATTTCTTCTGGTGTGCAGGAAACACTGACACATCAGTAATGTTAGCTGTTCATTTTGCCTCTTTTTTAATTGGCTTTAATTAGTGGGCTAGTATGATTGTTTCAGCTCAGCAATGGAACCTGTTCAACTCATCATTTTGTTCACAGGTACATGATCTATTTTCTGTTCAGAATCCCTAAATCTGTGTTGACCTGAACTGGATTGAATTTCTCCCCATTGCACAAAGTTTTCCTTATTCTGTCCATCTCAGTTAACACGTTCCCACAGTGACTTCAGGTCTTTCTCCATTTTACAAAAGAGGTAATATGTGTGAAGCCAAGAAGAAAGCCTTGGCACAGTGTTCTGAGTCAAAGCTGCTGTGAGGATTCCCTGCAGTGGAAGCAATGACATCAAACTGGTGCTTCTCTTTAGAAAGCTATCTTTTTGGATATAATGAAATCCTTGTGAGCGTTTCAGAGACTCGCTTTGGCAAGAGGGTTTGAAATCCCACTCCTGATGCAGTGCCAGCACAGTGCCATAGAAATAATAATTGGGGCTGAATAAAAGTCCTCCTTCCAAACTCCTTTTTTCTTCCATGTTAAACTTACCAGTGTACAGAGCTGGAGTAGATTTAATTATGCTTTGCCCCTTTTCACTCTCCTTAACTCAATTAAGGCAAACCCAGTTGAATTGGTACAGTTTTTCAGACAGCAGTATAGATTCTGAGCTGTGGGGAGTGGGGTGTTAAAGCACAGGCCTGAATCTCAGCTTGGCCCTTAGTTCTGCAGTACACAGAAGATTACGTGCAAGACTTGTTTTATTTAAAATGAAATGCAACAGAGAAAAGACATACATCATCTCCCAAAATGTAGAATGAGCTGGGTGATTTTATGGTCTGCTCCACCACATGGACCATTTAATTAATAATCTTAATTGTTAAAACAATATCACTATTCTCATTAAAAGAAAAAGTGTGTATGCACAAGAGCAGCGTTTTGTTGTAATGCACCTTGAGAGTCTCATGTTTTAAGTGCAGTTTTAAGAGTCTGATAGCAGCTGTCATTTTCCTCCGCAGAAAATGGAAGCCACCTATTATGATAATATCATGGAACAGCAGCGCCTGGAACCGGAATTCTTCAGAGTTGGTTTTTATGGTCGAAAATTCCCATTCTTCCTGCGGGTAAGCCAGAGCTATACAAAATGTGACAGCAGGACTGGGCTCCGAGTAGCTGTCACAGCTCTGAATTTTGGTTGTGGAGATACAACATCTGCTGTTCATTTTATATTTTACACTTGTGTAAGCAGAAGCAGCTTTCTGATAGGTCTGAAGGGTATCATTGGTTGGGAATATTCTTAGGAACACAGATCAGAAATTTGACGGACACCTATGTGTATTTCTGGCAATCTCACGTCAGCAAAATTTACCTCTGTAATTAAGCAAAATTCTTTATTGCAGTGATGATGGGTCATTATTTCAACTAACTTTCATTATCTCAAATTATCACGCTTTTAAAAACATCTCACATGACAGAATGATTCTAGTAAGAGACTAATGACACTCTTCTGCTCTCTACAGCAAAAGTTCTCCTGTATTAAGTAGAAAGCCCATCAGCTTCTCTGTGCACGTCCTCACTTTGAGCTTACTGTCTGCTGCTGTGCACAGGGTCAGCAGGCTCTGAGATCCACTGAAAAAGTGAAAATGTTTTATCTTCCTAATGAGGCATTAGTTCATACGGCTTCTTGTTTCTGGTTCAGAGTAAGGAGGGAATATAATCTGACACCTTCTGGAAAAGCTACCTGAAAATTGATCATAGAATCATAGAATCACAAGGTTGGAAACGACCTATAAGATCATCTAGTCCAACCATTGATGGCAGATGCCATCTGGTCTGACAGGCCAAGCTAACCTGCAGCATGCTTTCAGGGGCTGGAGCAGCATGTTTTTTTGTTTTCTTTAAAGATAGGGTTTGACAAGAGATGGCACCACTCTTGAGTAATACAGTAATAAGTTACAAAAAGCAAAGCAAAACTGTTTGCCATTTTTGTTTCATAAGGTACACATTCTGAAAATTGCCTTCTTAAACTTCCCTCTGCTTTGTTATAGCTGAGATTAAAATATTGGTGTTTAATTACGTTACTTTAGTGGAGGCATGCTGTAAATAATCAAGGTGGGATATCAATGGACAATGGGTGGCATTATTATACTCAAAGGTGAAGCAAGAGCCTCAATCAGCATTTCAAATCAGCGTGCGAAAGAATGCAGAGTGTTGCAGTGTGAAGATCCCCTTTTCCGAAGAGCTCCCAAGAAAACATGATTTCTTTTTTAGTAACAGATGTTGCAGAAAATAAACGACAACCAAGTCATGATGGCACATAAGTGTTCCTGTGTTAGAAGTACTGTCAGTGAATCCTCGTGCATCCTCGTTCTGTCGTGGACCCTGCCTGGCCTTACACTGCACCATTGTGAAGTGCTGTATGGAAACTTGGCTGGAGATGTTAACAGCAAACGTTAGCATATACAGTTATAATCCTTGTTAGTTCTGCAATTGCAGTTAGTAGCGGTGCTTCTGATAGCAGATTACTAACATAGCAGTCTCGTTAGAATACACCCTCCTCCTTCCTCTCCCTGATGATCCATGCAGTGCTCACATTGCGAAGCACAGTCTAAGCCCATTAGCAGTTGCATCTGCATGGATCACACTATAAAGAGATTCACAGCATCTATTCTGGAGAAGAAGAAGATTTATGTGGATTTAAAATTTTCAAATGGATACAAGAGCGATTTAAAGTGATGAAATAACTTCATGTACTTTTTAATTTTTCTACTGTTGTATAGTTTAAGACAGAAAATAGCCACTTCCTTCTACATCTGCAGTTTTGTAGACCCTTTGTCTAGAAAAATTGCTTATGTGACTGTGGAACCTGCATCTCTTTCTATCCTTCCTACACAATTATGTTAGAACTGCTCATGTCTTTTCCTACCAAAAGTTCAAGTAAGGACAAGCTGCGTGCTGAGATCTTGTATTGCCTTCTATGTGAAGAGTCTATTAAATCTGGCCTGATGTGTTTTCAGGACATTATTGTTAGAACTTTATTTATAGCCTTTACCATTTCCTTAGTTGCTGCAGTCAAAAATTAAAACAGAATGCAGTAAGTGCCATGAAGAGATTCACCTTCAGATATCAATAATAGCTGCAAAGCTGGGCCATTGCAGAGTGAACTGTGTTTTCATCACAGCTTCCACCATGAGATCTCATCTCTAGAGATGAAGCACAAGCCCAAAGGCACTGCACTTCTTGGCTAAACTTTATGAACAGGTTTTGCCAGTTTCTCTTTCATTCTGCTAATAGCAAGAAATCACAGCATATGCTGCAGCTGTTTGACTGCAAGAAATAGAATGGGGGCAACTTTCTTGTTTGATGGAATTTTTTTTGTTGTTGTTTTATTAAGAAGGAGAAAAATCTCCCTGTACAGCATACACAATAGCTATTGTGATGAGTCAGAACGCCCAGGATTAGAGATTTGCTTGCTGTGATAAGTCTCACGTCAGGCAATGCTGTCACCAGTCGAAGTTGTATTATGTGGTAATATAGTTAAGGCACTTTATGACACTCAGCACTATAGAGACGCTGTCGCCTGCTGGTCAGAGTTCAAGATGGTTCAAAAGCATCCAAGAACTCTAAGCAAGTGATTTAATGCCTCAGGAGGTATATTTTAAATGCAAACTTTACGTCACTGGCAGAGAGGAAATGTTGTCCATCAAGAGGAAAGTGCTTTTGGAGTTGAAGTGGAATGTGCTAAGTGGCCATTCTTGGGGAGGCTCTCCTTGTTATTCCACTGTAGACAGCAGTGTTCCAGCAACGTTATCAGAGCTGATTGTATGGGTGTGACAGTGCAATAGTGACTAAACAATGATGTTTGCGAGGTTTGTTATCACACCTTTCTAAAGATAGCTGGTAAATTGTTAAATATGTCTTTCCCCCTGTTCTGTGAAATCCTCAGACTTTTGCCCAGCTCATGGAAATTGCATTTGATGGCAGTTTTTCCAGCGCGGAACAAGGTTTGTGACCCAGTCTTAAGTTTTGCTTGATGCATTTCGTTACAGTCTGATTAAATAGTACTCCCTGTTCGGTTATCCGAAAAGCAAATCAGACAAAACTATAGGACTTGTTGGATGCTTGCTTGTAGGGAGCAAAGGTATCTTTTGTTGAGGGAGCAGTAGAATGGTCTCCTTATTCATCAGTTAATGAAATGAAAAAGAAAGAAATAGAATATATCATCCATGTTATCTGCACATTTTATTGTGACGTCAGCTTGTTGACTTTGTCTCTTACCTCACTTTCTGAAGCAGTAAAATTTAAAGTGAGGTAACAGTCAACTGCATTTAACCTGTCTTTAACGGAGATTCATTTATGCTTGTCCTTGCAGAACAAAGAATACGTGTGTCGGGGCCACGACTATGAGAGGCTGGAAGCCTTTCAGCAGAGGATGTTGAGCGAGTTCCCACAAGCCATTGCAATGCAGCATCCGAACCACCCAGACGACTCTATATTACAGTGCGATGCCCAGTGTATCCTTCAGTGAGATCTTTGGTACTGATTGTCTTGCATATCTCAGACACTGACTGATTCTTTGTATTGTTGGAGTGAATTGTTGCCTTTTATTCTGCAGGGAGTATTGCAGGCCATGCTCGAGAGATTGGCGAGAGATTGATCACATCCAGCCTTTCACCTTTACCAGCAACGTTGGCATAAGGGACGTTTTACTTCACTAAATGTACATTCTAATACCTTCTCTTGGAGAATGTGTTGTTGGGAACAGATATAAAAGTATTCTTTTCCACTGTCTTTTTAACTGCAGCTTTTTTTTTCTTGTAGTCTCCTTTTCTTTTAAGTTGTGGAACTCCCTTATAACTATGGCTCTAAATTTCTTTCTTCTCGTTGTTAATGAGTACTGCAGTTTAATGGACCCAATACAACGCTTTGTGCATTTAAGGATGGAACTATCCTAAGGATGGAACTATGGAACTATGACTGATGGGGCTGCAGAGACCCGGGGAGATTTTAGTTATGAAAACACTGCCATTTGGCTTGTGCCACACCAGTGAGGGCACTGCACAGGACTGCAGGACTTTAACCTTAAGAATACTGTCGTTAAGTGTTTGATGTTTCCCACTCATTTTCCATATGATATGCTTTTCACTCTCCAATGTTATGTATCACTGATAGTTTTACAGACAGAAAGGGTTGTTTATATATTTACTTTCATAAGTTTCTTTGCACTTGTTGCACAAGAGACCTTGTCTGTAACAGTAAGACTACAGCAGTTAAACTGCCCTGATGAACATAGGACGATGTCTGCCTGCAGACAAAGGATGAAATTTACCAAAAGTAAATATTAAAAATTTAGGTTTCTGTATACCTGGAGACACAAAGATTTATTGAAGTGCCTGCAGAAGTGAAGCACCTAGCTTGAGTGAGAACTAATAGGGTCTGGCTCGTTTGGCTGATCTAGATAGAGTGTAGTAAGACATCTGAAAATATGTGCATCCTCAGATGTCTTGCTTTGTTTGATTTGGCTTTAAGGTACTACAGCTTTGTAGGCACCCTGAGGATTTCTGGTGTTGTATCCTCTTGTTTCATGTGCAAAAGAAGGGCGTTGGTAAACAAAGAGAAGTATATGCTGTTTCTTTCTACAGCAGAGGCAGCTTTCTTGTTCAGTGTTCCATGGCTTTCTTTGACAAGGCAATGTGCAGATTTACAGATCTATGCTGTGACTCCCATCCCCGACAGCATCGATGTGCTGCAGATGGACCGCGTCCCTGACCGAATAAAGAGCTTCTACCGAGTCAATAACATCCGGAAGTTCCGCTATGACAGGCCTTTCCACAAGGGCCCCAAGGACAAGGACAACGAGTTTAAGGTACAGGCAGGCAGAAAACTGCATTAAGTGTTAATAAGGCAAATACTGTCTTGTTAGCTTATGCTAATGTAGCCTTTCAAGTAATCCTGATTTGGTGGCCAGACATCAGTAACAAGTGGCTGTTGAATCTGGTGGCTTCACATCTGAGCATTTTGCAGTTTAAAGGTAAGTCACTGGAGTGCCAGGAGAAATGCATTTCAAAGTAAGATGTTTTTTTGATTGGCTGGATTTCTTGTTTTATGATCGTAGATGTTCGCAATGTCTTCTTGGTTCCCATGACAGAACTGGTATCCAAACTCAACCTCTGAGAGTTGACTGAAATGCTGAATGTGTTGTTTTAGAGCATATTGAATTATTTTCTGGCATTTAAGTGATTATCAGCATGACATACTGCTGTATGTTACTGTTATGTGTATGTTATGAGGTTATATTATGATGTATGTTATGAGGTTGATATATTCTTCTTTTACATTTGCCCTCCCTTGTAGCTAAGAGTATAGATGATGTGCTTGTGATTCATTCTGTGTCTCACATCCCTCAATTTCTTTCTGCAGAGCTTGTGGATTGAACGCACCACTCTGACCTTGACTCACAGCTTACCTGGGATCTCCCGTTGGTTTGAAGTGGAAAGAAGAGAACTGGTAACATTCATAATTCTGTCACTGAGGTCTGAAACTATGACTTACTAAGGGTGCAGGGCAGATGACTGAGCACTCCTTTGGCTGAAATTTTACCATTTAAAATGATGCAGTTTAGCAGCAATTAAGTATGTACTTTCTATATCACCTAGTCTAAATAATTGCTGAATGTAACCAGGGGAATTATTCAGGTGAACGTGACAGTGTAAAGGAGAATGTGCCAAAAAGATTAAATAATTGCATTGTCACCATGTCTTCAACAACTCCATGACCTGAAATAGAATATTACTGACAATGAAGTTTGTTAACTTAGCTGATTTTCTAGCAGTGAAAACTCAGTGAAAATCAGTGAACCATCTAAGAGTATTTCTTTACAAGGAACACAATGAATCACAATGAAGCATCCGTGGAATTAAAGTATGTTTAATTGCTTTTAAGGTTGAAGTAAGTCCTTTGGAAAATGCCATTCAGGTGGTTGAGAACAAAAATCAGGAGTTAAGAACGCTGATAAGCCAGTACCAGCATAAACAAATGCATGGTAATATTAATCTTCTCAGCATGTGTCTGAATGGAGTGATTGATGCAGCTGTGAATGGGGGAATTGCGAGATACCAGGAGGTAAGTGAGGATCAATATTTTTCAATCTTATTTTCATTTTTGTTGCAAGGAGCCTGTCACAGAATATGATAAGAAATTATCATGCACTTTATCTGAATGTGAGGTTAAAACCCGATGCTTGATTATTCTGCAACAGTGCTTCAGTGTGTCAACAGGAGGCTCCAGAGATGGAACTGGGATACTGCATTAAAGTAGGTGCAGTTGGCAGTAGAGTTCTTAAGAACGAAGCTTGGGTTACGTGGAAAACCTGAGCTGGCAGGTACAGGAGTGAAGCAGCAGTACAAAAAAACCCATTTCTTATGTTATAAATCCATTTTGCGGTGATATCAGAGTGTGATTGGGCCTGTAATCAGGAAAAGCTGCTAATTCCTGCTACCTAACCATTATCTTTGCTAGCCCAATTTCAGACTCACTGAGACCCTAAAATTATCTGATGTTATCTGCTACACTATCTGATATATTCTTTGGCAAGCTGTTAATTAAATTCCACATTATGAAGGGTAAGTCTAGAGTGAAATAGTAAGAAATGGTAGCAGTGGTCCAGGGGTCTGGGATATGTCTTTCCTATTGAGCCATACAGAGAATGCTCTTCACTCTTTAGAATTAGTTACCATCTTACTCTTTAATTCCATTAACCTGAGGAGATTTTGTGAAGGAAATGATATAAAATTCAAATAACTGAATAATATAGGGATTGGTGGTATTGCCATCATTATTGCATAGAGAAAGCCCATCAGATTCATACCTTATGCTATTCAGCGCTGGTTCCTTTAAAGTAGGAACAGAATGATCTGGGTTGCTAAAACCTTACTGTAGCTTTACCTGAACCCCGGAGTGCCAAAAGCAGTAAAATTGAGCTTCTGCTGTAGGCTTAAAATACTTAGTTTTCCTCAGATTTCTGAACTTTTTCTTCTTGTCTTTCGACACCAAGTCATTATAAATATCTTCCGTTAAACAGAAGGCTTTTTTTTCTTTTTTTTTTTTTTTTTCCCTACAGGCCTTTTTTGATAAAGATTATATCACAAAGCACCCTGGAGATGCAGAGAAGATCACACAGCTTAAGGAGCTCATGCAGGAACAGGTACTACTCTTCTGTAGTTTCTGGATTAATCAGTGGTCTGAACATACCAGGTCCAGTTCATCCATTCACAAGCAAGGAATTTCAGTACAGGAGATTTAAAGTACATTTAAACAAAAAGGAGAGGAGGTAGTCAAGTGTTTCTGAACAAGCCAATCGCCCTAGGCAATGTTAGGTGAAGCTCTGCTAACAGTGCTTAAATTTTGTTGTCACCATTTAGTATCCAATAGGTGTTGTGCCATGCTTCAAGCCTGCTGTTCATTTCTGGCATTTTGAGTTATGTCTTCCTAGTAAATTTCGAAGGTAGAATCAGGACAGGACAGGCTCCATGTAAAACTGGCAGAGCCGCATGGGAAAACTTAATGTCTATTTATATTATCTACAGTTCAGATTTTCTTTATTATCTCCACAAAACATCTTAGTAGATAAAGCTTGCTGGATGCTTTGCTGGGAGTGAAATCAGACAATCACATCCTTGCTAATGGAAAGTTTGGCAAAATAAGCCCCAGTAAGCAATGCGGCCAAGTCTGAGCAGAGCTGCTAGGCCTGCTTTGTCAACAGATCGCTTAACAGATTTCCCATCTGTAAGATAAAGATAATGTTTATCTCCCCTCCATCCTCAAGAAGATGTTTGAAGATTAATTAGCTATTGTTTGTACACAGTTTTGATCATGTGTGAAATTATATGCATATGCTATCATGACTGTCTTTCATCTGAGAGTTGATATAATCTCTTTCAGTGACTAATATTGTATGTTTGACCTTTGAAAATCTGACCTTTATAAATAAGTAATGAGCAGCAGAAAGAATGAATGCTGCCATGCTCAGGTCGGTTATCAGAACATCCTTTTTCATTTTTATTTTTTTGGTCACAGTGAATTATGAGGACTCTGTGCTGCTAACTCTGGAGAGAGAATCAATCTTTTGTTTCTTTTTACAGTTGTCTTTAAGAAATGTAATCTACTGTGACATAAATGTACTTCTTTCACATTTGAAGTACTTGCTGAATACGAGCTTGCCAGGTCTTCTAGACTTACTTGATTGTCAGCAGTCCTTAGTTGAACAGTGGAATATTTTGCAGTACTCCCTTACACACTGACAGACTGAGGATAAGGCTTCTGTTCTCTCTCTTAGTCTTTATTAAGTTTTGTTGTGTTGTTTTCTTCTTAACAGGTGCATGTCTTAGGAGTGGGGCTGGCAGTCCATGAGAAATTTGTCCATCCAGAAATGCGTCCTCTGCATAAGAAACTGATAGACCAGTTCCAGATGATGAGATCCAGTTTGTACCACGTAAGCTGGTCTTCAGTTTTCCTATTCTGAATCATCCAGAATTCTGAGCATCTGTTGCAGTAGCGTTCACACAGGAACTGGGCAGATATGGCACTGACCAAATCTACTGGATTGCCAGATTATCACAAGAATTCTTGATTATATTTATCTTTCTCTGATATAAAACAGAAAGAAAGATTAACAGACAGTATTTGATGTTCAGCTTTTAGAACTGTCATCATTTGGAGTAGCATGGCATGGATTAGGCCCTCCAGAAGTATTTTTTTTTTAATATATATATAGTAACAGAAATTCTTGTTGCTTAATTCAGGCACCCAACTCTGATGATCTGTACACGCAATATTATAGGTCTGCATTTCCTATGTGAGTCAGGAGAACTGCCTCCAGAGGATAGTTCATAGTGTCTGTTAAATACCAGAAGTACACATGGCATCCCCTCGGACTTTGTACCTTCCACCCATTTGTGCTCTGCTGTACATCAGTGTTCTGTGACAGATATGTTTCAGACTTTTGTGGATATCTTGACGCTATATCGTATGTTATCACAACCAAACTGAAGGACTTCTTTCTGTGAAACAGAAAAGAATTTTTTGAAATGTGTTAGCACTTTACTTCAAACTCAAGTACGTATTTTCTAAAAGCTTCTAACTTGAAGACATTTTCCCCATTCCTGGGAGTGAATGCAGGGATGGCCAGAAATTACAGCATCAGAATTTTAAAATACAGCCTTTCTCTTTCAGAGCAGATGCGATCTATACAGGTCACAGTTGTCAGCCCAAATTCACTGCCTATCTTTAAGAGTTTCTAAAAGATCTCTGTTTTCAAATTCACCTATCCTTTCGGAAAAATGTAGATGGTTGCAATTTGGTCAACAGCGTGCCCCTGTTTTTCTCCAGAATTCTTGAAATGGTGGCTGGAAAGTATTGCTGGAAGTAGATAATAAAACACTGAAGCTCTTCCTACTGTGGAAGCACAGGATAACTGCAGATGATTACAGAGAACATGGAAAGAAATCAGAATTTTTTTCTGAGACAACTGCTGTAATTTTCTCATTACTGACTTAGCTAAAATAGTTACAGTTAAGTGACTCTGTGTCTCCTGTGCAGGAGTTGCCTGGTTTGGATAAGCTGAGCCCAGCGTGTTCTGGCAGTAGTACACCTCGCAGCAATATTCTAGTTTCCCATGGACCTATGAGCCCAGAGAGCATAAAGCTGCTTCATCGACACAGGTACCGTGTGGTCTGATGCTGGAATATGTAGAATCTCTGCGCACTGCTGCATTAAGATTCAAGGGGTAGAAAAGCAGTGAACACTACTGGGGGAGTAGGAGGAGGGTGAATTTTGGCAGCAGTGTCCTTTATCTTCATTCAGGGCTAGCTATTAAAGCTTGAATGTTGATTGGAATCAAGAAGTTGAGAAATCTGGTTTGCAGCGAATGGTAAATACCTCCAGATGTTACATTGCTTTGCTTACACATCTCCATGTCTGACTTGCGAGGTTCCAACTTCTCCTGTTATGCAGATGGCAAGTAAATAGGTCTTTACCTGCAGTAACAGGGAAACTCTGCTGTTTTGCTTTAGAAACGTGCCCATTTTTAAGACACCAAAGTTGTTTTATCAGAAAGTAGCTCAGACTTCAGAGAAACATCTCAAAATGTGAAATCCATATTGAGACAGAATGCCCTCCTATAGAAGCTGAGGACCAATCCCAAATTGGGATTTTCAGGTCAAAGCAGAGCCAGAATACCCAGCCAGAATTGCTTACTAGAAAATGCCAATCTGAGAAACAGTGACAAGAATGGCACCCAAATGATGCAGTGTTAGATGTTCTACCATGTTCCTCTTGGTAGGTCTGCACAGTTCAGCTGTTTTTAAAGCCTAGCAGTAAAAAATGTGGATCCTTGCTCCTGGGTACAGGATTGTGAGATTCTTTTTATAATTAAAATGGAGTGACTCTTATACCACTTCTGTGCCTTGGCACTTTGGGATCTGGGCAAGAGAATTTTTTCCTCAGAATTCATCACTTTGCAAAGCATTCTTTAGCTCTTGGGGTAAGCTAGGGAGATTCTGTAGAGTACAAAAGATGTGTTTGTGTATGTGATTCACAAAAAAAAAAAAAAAAAAAAGAGAGATCAGAATGCATCTTTGCATGCAGAATACACTCTTTGCACTGTATTAATGTACTGTCAGGTAGAAAGTTGCCTTCACCTGTAATGCAGATGGCCAAAGATGCAGTGAGGAGGTCTGTGTTTTGACCTGTGTCCTTTGCCTGGAGTCTCTCGGAAAGGTTTTTAAGTTGCTTCCCCCATCATTCTGCAGCAGTGAGAATGAGAATGATTTCAGAATGTTCAGTTACTAAAGATAGCATTGTGACTTGTTAACCTGGCTTTGGATTCTGAAATTTGATGTCCCACATACTATGTTATCTTTAGTCGTATTAGCAATTCTTTCAAATTTATGGACTTGATTGTTTGGCCTGATTTTTTCAGGAGTGTTTGACTTGTTTGACCTAAAGCAAGTGCTAAACCAGAAAAAAATCAGGCTTCACAAATTAAAATGCAAATTCAAAAACTAATTCAAAAACTAACAGCAGCCCTGTTGTGTCTCTGTTCTCATTGCAGCCCACTGAACTTACTTGGCTCAGTCCGACACTCATCATCCTCTTTGTCATCCCACACCTCCAGCGAAACAGGGAACCTGGTTATCCTAACAGACAGCTCAGTGGGGGAGGCTGCGGAGGAGATGTACCACATGCAGGTAGGCTCCAGCGTGCCACGAGATTGTGATAGAAGCAGCACTGAGCACGCTCAGAGGGCTGTGCTTCCAAGTGCAGTTTGCGTGTCTGAACTCATGGTTCTTTTCTGCTAGGTTATCTATGAAGAACTGAATAGCTAGAATCTGCCATTGTTCAAGAAGGATGACAGATTAATTCAGCCAGGTTTACTTTGGGAAGAAATTTTCTGAGAGCTGCTGTCCAGGATGATAACATTGCTTTCAAAATATGAGATTTCAGTCAGCATGTTGTGTATCTGACCTGTTCAACATATGCAGTTAATGTTGTTCCCAAAATGAGTCCCACACTTAAGTGCAGGTTAACAATGACCTACACTGAAGCTATTTCCTAGACTCTGGTCATCCTGGGTGATGTAAGACAGGTAAACGTCCAATGCAGTGAACCACTTCATTCTCCTCTGATGGTTTCTCTGCTTTCTGCAGCTTGTTGACCCTCACTGCAAGTATCAAGGCTCAGTCACCAAAGTGTCTGTTTTATCCTTATGCCAGGCCAGCCCATCCACCTCCAGCCTGAGCTCCACACACTCAGCACCATCCCAGATGATTAACTCTGCTCCTTCCAGTGCGCGAGGTAAGAATGGATGGATCTAAATGGGAGTTAATGGGAACTACAGGCATCCCATAATTCTTCCAACTTTGTCAACTTATTGGGTAAAACACCACCTGCACTGAAATACACCACTTTTCCAGAGTGTGGGTCTTCAAAAATGATTTTTTTCAAAATGTTCTACATTTTTCAAAAATTGATTATTTTTTTTAAGCAGCATTTGGAGTGTATCTCATGTGTGCTGGTTTCAGGCAACTGGATTTTATAATAGTTTCTATTATTCTGCCACAAGTTGTGACAGGCAGTGTAGAGGAAAATAAGAATATTCTTTGGTACAGTGCTTAAAGGAGAGAGATCATGGAGACAAACACAAAGATTCCATTTTAGATACATCATGAAATCATGGCACAAAGAACTTGAGGCAGTTTAGCAGAAAGTTGTGTATGCACAAGCGTATGTACATGATGAGTGTTGAAAGATGTGAACAGAGACAAGGAAGGATTTCCTTGATAGGAAAATCTTGAAGAAGGGAAGAACACAGTGACAGACTCTAATGGTACTGTTACTGCCTTTGCTGTTACAGTAGCTAGATAAAGCTAACCATTTTCTTCCCAAGCCTCACAGCTGAAGCAAAAATACTGCATGCCATCGCCCAATTTTCGTTACTTCTGTTTGAGTTTTCTTCTCTCATTTTGGATTCTTAATTGCAGGCTCATGAATTTCTTTCTACACTTCTTTTCACAGGAATATGAAGAAAGTACGAGAGATGCAGTCAGAGACAGAGGCTGTTATTTAAATCCTATCCCTTTTTTCTGTATAGGGGAACTGTGTGTCTCCTTATGGACAGAGTACAGAGCAGGCAGGGGAAGGTTTCTGTTGCTTGTTAACAAGTAAATACTTTTCTCTCAGGCTAGCTTGGGGCTTTTTTGCTCGATCTTGCAATAAAGTCTCAATTGACTGGCTGTTGTAAGACACAGACACATCTATCAAAGTGATTTAATTGGAGGATCAGATGGAGTAGGAAGGTGAGAAGTGGATGTCTTCAAATAAAGGCATATAGCTCCACTGATTGCCAAGAGCTGGAAGGAAAATAATAAGAATTGAAGTAACAAATTAGCAAGAGGAAACTGGCATAACAGAAAGGGGAAGATGAAACTGAGTACAGAGCCATCATGCCAGGAAGTCACCCCTGAGTGGATGTGCCTCAACTGGCATGTGAGGTCTGAATCTTCTGGGGAATGAGGGCTTTGGTGATCACAGTATTTCCATGTAGCTTTCATTTTAAAAAGCCAACACTTCCAGCGAGGGGCTGCACCATTCTTTCTGAGCTTGGTGACTTCTCAGCAGCACCAGCTTCCCTCTTAACTGTATTGTTCGTTGTTCCTTAGAAACCAAAGGGATGAACGCTGCAGAGAGCATGGTGCTGACGGTTAGTCAACAGCACCTCCCAAAGATGAGAGCTGGCCAAAGTAAATGACCACTAATGAGGGAATAACCGTTTTGAAAAATATCTCAGTGTATATCTTAACATTATTCTTCACCCTTACTAAAAGGTTTTGACAGCCTTACATAATGCATTTCTTCTCTGCTTTGTTCACTTTCAAGTTAGGAGAGCGTAGCATTCAGACATTACCCACTTACTGTGAGACTGCATTTTAAAGTCCTAGATTCTCTGTTTCACAGTGTGCAGGTCACCACACTGGTTATTGCAACTCTGCTCTTTGGAATGAAGTCGTTTGTAGCCACGAAAACCCTACAGTATGCTCCACTGTGGTAATACAGCTTTGATTTTCTCGTTGGTGATTTTTCCTTTTGTTTTGTTTTTGAATTGGGTGAATTTGATGCTTATGAAAATGAAGGTCAAGTGTCACTGGCCAGAGCAAGGTACTTCACAACCATTACATGTGCAGCTCTGCCAATGCACTTCTATTCCTTTTTTTCTTTTTTTTTTTTTTCTTTTTTCTTCTGTATTTATTTATACTCTTTTTAATTTAGTGCTGGTGAAAGGTGGTGGATTGACAACACTGGAGGCTGAAGCCCTCTATTTACCCACAGAACAGATACAGCATGGGCGACAGCCGTGCAAGCTTCCCCACACTGCCCCTACCAATGTGCCTCATCTCTGTCCTGGAGGGACCACCTCTAGAGGTGAGAGGATAGTTTGGTCTCCATGACCCATTCAATCCTTGACCTTTCTGCTGAGACTGCCAACAAAGCTACGTAGTCACAGTGCTGGAGTGCTAGAACTAACTGCTGTTCAGACAGGAATTACATGAAGACCCATAATTTGTTTCATGCAGGCCACCTAAATTTACCAAGTTAGCAACTTTGCTACCCGTGACCTTTAGTAGAGCATGGCTTTTGTTAGACACCTTTTTCATTGATTGACATGTTAATGTAGAGGTTAGAAACCAAACCAAACTGCTATCCCATTATCTGGATTTTTTACCAGCTTTTATACTGCAGAGTTCTTTCTGGATCTCTGCTGCTAGCGCTGTTTTGAGGAGTTGGGTATATTTTAATACAGATTTGTTACACTAGTGACCATAAAAAGCCATGGCCATTTGCATTAACAATTTAACAGGAAATTAATTTGTATTTTGATTCTTCACTTCCAAACAAAGCCCTTTCATTGGTGTTTAAAATGACAACAAAAGCAGATGATTTGGTTTGTCCAGTGAAAATAATAAAGCCATTAATCCAACATCTTGTTTAAAAGATCTGTAACTAATGACGATGTGGTTTTACCACTGGAGAGTAGGTTAAAGCAGCAAACCTTGTACTGAAGTTATAGTGTATACTGCTTAGAGCAGAAGTCTTAAATAAAACTGTAATCAGAAGATAGCCAAAATTCTCTAACTGTGCAGTTAGAAGAAGATTATTACTAGCTATTTTTCAGGTTAATGTACACATCTTTCAGTTTTTCCCCTATTTCCCCCTTGTGTAACTTCTTTCCTGTCAAGAACACAGCATGGTTTTGTATGCAGCATAAGTAAGGAATTCATTTGAGGTGACTCATACAAGGCAGTGCTCTAACCCTACTTGAGTTAAAAGATTATGCAGAGCAACGTTTCCTAAATTGATATTGTAATGCAAAAACACTTGGGAGGGGCTGTGAGTGTGTTAGTGGCTTTTTCAGTTGTTTCATTCAAAATAAATCCGGTACTCCTGCACTCCAAGGGCATTGCCTGGCTGACACTTGATGACTGACCTCCCAGGGTGCCCCTGCTTCCCCAGCACGGTTTCCAGGGGCAGGAAGTGAGTCCCTGTACCCCTTACTCAGCACTTTGCAAGAACCCAGATATTTGCATAAAAACTTTCCTCATTAATTCAAGAAGTGATAGTTTGATGCAAGAGCCAACTGATTTCATGACAGTAAAGAAAATGATTCATCAGAACCAAAAAGATGTGTTGAGTTTGGAGCTCAACTGTGTTAATTTTCAGTTTTTTTCCTTAAAGCTAATACTTGTAACAAAGTAGATTAACATTTTCTTTTTTTTTTTTTTTTTTTTTAAATGCTACCTCTGCCTTCAGCACAGGTTTTCCTTTCTCAATAATAGTATGCACAGTGCTGCGCACATGCAGTGTAGTGAGCTGCAGGCTGCAGAGGATAAGCCCTGGTACACGCTGCATTTCAGGTGGCCACTATGGCTGTCCTGAAAGCTTCTGGATTTGATGTTGTTTTCTTCAGTTTGCCAGTCCCTGAAAAGAGCCTTAGTGATTGTGTTCTCTGCCTTTTCAAAGCAGCAGGCCTGATTATTAACAAATAAATGCTTCAGTTATAGCCACTCCTCTCATAGCACTCAATTTTTGCAGGTGTCAGTGCTTAATTTGCTAGCAGGCTGGACATATGGCATAATCTGCCACACTCTTTGTGGCCCTAGTCATTTCCAAATTTAGGGTACCAAATGCCAGGGTGAAACTACCTCCATGTTTAGTACATGTGGAATTTTTCAGGTCACGCATGCAAGGTCTGGTGGAAGCTAGAATCCCATATTAACCAATGGCACATTGGGGTGGTTTGCATCTTGGACAAAAAAGCACAAGATAAATAAAATGGCAAAGCTGACATTGTTGGGTTGTGCTGTGATGCAGTTCTGGGCACACCTAAGAGTTTGATACATCTACATTTGTCAGGCAGAAGTAGGATTATCTGTGACATGTGAGTAAAAGAGACTCAGCATAAAGCATAACACTGTGTTTTCCAAGCTGATGCTTGTACATGAGAGCAAAGAATGTTGTGTAATTATGTTTCTGTTTTATGTCTGGGGAGAAAATGAGTTCGGAACTGGAATGCAGATACTTTGTGGCTGTCCATGTCAGGGTGGGGGTGTGGATTAATCGGGGATCTGCCTCCCCTATTGTAGGAGGTTATCCTGCATTCTGCTGGACACATTGTTCCTTCCACTGTGTGCTGAATATCAGTCCCAAAAAATGCATGTTTGATTTTGCTGGGATAAAAGCTGCATTAATCAGTACCAGTGCCTTTGCTCATATGTTGCAGTGCTGTTCAGGTAATGTGTGTGGTTGTGGAAAGTCTGCAAGAGGGGGCATGTATTCCCCAAAAGCCAGCATGGCTCTGTAATGCGCTGTGTGCTGTCATCTGTTCAGTGCGTGTCTGTGATGCAGTGAAATTAGCAGTGCAAATGAAAGCTCACTCTAGCAGCTTCTGACCATCAGTTCCTGCCTAATACCATGCATCCCAATGGATGTGTCTGTCAGCAGTATCATACTTTAGGAAGTCACTGATAGGAATCATTCTGCTAACAAATCCCTTATCAGCTCTTGTATATCAGAAGAATATTGTTGTGTGGCACTCACCTTGAAGGATACAAATCCCAAATAATTGCAAACTCCAGGAAGCTATCTGTGTGTATACCACTACTTCTTAAATGGGAGCTATGCAGATAGCTAAGCTAACTAATAGTTAAGTCTACCAAGTCAAATATATTCCAGCTATAAGCACTGGTAAACATTCTGGTGTCATACGATGGCTCAGTATACCAGTACTCAATAGAAACCATAGCTTACCTAGAGGCCTTATGAGCAAAACGCCACCCACGTTTAGCAAATTCTGTTCATTAGTGATTTTTGTGCTCTTATAAGAAAAAGCCAAACGTGGTATCACCAACTACATGGCAGCACCTCAGTCTCTCTCTACCAGAACTGAAGAATAAAGTAGCTTTCTGCTTGATCTGAATGTTGCACCTCAGGCTTTTATCCCTTTCTGCCACATTCAGTCCCGAATTACAAGGCTTTACAGCATCTGTATGACTGCAGTACTTTATTCACACAGTTGCCCTTTCTTCTGTATTTATTTATATATATTCAGCTCTTTGCACCACTCCAGGAGGGAGGAGCACATCTTACACGCCTTACATGCTGTGTCCCTAATCATACATAACGTGCCAGTTCTTCATCCTGTGCCACACACCCCACCAGCAGTGAGCTGCTTGTTGTGCTGGGCCCCGTGTTCCTTGAGTCCTGTTTGACCATCGTCTGAACGCACCACACAGGAGGACTGGCTCTGGGCATGCGGAGACATGGCTGTTGTTTGTCACATGTATGTGATTGCTCTCACTTGTTCACAGGCTCTCCCTCTCTACCAGATAAGTACCGCCACACAAGGGAGCTGATGATGTTGTTGCCAACCCACCGGGACCGGCCCAGCAGTGCCATGTACCCCGCAGCTATCATGGAAAACGGACAGGTAGCAGACTTGATTTCTCTTACGTTAGCTCAACCATACTGAAAAGGACGGGCTCATCTTTACTCTTTTGTCTGCTTTAAAGCTTCTCTTAATATTTTTGGGAAGCACAAGAGCTTAGGATTTTCACTGCGGTCCAAGAAATAGCATAGACCTGCTGATACTAATCGCACACTAGACCCACCCACTTTGGTAGTTGGGTGATGTAAATTGTAACGACTGTTAAAACTGTAGTTGGTTGTCCCTTGAGCCCTGGTCCTCTGTAAGCATCACATCATTAATTTACTCACTCTTCCATCCTTCTGGTAAGCCTCAAAGTTGAATCTAAGTAGGTTTATGGTGATTGCCAGAGGTAACAAAATACACAGGAGGCTGAAGTAATGTATACAGGGACTCCAAACAGTGTGTACTGCTTTCTCTGGGCAAACTGAGAAATTCACTGTGTGCTTACGTATGAGCATTTTAATTCAGCTCTGGCATGCACATTTGAAGAGAATCTCCTGACCATGCCCACTTCAGTTCACATCAGAGAACTGTCTCAGAGCACACAAACTCTATTATTTCAAATGAAGCCAAAGCAAAAGATGAGCTTCAGAAGAGCATGGGATGCATTCAAGCTGCTAATGGGCACAAGACCAGGCAGAGCTGCTCTGATATAACTCCTTCAGAGAGCACAGCAGGGTCCTCACCACTGTTACCCTCCGGAGATCTTCTAGGGTTTCACTGCATCACTTGCTAATGTAGACAGTCTAAGGTTCCCATGAGTTTTTTTTTTTAAAAAAAAGTCTCTTTGCCTGAAAACCTGAACAGAAATCCATAGGTTCTGTGCTTTCTTCTCCCTTAGCCTCCAAATTTTCAGCGCGCCTTCATGCAGCAAATGATTGGACCGTGCAAACCTTGCAGCGATCCCAACCTCTCCGTGGCTGAGAAAGGTATTATTTTTCCTATTTAACATGCATGCTTTCTAAAATATTATTACTCTGATCCTGCAAGTAGTGAATGGGCTTCTACATTTCCTGGCAGAGTGCATTCTCTCATTTTTTAAATTAACAGTTTAATTAACGGGGCTTCCTGCCAAATGTATAGTCACTTCAGAAGGGTGGAGTTGCACAAAGCTCTCTGTTTCAAAAAGCCTTCTGAGTTTAGCACGTTGTTATTGAAACAAATCAGGCAGCTTTTATCAGGCAGAATTCCCAAACAAGCAAAAGGGGAAATATCTGAAAGAACACTGAAGGATTTGTACCATTTCCAAAAAAAAAAAAAAAAAAAGTATACTGCTGCTTTTCTTCAGACCGTATAAATTGTGTTGGTTTTGTTTTTAATGAGCACTTACTCTTCAAAATAGTGACATTTCTTCTCTCTTTGAGCTAGTTTTATGCTTAATTAAGTTTCTCATTAGGAATTTATACTTAACTCGCTGCATTGAAGAAGTATGAGCGGAGCCCATGGAAGTAAGAGATTTCTAAGGAAGAGTCTGAAGAAAAGCAGTGAGGTGACTATAAGGTCATGGAAAAATGGGAAAGATCAGAGGCTTATGTGAGAATTTCCCAAATGAACCCATTGAACGGCGTGACAGGTCTGCACATAGGTGGGAAATGATTCTGGCAGTATCTAGCAAAGGGTGTTAAATAGCCAAGCAGAAAAAAAGACTATGAGAGAAGAAAAGGAGCTTATTGTGTTTGATGCAGGGGAGGAGGAGGAGCTTGTCAATGGGATGCCATGGACAAAGTGATGGGCTCACAAAATGACCTGAGGAACAGCATTCTGAAAAAAGCGGAAGAGAGCAAAATTCTTGAGTCAAAACCTGAAACAAGGGTGCTGCCATTAGAAAGCAGTGGTCTTATGTATGACTGGGAGAAACAGCATCTGAAAGTCAAACATTTTAAGGCCAGGAAAGACCACCACAGTCCTCTAGTCTGAGCTGCGCAATGCGCTTCATTACACTTCTGTCAGTGTTCTTGTTTCAGCAGCTGTGAACTAAACGGTGTCTTTGAAAAACAAAAAGCCAGATGCTACTCCAGAACTTCTAATAAATCAGAATCCATTACTTTAACAGTGTGGCAGCATTACAGAGCAGTCGAGATTGAAAACAGAAGCCAACCTGCATTTCAGAACAAATTATTCTGATGACGCTAATAGTGACAACAGTTGAGGCTAGGGAGAGAGGAATTAAGAGTTCTGCCTTAGCCTTGTTGCATTTGAATTGAACATGACAGACTTGGTATGATTTTTATACTGGACAGGAGAAAGAACTGGAAAAAGGTACGTACGTGATGTGTTGCCTGTTGAGAAATAATTCTTGAATTTGTACTTGGGGGCAATATCTATGCAAGAGCATGTCTACAGCACAAAGAGAAGGGAACCCAAGACAGAATGTCCCAGAGTCCGAAGGAGCTATAAAAGACAGGTGGTGCTCTTAGGGATAGTGTAGGAGGAACCCCAGCTCTGCTGCCAGGTCAGCGGCTGCAGGCGTTTCTGCAGCCCTACAGCCAACATCACTCTGTAGTCAGGATGACGTCTGCCTTGTTTTTGTCAGCTGTTGTGCTCCGTGAATTTTTCCACCCCCCTCCATGCCAAGTCAGAAGTACTGCTCAATAATTCCCATTGACAACAGGGTGACATCAGCTGCACAGAGCAGAATTAAACATGGCCACTGAGACTGCTGAGAAGGGAGAGATGGGCTAGGGCATCACTGGAGCTCCCTGGGTAGGTTTCTCCCTGAAGCATTTTAGATCCAGCTCCAGTTTTAACAGGCAGCAGCCATGCTCCAGAATCGTCTGACCTTAGGATGATTTCCAGCACTTAGCTCAGAAGGCAGTGAATGAGAGAACACTGAGAAAGTATAAATGGATTACACACTGGAACGCGGTACGTTCTGTTCTTACAGTCTTCTGCTCATCTCAATATTAAAAAGAAATAGACAAAAAAAAAAAACAACAATCATTTTACAAGCCAAGAAAACCAGGTATTGTTGAGTACTTTTCACCTGACGCTGGAATCCTGCAGGAGAGCACCGTGTGGCTGGCATCATTCTGTATTTTGTCCCTCTTCATTTTAACCTTTTAGCACCAATTGCAGTAATGCAGATTACAGCACTCTGACGTGTAGAGCATGAGCAGGGCTGCTTAGAAAGCTCATCTGAAGCCACTTACCTGTTTTGAGATGTATGCATCCCTTTGTTTGAACCTGTTCTCTGTCAAGATTCTTAGCATCTTCTTTGTACTTCATTCTTGCTTTGAGGGTCTCTCTTTAAAGCCAACATTTTTGTGGGTTTTCGGCTGTCTTTTGAGGCTGTCATTTTCTGATCCTTTTTACCCTGGGGAGTTTTAGATCTTGGGGAGTCTGTGTTCATGAGCTAAGGAAAAACAATAATAAACCTTTCAGAGTCATTTTAGAGAAGAAACACATCTGAAAAATGGTTGCAGGCATTTTAATTAGGGACAGATTCTCTTCATATGTCAAACTCTGTTTATTTCTCCAGGCTTCTGTTTTACATGTTTCAAACTGAAGATGGCAAAAGCTGTCTTTAATCTCACCTTTCTGTGGTAGACCTACTGAAGTACTTTGTTCCTCTTCCCCCTTTTCTTTTCTGCCTGAGCTGATGAAACGCACCGATTGTTGATAAACACATACACAGTTATTGCATTTCTATCTCAGAACAAATTGAGTCTTAGAGTGCATTTGGAAGAGGTGAAGATGCATTTTAATAATGTCTGTTGACAAAATTCTTGAGATCCTGACACATTCTCATCGTTAGAAGCAACTGTTATGATGTAAACACAAAGTCACGTAGAATCATTCTCAATACCTGTTATATGAGGAAAGCACTCTTGCTTCTGTCTTTCCCAGTTAACAAAGGCTCAGTCTCGTTGCTGACTTTGTAAATCAAGGAGCCTGGGCTGTTATCTTTAAGTACTTGGGGATCAGATTAATCAATCAGCTCTGGAGCAAATGCGATCTTTGAAGTCCTGGTTTCTTCTGTACCAGATTATGGTCATTGCCCTCACATCCTTCACTCGCTCTTTGCTTAGCCACTGTAATACAACTGCAGCTATCCTGTGTCTCACAGGAGTTCTGCCCATGTTTCTTCCTGCTCTGGAGTTGTTCCCTGCCAGGCAGAACAGCTCATAGCTGAGATCCAGCTGCTGCTTCACCATTAAAAAAGATTTCATCATAAAAAAGATTTCATTTTTACTTACTGGCTCATAAAACAAACAAACAAACAAAAAAACTTAACAGAATTCTACTGCTCTTCATAGTTTGTAGAAGTGAGCCTGGAGGGTCAGCAGAGGGGAGATGGGCTGACTAACAAGCACTGATCACCTAACTCTCGCTTCTTTAACAAAGCACCCTATAAACTAAACATGCTGTAGACTAGATGCCTTTGTATGCCTCCAACCTCCTACCACATCCCAAGTTCTTCAAATCTCACCTCTCTTATTACAGAGTACACTGGCAAGCCAGTCCTTCTGGTCGCATCACCCCATTACCCAAGTTAAATCTGTTTCAATCCTTCAGCTGTGCCAGCAGCGCCCAGTAGCTGGAGCCTAGACAGCGGAACCAGAGAGGCCCTGCCATTCCTATCTGTCCACGTTGGGAGCATCTTGGCCCCACCAGTACCTCCCCGAAGCCTGCCCCATGGTAAGGAAAAGCCCAGTAGATCTGCTGCATAAGTCATGCAGTCATGCCAAATGACTAGGCCAGATGAAAACTGGCCATAGTTCTTGTTTTCCCTCATAGAAAGCATCGGAAACAAGAAGTCAAAGTCTTTCCTGGTCTGCTAGGTTAGCAGTGGACATTTTCAGTTTTGTTCAAGATCTTCAAATTTTGCAGTTGTTACAAATAACATGGACTTGTGTGGGCTAGAATTGTGGGCTAGGTGTGTGTGTGTGTTGGAAGTCTGACTTGGCTTTTTGCCAGTGGCTATCTTCAGCAATAACTCATGGTTACATAGCTACTAAATAAACCTTCAGTCATTCGTTGTTTACGAGCCCATTGCCTTGCCATGAAATCCTTGATACAGGGGGTGGGTGGAAATCTATCACTGCACTGAACTTCTTGTAAGCATTTTGTGATGTGACAGATGCACTCCACAGTACTGATCGGAAGGGAAGCCTCAGGCTGGATCGGTCTCATCAGTGGTTGGAGCTGTTACTTGGCTTGCAGAATCTAAAACCCCAACTCTCTTACAGCGTTGAGGTCCGTATTTCTGACCCTTGTCTCATTCCAGGACACTACTCACTGCACTTTGATGCCTTCCATCACCAGCTCAATGATGCTCCTCCGGCACTGCCTGCACGAACATTGCGCAAGGTAAAAAAGAAGTGTCAGGGAGAGAAAAACAGAAGAAAAAGTATAGGCTCTGGAAGGACACCCTTGTCCACTGTCACCTCCAAGTAGTTCTTGAATACAGATTCACTATTTTTAAAATGCTATTGACTTAATTGAGAGAAAATTCATTCCAAGTTTATAAACTGCTGAACTTAAATTTAGGCCCTCCCACTTCCCTTTTGCTTATGTTGTGATTTCAGGCCCCCTCAGTACAGAGGGAGAGAGGGATTTTATCACTTCAGCTGCTGTGTTAAGTGCACTGATTTGTCCACAAAAGGTGTTTCCATACAAATCAGGGGAATATATATACAAACTGCCAATGGCTGACATTTTGAACAAAACCAGAACTGCACTGTTGTTAACATCACTGTTAAAAGCTGAAATGTTAGCTAGCTGCAGTGTTGCCTCCCATGTCGATTTTAACAAGATTTCTGTTTTTCTGCAAACAGTCCCCTCTTCATCCCATCCCTGCATCACCCACCAGTCCACAGTCTGGTCTAGATGGAAGCAACTCCACTTTATCCGGCAGTGCAAGCAGTGGCGTCTCCTCCTTGAGCGAGAGTAATTTTGGACATTCCTCCGAACCACCTCCTCGCACCGACACCATGGATTCTGTCCCCAGCCAGGCCTGGAACACTGACGAAGATCTAGAGACACCCTACCTCCCTGTGAGGTACAGTCTCTCTGAGCCTGACGTCCTCGAGTCACTCAAATCCCAGCCATGCCGAAGCCACTCAGCTCCGTCAGGAGTCATTCCTCAGGACACCCTGGACCCTCCTGCTCTACCCCCCAAACCTTACCACTCCCGGCTGCAAAACACAGAGAATGAGGAAGGAATGATAATTGAAGATGACGACAAACACCGCCAGTTGCATCGTAAAGTGTCCCAGCCTGTGAGTGGTGGAAAGGAAGAGCAGGCCAGGGTAGCATGGGAGCACGGCATCAGTGAGCAGTAGGAACAACTGCTGGTAAGCAGCTTGCGTTGTCATTCCAGATGTGACCAGAGCGCAGAGCTGAGGACTCGGAGAACAACAAGCTGACTTCTACTGCCACAAGCTTGGCTGGAGCCCGCATACGCAACTGGGCCAGCAAGGGAGGTTGCTGCTTTCCTTTCAAGTTTCCTTTTACACCTTTCCGTTACGTTTTTTTAACTTTCTGTGCAATGGATGGTTATTCCTTCTGCAGTTTCTTAACTGCACCGCATGGCACACAAGCCATAGAGACTTGCAGAAGCTGAAAAGTACAGTCTTAAGCGGAGGAGGAAGAAGAAGGAAAGGTGGAAAGCTGATTTTGAAACTGGTTTCCTCTCAGCTCTGGGACACACTTGAGTAGAAGCAGTTGCACTAGGGACACATTTTATTGCTGTACAGAAATGAAAGCTCATTGCTGAAATCAGGGATTTTATGAACTGTCAGTCTGGAAGGTGCATGAGGAGCAGGCAGTGGAAAGATGGCAATTCTAAGAAGATATTGGCTCTTTTGAGAGCAAGATTGTACATATCTGTGCAGTGATCTCCCTGCATTGGTTCATAGGTGCTGAGGCAATTAACCAGTGCTGATGCACTGATTTCCAAGATACCATTTCCAACAAACTCTGCCTCCTTTGTTTTTTATGTACTGTTTGATTTCTTAAAATTTGCTTTCACTGGCTAAACCAACCTGCTTTCTCATTGGAGTCATGCTGTTCATCTGTGTTACAGGATGAGGGGGAGGTTAGTAGCCACTGGAGCTGTGACTTGATTGTAGGCCTTTCCCATGCCCAGCTTTGGGCAGGCTGTCAACACCAGCATTTCTATTCCAGTTAAAAGAAAATAAAAAGTTCTTTATGCCACAGCTGGTTGATGACTCACCAGTAAAGAAAAAGTGGCTAAATGCATGACATCTACTATTCCTTGCCTCAGGGCTGAACATCACAATTCTCACTAACTTCCATCACCCAGGAGCTGAGATCCATTACCCAAAACCGTCATTCCTCAGCCCCCCTCCAAAAGTCACTGCAGCTGGCGTGGAGGATGTCCATCTCTCACAGTAGGCAGATGCAAGAAATGCTCAGTGTAGTATGCGCCCTAGAGTCAGAAATCTTAAAGGCAGCCTGTAAAGAAGGAACATTTCTTTCCTCTTTTGCTCTTTAGAAAGTATGAAGAAGTTGTAAGAGCTCCTTCTCTCTTTTTGAAGGTTTTGGTTCTTTTCTCTTCATGTGGCGATACAGCCCTCTCCCCCTAGCTTTTTTTATGGTCAGGCTCCAGAAAGGGATGAAGAATTCAGTGCAGGTGGGAGATCTAGAAAAAAAGAAAAAAGAAAAAAAAAAATCAAACAAAAACAAGAAACAGAACTATGCAGAAGTGGAGTCAGTACATATGTTGTGAAACAAGCCTTTTAATCAGTATTTGCTTAGTTGAGTTACATTACAAGACAGGAAAAAGTTCTGTGGTAACAGAGGCAAGACCTGTGATGTAAAAAGAACTAGAAGAAACCCTCTATTCCTGTTTTCATATTTTTCAAGAAACTGGATCAAAAAAGCAAGTATCTAGTGTTTTTATATAAAGAAGTAATGCTCTTTCCTGCTGCCATGCCAGCATACATTTTGGCCTTTCCTTACATTCATTTCCACCTGCAGACTGCAAAGCACACTCCAGAAGATGGTAAGTTACCAGTGAAAAACCTGAAGCACATTCAAACAAGACTTACCTCCAGCATGTAAATTAGTGTCAGAAACAGGAGTAGCATCAACGTGTCCTGTTCTTCCCCTAGCCACTCAGTTTCTCCTGCTACAATCAGCATAAAGAAGCAAAAAAGGATACACATCTTTTACAGGTCACCTTTAGCACTACCTCTAAATACAGTGACTGGGCAGAGAATGTTGCTTCTAAACTTTCCTAAAGATGAGACCATCTCATCTGTACAAAGTCTGGGCTCGGTCACCTGTCGTACGAAGGGGATTTTCAGAGGATGTCTTTCTTTTCTTTCTCAAGCCCGTACAAAAGTAATAAATTATGGTTCTGTTTCTTAAATGGTCCATTTGGCTGGAACAAAGTCTCTTGTGCTTCCTCTATTTTGTTACTAACATAGGCTGCTTGTAATCCCAGCAACCTTCCCAATTAAGAAGAGAACAGTATTAAAATTTGGCTTATGATGGACAGGAGTAGAGTTTTCCAGTAGTAGAATTAGCCCTAACTGCTAATGAACCAAGCTGGGTCTCTGGTATAGCACACAGGTATGAAAGCTCAATTCAGAGTTATGTTTTCAATGAAGGTAAGTCAAGGCAATTCCTTAGAAGTGAGTGAAATATTTTCATGTTATTCTCTAATTTGAGGTTCTTAGAAATTTTTAAGAGAATTAAGTACTCCATTCCATCTCCCTAATCACATTTGGTTGGGGTTTTTTGTTTTTTTTTTTTTTGCTTTTTTCTGTGGGAAAATTTACTTCTGAAAGTAGTAAATGTACTGATATACTGAATTCCTTCATTGTAAAAACAAAAAACAGAAAAACAGCAGATCTTGCAAATAAAACTGCAAAAGCAAGAATGCAGACAACATGGGCAGAGTCCCTTTCTGCTGGAAGACCTCCCTGAGGTTTGCTCTCACAGTGCACCACCTTGCTCTGATTAGAGGGGCTGTACAACAGCAGTCTGATCATTCTGAATGTCTGTCATTACTGTGTATTCATAGGGGGTTGAAAATAATCAAATGGTGTACACAGATACCCAATTTATGGCAGGTGCACACAGAGGAGGACAGAATAAATTCCTGAATTTACTGAATTTGAGCCTCTGTGGAGTTAACTTTCTGTTGTTCTGATATCTACTGCACATTCTGTCGCCCTTTTCAGTGCTTAGCTTAAAAGGTGCAGAAGGTAGACTGCCGTTAGATTTTGTGAATGCTGGAACAAGTACTTTGTGGAATTCGTATTTCTCTGGAGGGTGGGGTGGCTTTCTGGCATAGTGCAACTCCGTCAGCAAACTCAGTCCTGGAGCAGGCAGAAGCAACAGCAGTTGTTGCCCTGGTGCAACAGGATTTGGAGATTCTTTGTATAGAGTGCAGTAACAAGATGTTTTGAACAGGACCCCTTTGTTCTGTGCGTTGCTGATTCAGACGTAATGCATTCCTTGGGTTTCTTTGCATAACACAGTAGCACGTGCATTCCTGAAACAGTTGGTGGAATTCCGCAGCGCATCTCTCCATCGTGAGCGTACCTGCTGGCCCCATCTGAAGCAAAACTGAGAAGAAACCACAGTAATAGGAGAAAAGCAATTAGAATTGTTGTCCGAATCCTACACGTTTTTCCAACGGCTGGGTTGGTTTTATTGCTGTGTGCAAAACTATGATTCTTATCCATCCTTTCCTTCATTTACTTTTTAGCCTGCTTACCATTTTTCAGGTAAGGGATATTCCGTATCCCTGTTTTGGGAGAATCAGCCAAAACTGGGGAGGCTGGAGAGGGCAAGAGCCTTTGGGGAACAAATTAAGCGATATTTAGAATTTCCTCTATTCACGCTTCTTGTAAATACCCCCATTTGAATGCTGTGTATTTGTACAGGAAATTGAGCAAAAAATGTATAGATTGTGATGTCCAACTGGTATTCTGCCCTGTAAATGTGTTTTTAACCTCTGGCATTCTGTGCTTATTTAAAACAGGCAAAAACCTCTACCACTTCTCTTTTGTGTATTCATGTTTAAAATAAAATCAGAACAGCTATCTTATCTATAATGGAAATCAAATTGAAAAGGAAAAAAATAATTTGTACAAGTGTCCTACAGGTACTTCATTGTATATATTGTGATAGCATGTTTCCAGAATCAACAAATACGTGGTGTGAATTTTAGATGTAAATATCTGCTGTTTGTTTTGGATCTCTTTCCCTTACCCATTCACTCGACTGCTGTGATGTGAAATTAAAGATTAATACCTGGTATTAAAGTGCTACAGCTGTACATTCATTGCTGTCCTCCTGACAGGGCAATCCTCAGTGTGCTCCAGACATCCACAGATATGGCTGTCAAAGAGAAGCAGCACAGCATTAATCCCTGCACGCTGTGCTGGAGGGATATCTGACACCCACAGTTCAGAGGAACAGCCACCGCTTCCCATCTTCCTTTGATGGAAGAGGGCTGGGAGGAGGCAACCAGAAGGTCCTTGTGGCTGTTAGGTGAGTCAGAGAAGAGTTGCCAAGGCGTTCTCTCACAGCCAGTCCTCTATTTCTTTTAATAACTTCTCAAAGTGAGCATCAGGCATATCTGGCAGCTAGACTGGTTTACCTGATGCGCAGCAGACTGAGACACCTGTTCATCTGTCACAAACATTTACCAGGTCTGAGGCAGTACTTCCAAATAGCAGAATCCGTGGTTCGTTCTTTGTTGGATACCTCGCTGCTCCAAGCAGTGCTCACGGGGTGACTGCTGAGTTCATCAGTTTATTGCAATGGCAAGATGTCTTGGCAGTAACTTCATTTCTCAGTTTTAAGTGTGCACATACCAATCATTTTAACAGAATGGGTATGAAAGACTGGTAATTAAAACCAGGAGAATAGGATATGGAAATTAAAATCTGTACTCACTGCTACATATGATTAATCTCAAAGACAGACACCTTCTTCCATTACAACTAGTAAGTCAGGTCAGGCTGCAGGAGACAGAAGCAGCCTATCTACCCCACCTTGTCAAGACAAAACAACAGAAAAATCCTCATCCCAGAAGACATTTAGCTGTAAAATATAACAAAAGCGTAATGTAAGCTGGTCCTGAGCTGTACACACTGCCAGTCCACCTTCTTGCTTCATTACGTAGCCCATGAACCATGTAGGAACTACTAAGAAGGTAACTTGTCTATGGTAGTACACCTAAGATACCAAAATGTGGCTTAGCTGACACCTGGAAGATGTCTGTGCAAAGCGAACCCTGAGTCACTTCTAACCCAACCTAGCAAATCTGAGTTTATATATGTTTATTATTATTCAGCTAAAAGCATTTATTAGTGAATTGTGGAAAATGAAAAGAGTTCAACACAAAAAGCCTTCAGATTTTAATTAGAGTTTTTTAAAGTTTCCATTAAAGCCAAAAGATGCAGCATTTGAGTGCAAGCCAAACACTCTAAGCGAAGCCACGCTAACACCCTCAAATGTAGATACCCCAGCCAAATCTTCACCTGATCCAAGGAAGAAAGTTTCTGTATCTGATTGTAATGAAATTGATACTGAGTTATACAAAAGTTGTTATAGAGGAGAAATCAAACCTCTAGCAAATAAAGTCTGTAAAGATTCACCCTTGCCTCTGTACAAATATGCCTTTATTCCTAGAGCCAGCTTAAGAAAAAAATCAGACCCAGAAGCACCTATCTCTGACATTCAGGCAGCTGGATTTGAGCTACTGAGCAGAACCAGCCATCAGAAATACCAGCTTCTTTGCTGTCTGTGTGAATACAGATGCTCACCTGTAGCACAACTCACTGCTCGAGACTTCGTACTGTACCTGTACCATAGCTATAGCTTTGGGAGAGTTAGGCCACTGCCTTCCAGCAATTAACCCCCAAATAGGGCACAATCAGTATGTTACAGAATATTCTCAGCCTTTTTTTCCCTACTGCCTTCCCCAGGACTGATAAAAGAGCAGGTGCCCCCAACCAGTCTCCCACCAGCAGGCAGCTGAGCCCAGCCAGGGTCCTTGCATGCCCAGAGCAGTTCACTCCTTAGCACTTAAGCAGGAATATCAGCATCCAAGAGATTTACACTAAATCCTGCAGATTACCTTTATCCCCACAGCCATTAAAGCAACCTTCACGCTGTCTCATCACAAGAACCACTCTAAAGTGATCACGTCACTATCAATCTCTATTTAGCTGGAAGAGAATACTATATTCCATACCAACAACCACTCGGCTTCTTCAGCTACTGACTTGATAGTCACACACTACAGACAATCTGAAGCAAGGGTTTCTTTGAATGTGTGAATTCCTAGACTTCATTCACATATTTGCCACCAGTATCGACACAGACACACAGGTTTACTTTACGCTATCTATTATAGCCATAGTACTAGCCTTACAGCAATTGCACAGACCATCGCACAGCTAACGAACTTCAGGCACACAGTGAGCTCCTCATTTTATTTTCCTATTCAGGTCTGTAGGTACATTAACATTGCTAGGCAGCGCATGGACAGTGTTTGGAAGGATAAATGCATTTTTCATACACACGTACAAATCATAGCCCGATTCCAAAAGATGTACAGGTTTTCTCTTTATGGCTATCACTCATATACCCCTTCTCCCTTTTTACAAGCTTTGCTACTCACTTCACACAAATCAAATTCAAACTAGTATTTCCACCGCAGCTTCTATTCCACAGCCATTGACAGCAGTCCTGCGTTACATTGTGTAACACACAGACGCGACCTGGCTTCACCTTCTCCCCTGACCGACACAACTCCCTGGCCCCTCGAACTGAGAGCAGCCCCTTCTGGTCCTTTCAGGTGTCTCCACACACATCTGCCTCTCGCACAGCCCGTCCTGCAGGGCAGCCGCCCTGTGAGCACACACGGCTCCTCCGCGCGCACGGCGGTGCCGCACCAGCACACCCGCAGCCCTGCTCCGGTCCGGCTCACTCCTAACCCCATGCTTGTCCCCTTGGCTTATAGGGTTGACCCCTTCTTAGGGAACAGTATCCCTGAGACGACCGCGTTCCGGCTCTTCTATCAGCCCTACCTTGCTCACCTTTCCCTTTGCTCTATTAGCCCACCAAAACCATACATCGCAAAAACAAAAAAAAATCCCATTCACTGCTGTTTTCCCTCCTTTTTTCTTTTCTTTTTTTTTTATTTTTTCCACGTCAAGGACTTTGACGTGGGCTTAGAAACAAGCTCAATCCCAGCTTTGGTGGTTATCGATGAAAGAAACAAGCAAACAATTTAAATACTGCAATCGACATCTGTGCCTCTGTAACGGCTCCTGCCTCTAACCACGAGCCATTTCCACGTGCAAAGCAAAACGCTGCAGTGAACCTGAGGTGTATCTCAAACTACTCACCCTCCAAACCCCCACCTGCGCTCTGTCCATCTCAAATTCTCCCGCTCAAGAACGCCTCGCCTTGCTAAGGATCTGCCCACCTACAAGATGGTGTCCGCAAGGGCAACTTTCCCTTAACAAAAATGGCGGCCCAGGGAGGCGGAGAAACCCGCCTCTCGCCACCTCCTCCAATCAGCGGCCGCCAACTCTCCCGTGGAGGCCGCGGGTTGACCAATGGAAGGAGGCGGCGTGGAAGACGGGCGGGGGAGAGGGCCAATGGGAGCAGCGGCGGGGGGGGAACCGGCCCAGCGCGGGGGCGGCGGTGCCGGTATCGGTGTGGTGGGCGCCGAGCGAGGCGGGATGCAGGCGGCCCACGGGCTCTGGGCGACGCTGGCCCTGCTCCTGCTGCCGGCCGGCAGCCGGGCGCTGAGGAACGGGGAGTGCGAGGGTGAGTGGGGCCGGGCCGGAGAAGGGGCTGCCCCACGGCGAGGCGAGGCCGCGCCCGCACGCTGCCGCTGGGGGCTGGAGCGCGGGCCGGGCCGCCGAGAGCGGCTCGTGGCGGGGCGCGGGAGACCCCCGTTGCCCGGGCGGGAGGCTGCGTCCGGGCCGCGGCGCTCCCGAGGCCCGTCCTGTGCCGACCGGCGCCGCCCCGCCCCGCCCGTCCCGCGCCCGGCTGCGCCGCGCCGTCCCGGCGGTGCCGCTTTGCTTGCAGAAGTTGTGCGGCTGCAGCAGCTTCGCGCTGGGCCGGTCTGAACGCGGGACGGGACGGCTCGAGGTGGAGCCGGGGAGCTCCGGGGTTCCGCGGTGCCTCTGCTCGGCTCGAGGAAGGCACGGCGCTCCGCTGTACCGCGGCTGCCGACGGCACTGCCTGCAGCGTCTCTGTTCTTCCCGAAGGTTTTTACTCGCAGACAGCGGACATCAGTGTGTGTCTGTGACTGGAGACAGACTGATGTGAGGTAAATGATGGCGTTGTGTGCGTAAGAAAAGGCTTTCCCGACCTGCACGGTTTGTGATTACTGCCAGCTTCGAGCGACGGCAGTCGGTATTCGGTTGGCTGCAGGCAGTCCCGTTGATTTCCTGCGTCTGCCCGCGTTCTGTGCTCGAGTCCGGAGTTGAATGCAAGTTGATGATGAGGCTTGCTCACCCTTTTCCATTGGGACGCACACACGCACGGAGGGCTGGGCCAGCGGGAGAGCTGGGAACCCCCAGCTCCTGCTGCAGGAACTGGTGGGGCACGCACCTCCAGCGGTGCTGCCGGTGCTTGCAGACCACTTGTGTGAGCAGCGGGACCTGACTGCGAGCTTGCAGGGTCACATGGTGCTGTGCTGCACGGATCCTGCTGGGTGCTGCAGCTGCCTCCCTCCCTGTGCTGTGCTTTCTCTGGAGCACAATCTGTTGCCTGGGGGGCTGAGTGAGGACTGTGTTGCCCTTCCCATCGGCAGGGCTTGGCTCTGTCCACTTTGCTGCTGGTGTGCTTGTGGAAGTTTTGTTATCTTTCAGTCTCTCTGAAACTGGTGCAGAAGTTTGTGGGAAGTGAGGAGAGACACATGCCAAGTTGGTGCATCATGTGATCGTGTTACAGCTTTTTCTCTTGGAAACAACTGTACACAAGCCCATTACAGACTCTAGTGTATATTGTCATTAGTAATGTCATTATTCAGCTTATTTGCTTCCTAGATGAGTTGGTTTCCAGTCAGAACTGGTTTTGAAGTGCATAGTCTGACAAGCGGTTTATCAAAGCAGCAAGAATAGGGCATCTAGTTTCTGTTTTTAGCTCAGCACTGTTTTGTGCCACACCTCACAGCTGAATCCCACTGCTCACTCAGCCCATATGTAGAACTCACTGGACAGTTCCGGGGATCTTCTTCATATTGTCAGAAACCCACCAAAACTACCAGGGCAGATTGCTGCCTCATGTGTGCTGAAACACCCAAAGTCACAGATTGCTAACGCAGCTTCTAAATGTTCTGTTCTGCAAATCCCTTATTCTGTTCCCCTGCTTCTGAGAGCTGTTGTGAGGCTCTTGCAGTGACAGGTAACTCCACCCATCTTCCCTTCCAGTGTGTGTCACCTTCCTGGGGAGATTCTACCAGAGTCTAAAGGACAACAATGCTGAGTTCACACCCACCAGTATTGAAAAGGAGCTCATGAAATCCTGCAGAGAGGCAAAAGGCAAAGAGAACCGGTTGGTAAGTAGTCATCAACATTGCCTCTTGGAAGAAATTGGAAGAAATAAGTTGTAGAACACTTGGCAAACAAAGGGAAACTAGTGTTTCTGTGTTTGTATGATGTCCCTCACTGGAGGCTGTGCTTCCTGGCTCTGTGGCCACAACTGGTGCTGTAATTTTTTGTTGTTGCAAGAGACCTTGTTGTATGAAGTTCATTTTAAATATATCTATATATCTGTCAGCGTCTTACTGCTGACCTTATCTCTCCCTGTTATCAAAGGGCTTGGGATTACAAAGCTTTTATTTGCTGTAGGACTTCCCTGTTAGACTGCATTTGGAGTGTTACGCAAACTGTTAAAATGCTTAGTACTTTATAGCTGTGTAGCTGAGAACTATAGGAGAACTGAACTGCCCTAAGTAAAATCAGATGAGCTCTCCTATGAGAACTGCAGAGAGACACCCACAGAAAGAGGGGGGCAATGCTTCAGAAAGTCCTTTAACAAAGAAAGCTTCAGTTCAGTTCAAGTTGTTAACAACTTGAAAAGCAGGACAGCAGCAAAGCAGTGCTGAAAAGTGGTAGGCAGAGTGGGAAGTGACCCTTGGCCACAGTCAGGCTTGCTTTTGCCCTCCTGGGGCAGTCCCTTGGAAAGTTCTCTAACTGTAAATGTCAAACTGCAAAGAGATGGCTAGAAAACCTTTTCAGAAAAATGTTTCCACACATACCCACCTTGCTTTTTTCTTCCCTTCAGTGCTATTATATTGGGGCTACAAGTGATGCAGCCACCAAAATTATTAACGAGGTGTCAAAACCCATGAGTCATCACATCCCCGTGGAAAAGATCTGCGATAAACTGAAGAAGAAAGACAGTCAGATCTGCGAACTGAAATACGGTGAGTTGCCAGCAGAAGGGGAAATGGGTGCACTTTTTGGGGTACTGAATTATTCTGGGTAAAAGCATGCTGAATTCAGCATGGGTAGTTATACAAGTTGGGCTGTTGTCTGTGAATGTCCTGGACAGCTGTACAGGGATGCTCAGGAGGGGCTGCTGCCTGCCCTTCAGCTTCTGCAGAACCACTGCTTGACCTCCCTCGTGCCAGCAGTGATGTGCTCAAAGCCCTGTTTGGAATTTGGCCACTAGGACAGCACTATGCCTGGGTCCAGGATGGTGCCTGCTGAGCTCATGCCAGGGCTGCTGGGCTGTGCTACTGTCATCAATCAGCGCTGCTTTGGCACCTGCTCCTGGTGCCTGTTGGCAATGGGCGCTGCCACTTACCACCCTCCTTGAACTCATGTTCTGGGGTTCTGTGCTCCTCCTGAGAAGACTGATGTGAAGAACAGCCACGGAAGTGCCTTCTGGCTGCTGTCCCCTCTCCTCCCTTACGTCCCCTGGAGACAGTCACCGGGCTGTGGCTGCTGTGCTCCTCGTTTCGTGCACTAACGCCCCGTAGCTTCCCAGCTTTCCCAGCCAGCCTTCTGCCGCTGTCACCGCTGGCCTCTCCTCCCCACCGCCTTTTTCCGTCCCGCGGAGGACGGCCGAAGCGCTGGGGCGAAGCGGGGTTTCGGGTTCAAGGCGGAGCTCCGCAGCTCAGCTTTGTTTCTCCCGCCGCGCTGTGACACCGCTGGAGTCCCCGGCGCTGCGGGCTGAGCGCGGCTCTGCTCTCCCCGCAGACAAACAGATCGACCTGAGCACCGCCGACCTGCGCAAGCTGCGCGTCAAGGAGCTGCGGCGGATCCTAGACGACTGGGGGGAGGCGTGCAAGGGCTGCGCCGAGAAATCCGACTTCATCCGCAGGATCCACGAACTGATGCCCAAGTACGCGCCGAGGGCGGCGGGCGCTCGCGCCGACCTCTGAGGAGGGGCCGCGCGGGGCGGGCGGGGAGAAGCCGCTACGGCGCGCGCTGTACGAGGCTCATTAAAGTACTACGGTTCCACCGGGGGTAGCGTGCGGTGTCACGTGATTGCGCGGCGCGCTCCCGCGGTTGGGGGAGGGGCGGGGGCGGGGCCGCGCCGCGCACGCTCCTTCCCATTGGCCGCCAGGCGTGACGCGCGGCCGAGGGCGGGAGGTGCTTCCTCCGCACGTCGCTGCGCGGCGCCTCCGCGGTCTTTACGCCGCCATGCGGCGGGGCGCACGGCGATGACGTAGAGCCCGCGCGGCGCGGCGGCCGGAGCCGCCTTCGTTCCCTTTTGTCCAAGATGGCGGCGGCCGCCGGAGGCGTCTCCTGAGCCGCGGGCCCCAGCGCCATGAAGCGCGGTAGCGAACGGGACGCCAGCCCGCCGGGGGCCGGGGGAGGCCGCGCCGCCGCCGCCAAGAGGCCGCGCGAGCGCGAGCGCGAAAGCAGCAGCCGGCGCGGCCTGCACCGCAGCTCGGGCGCCTCCCGTAGCAGCCGGGACAAGTCCACGCCCGGCGGCGGCGGCGGAGGAGGAAGCGGAGGAAGCGGAGGAAGCGGCGGAGGCGGCTCCGGCTCCCGCAGCCACCGCGGCGATGAGCGCGCCGGCGGCGCCGATTCTAACCACCGCCCGGCGGCGAGCGGCTCGGCCTCGGGCGCCCGCGGCCAGGCCGCCCCCTCGTCATCCTCATCGTCGTCGTCGTCCCGCGCGCTCGGCGTGCCCAAGGCCAAGGCCCTGCCCGGCGCCGTGGTGGCCCCTTCGCTGCTGCTGGCCGGGCCGCCGCCGGGCGCCGCGCCCTCGCTGCTGCTGGCGCCGCTGGGGGGCTCGGCGGGGCTGTCCGGGGAGCCGCCCGGCTCCTGTGAGTACAAGACGCTGCTGGTGAGCGGGCTGAGCGCGGCCCTGCCCGACCAGCTGCTGGAGGACGGGCTGTTCCGCCTCTTCCAGCGCTTCGCGGGGGGGGGCGCCGGGGACATCAGCGTCAAGCTCTCCCACACGCCCGAGCTCGGCCGCGTCGCCTACGTCAACTTCCGACACCCCGGGGACGCCCGCGACGCCCGCCGGCACGCCCGGGCCCGCCAGCTGCTCCTCTACGACCGGCCGCTCAAGGTGGAGCCCGTGTACCTGCGCGGGGGCCGCAGGAGCCGCACGCCACCCCCTGCGCCCTCGCCTGAGCCCCTGGGCTACCTGCCACCTCTGCACGGCGCCTACCAGTACAAGCAGCGGTCGCTTTCACCTGTCACCAGCCCTTTGCTGCGGGAGCCGCGGCCCCGCCATGCGCATGCTGCCGCCGCCGCCTTCGCACTGGAGGCTGCCGCCATTGGGCTCTCCCGGGAGCGGGAGCGGGCCCTGGATTACTATGGGCTGTATGACGAGCGCGGCCGGCCCTACAGCTACCCCATCGTGGCCGAGGAAGACCTGATGCCGGAGGATGATCAGAGAGCCACCCGCAACCTCTTCATCGGCAACTTGGACCACAACGTCTCAGAGGTGGAGCTGAGACGTGCCTTCGAGAAGTATGGCATCATTGAAGAAGTGGTGATCAAGCGCCCTGCCCGCGGCCAAGGTGGGGCTTACGCTTTCCTCAAGTTCCAAAACTTAGACATGGCACATCGGGCCAAGGTCGCAATGTCAGGCCGCGTTGTCGGCAGGAACCCTATCAAAATTGGCTACGGTAAAGCCAACCCTACTACCCGGCTGTGGGTGGGTGGTCTTGGCCCCAGTACTTCTCTAGCTGCCCTGGCAAGGGAGTTTGACCGCTTTGGCAGCATCAGGACTATTGACTATGTGAAGGGAGACAGTTTTGCTTATATCCAGTACGAAAGCTTGGACGCTGCCCAGGCCGCCTGCGCGCAGATGAGAGGCTTTCCCTTGGGCGGGCCAGAGAGGAGACTTCGTGTGGATTTTGCCAAAGCAGAAGAGACGAGATACCCGCAGCAGTACCAGCCTGCACCTCTCCCTGTGCACTATGAACTGCTTGCTGATGGGTATAGCAGACACAGAAGCCTAGAGCAAGACTTGAGGGTGCGAGATAGGACTCCTCCACATCTCCTGTACTCGGACAGAGACAGGAGCTTTGCAGAGGCAGACTGGGCCAGTCCTGCCAAAAACGCTGAACGCAGAAACAACTTGGAGAGCTACAGCCGATCAGTGCGTAGCCGGAGTGGAGAGCGATGGGCCAGTGACAGTGATCGCACTGTGCCCAAACTGTGGGAAGAGCGGCGGAAACGACGGAGCCTTTCCAGTGACCGTGGCAGGACTACTCACTCGCCTTACGAGGACAGAAGCAGGACAAAGGCCAGTGGGCCAGCTTTAGACCGCAGCCCGGAGCGGGCCCGCAAAGAGAATCACACTACAGAATCCGGAACTGAGAAAGAGCAGAGTAACTCCCTTCAGAACAATCGTCACACAACTGAGGAGAAACCCCATCGTGAGGCATCCGATGCTCCACAGCCTAAAAAAAGGGACAGCGAACGCAATCATCGAACTGGTGAATCAGAATCAAAAACTCATGAGGAGCCAAAATCTGAGACCAAAAAGTTAAAGAATTTGTCAGAATACGCTCAGACACTGCAACTTGCTTGGAATGGGCTTCTCGTGCTAAAAAACAGCTGCTTCCCCACATCTATGCACATTCTGGAGGGAGACCTCGGTGTCATCAATGGACTCCTCAAAGACCATTTGTCTGGTGGGAAGCTCACGCAGCTCAAAATCGCTCAGAGACTTCGGCTCGACCAGCCCAAGCTGGATGAAGTGACTCGCCGTATCAAACAAGGCAGCCCCAATGGCTATGCCGTGCTCCTGGCGACGCAGTCTGCCCCGGGGAGCGCGGGGTCCGAGGGGACCTTTCCCGTGGTCGAGCCCGGCTTGCAGCGACGGCTGCTCAGGAATCTGGTCTCCTACTTGAAACAGAAGCAGGCTGCTGGGGTTATCAGCCTGCCCGTGGGAGGAGCGAAGGGCAGAGACAGCACAGGCATGCTTTATGCGTTCCCTCCTTGTGAATTCTCTCAGCAGTACCTCCAGTCAGCACTAAGGACATTGGGGAAGTTGGAAGAAGAACATATGGTGATAGTTATAGTCAAAGACACTGCCTAACCCACACTGTCTTTTCAAATTCCATGTTTTCTTTGTGTGTCACACAACCCCGTTGTTTTTAAGGCCAATCATTTTGGTGGAGGCTCAGAACACCTCAACCGAAGTGCTAAGATTTTTAGTTTCTAATTAATTTTAATACCATTTAAATAGAGCCCATTTCATTCGTTTTTAATACGTGGCACTGTCTGCTGTTGTTCTGTATTTTTATTTTTTAACTGTATGAAAAAGTCGTCAGTAAAGCCTTGTTCACTGATGGATTTCTAATCTTGTGCGCTATCCTGGTTCTTAAGGCCTGGGAGGGCTGCTGCCCTGTGCTGCCCGCTGATGGGGGCCCAGCCCAGCCCCTCAGCCTCCAGCCTACACCTCCTCAGTCTCTTTCTGGTGTCCTGCCAGGTGGGAGGGGAAGGGGGATTTGTCATTGTGCCCTATGGGAGACTGAGAGATTGGTCTTGCTTTCCTGTTTTTGTCCTGTTTGTTTTTTATTTAGCAAATTTAAATCTTGGTGCATTTCAAGGCCAGGCTGGATGTGGCTCTGGGCAGCCTGGTCTGGTTGTTGGCAACCCTGCACATAGCAGGGGGTTGAAACTGGATGATCATTGTGGTCCTTTTAACCCAGGCCATTCTGTGATTCTACAATTTCTGTTGCTACTCCATTTGGTGACAGATCCTTTCAAGGAAGCAAAACCTGACTGAGAATAGAAATCTTCTTTATACACCAAATAATAATAATAATAATAATAATAATAATAGTAATAATAATAATTACAGTTGATAATTGGGCAAAAAGTTTGCTACTAAGGAGTCAATCCTGTACAATCTCAACAGAACAGATGAGGCCTGATGTTCCTGGTTTCTGTAAAAAGAGAAATAAATCAAGCATGAGAAAAAAAATCATTGAAAGGGGAAACCTCTTGGGCCTGTATTAGATGCAGACAAACAAATAAAGGGCACCAAGTTGTTTTGTAAACTGTGGGTGCCCCTTTTTATAGCCATATTATATGTTCACTATCTGAAATCTTTTATTGCAAGATAAACTGCAAAGGTTTTTTCTTTTTTTTTTTTTTTTTAAGTTAAAATTTATTTGCAAGCATGCAAAAATATAAACAACTCTGGCTGTCATCTGGAAGCATGGTGTGTGCCCACGAGGAAGCTGTCTGCAGAGCAAGAACAGGAATTTAAGTTGAGGTTCTTCACTGTGTCTGTCTGTGGCATGAGACAGTCGTTCCAGAGAGTCTGGACATGCAGGGTTGGTTTCTGGGTGACTTGAGGATGTAACTATTTCAAATTTGAGTTAAACTGCACTACTCAGCTTGGGGATTTTGTATTTTTTAAAATCACGCCTCCAGATTTCAAGAGGCTTACAGGAAATTGTGTGGCATTGAAAGCACTACATTCTGAACTTTCTCTTTAGAATTGCAGGGATTTTTTTTGGTTTTGTTTTTTGTTGGTTGGTTGTTTGTTGAAGCTTTGGTGGTAAGCAAGTGAACAAAACCCTGGCAAAGCCAGAACCCAGGCCCTCCTCACAAGTGGGCCGAGCAAGCAGACTCACTGCTGCCAAAGGCACTTCAGAGCTGTGTTCTCAAGTGAGCGGCAGTCAAACCCTACACACACAGGACTGTAACTCAGCTTAATGATGCCTCTCTTTGTTTTTAATTTTCAACCCTGCAGTTTCACAGCAGGGACATCATCAGCTTAATTTAATAATGTATTGGTGTCAACAATTATGATTATTGGTTTTATTTATTTATTTATTTATTTTTAAACATCTAATACTGTGATTGTATACTAATGAGTTAGTGTGCTTATGAGGGGATATTTCACTTTGGTGTCTGTAGTCCATAAAATATAACTCTGTACTAAGGGCCTGAAAACAGTGACAAGGGTCCCAGGTGCTGAGCAGGTTTGCAGGGCAGCAGTACTGCAGTACAGCTGGCCTGCTCCTGATGTTACACGGTT